AAGTCTCTGTTAGCACAGAAACAGATAAGATGGGGAAAAAGATTTATCTAGCTCTCTCTGGAGATGTTATTGGGCAAATGTAAACATGAATGTGGAAGTGCTATTTACATTTTTAGAGCTAAATTGCTTATAATACAGTTGACCATGTTTCTATATGTCCTGAATTTTAAAATAACACTGCCCTTTTTACTCTTAATTGTTGCTATCCTTACATGCTTTCCTCTGTATCACTTAGGAGGGAATGTATGTGTGTGCCCCTTTGTCCTTTTCTTTTTCTTCTTTGAAAATGAACCTGTCATTGGTGCAGACTCTACATAATGAAAAAAATTTCTAATTTGAATGATGCATCCTCCTCCTATTAAATTGTAATTCTTCACTCCACACCATCTTATTCTGAAAGGTCATCCAAATGATGTATAAAATTATGGAGTTGCTTCTTTTTTTAGGCTTGCCATTATTCTATGTTTCGTGCCTCTTCTGTTTAAAATGCAGTAAACAATTAAGAGAGATTGACAGAGCCAATTCAGTTCTTAGATTGCCATAGTAACATTCTTGACATCAGAGGAGAAATGTGTGCAGAATTCTAAAGTGTGAATATGGTTCACCAAGAGACAAACATTTACTGCTTGAATGCCTCGCAGTCCTCATTACCATTACTTCTAAAATCAAATTGCTAGAAACAGTATCAGAACTGAAGACTGGCTGAGTAAGACTTCTGCACGATGATTGCACTGACCCACTCATAACTAGCATTCCCAACTCCCCTATCTCAAGAATATTAATAGGAGATATAAAGATTGAACCTGGAACCTTATGCATGCAAATAAGGCACAAATGGAAACTGTTGGTGGAGCCTTATTCTGGGTGTCAATGAGAGTACACTCTGCCATAGATTGCAGTTACCTTTAACATTTATACTGATAATGCAAAGTTGGCATAAGCAGAATTTGGGGCAAGAGGAATCATGTCTTTTGGAAGAAAGTTTGCAGTGTCTTTGTTTTTTTCCTAAATATGTTTTCTACAGGAGTTCATTCACTTTCCACAAATATTCTTATAGACTTAACAAATACATTAAATAACTAAGGAGATGTCACACATTTTTTCTTATCCCTTGCTCTGTGTTCAATTATTTACTAAGCATTCAGTTTATTTTCTTCTATGTTTTGCTTTTTAGGATATGCAAAACATGTTGTGCATACACCATTTTCTGCACAGAGCAGTTGTTTTTCATTGATGAATATTCAAACTGAAACACGCAGGTTTCATTCAGAAATGTGTTGGGATAGGGAATAGGAAAAAGCCATGCATATTAGGAGTGGCAAGCAGCAGCTAAAGGGGTTATTGAAAGAAAGACACTGGGAGAAATGAGGGAGAGGGGAGAAGGCTAGATAGATACCAGTATATCACACGTATCAGGGGTGAAATCCAGCCAATTCTATCCGGCTTAGGTGAACCGGTAACAGTGGCTGCGGGAGGCTCCACCCACCCGCGCAGACATCATGATGTCCCCTTTTTGTGACATTTTAAGCCTCTGCGCATGTGCAGAAGACGGCGCGCCCATGGCATGCGCATATGGGCGAACCAGTAGGGAAGGTAAGTCAATTTCAGCCCTGACACTTATAGTCAAATTGGCTGCTGCTACAACTGCTACTGTCCTTGCTTCAAGTGCAACATATCCAGCTGGCCTATACTCTCCTCCCTCACCAACCTTTCTGGCATCTGCCTTTTCCTATCTCCTTTTAGCTGTTGCCACCAGTATCTGTATATCAAGTTGATTTTTCCAACGTTGTAAGATGACCACCCATCTCAGTAAAGCCACAGTTTTTTGATATAAATTTCTTAAGTATTATATACCCCAAATTTGGAGCATATTACTTTATGAAGAATTATTGCTTATTACTGTTTTGCTACACTTCGCAAAATGCTTTTTAATCCAAAAAGGAATATTGTGGTTGATATGCATGTTTATGTTCGATGGTGAACCTATGGCACGGACAGCCCTCTTTGTGGGCAAGCGTGCCACCATCGCCAGCTGCTCTTCCGGGTTCCATCGTGCGCCTGCGTGCCAGACAGCTGGTCCAGCACGCATACGCCCCAGGCAGCAGCTTTCTTCCAGGTTCCGGCACTCCGGCACGTGCATGCTCCTGTTTCTTCACTCAGTGCCAAAAAGGTTAACCATCACTGAATCTAGGCTTATTTTAGAACCAATTTATCATTCCTTATTTCAAAATATCAAGAAACTGTCATTAGTTTTGTCATCTGTTTTTAGAAATGTCCCTAAGAACTGATAGGCAGGCTAGATTGGAAAAAATAACAAGCCCATAATAATTCAAGAATTTCTAATAAGGAATTTGAAGAACTAAATAGACTTTATGAAATAAATCCACTGATTGTAGTATATCAAAAGCAGGTCCTAAATATGATGAATTCAGGATTCATTTGTTGCGCCTCCTTGTGGCCGGCCGTAGCATGCAAAATGCTGGATGCCCCCTTCTCTTTGAGTGGGAGGCCAACTATCCATTTGTCTTTTGTTGTGATGATGGTCAGATCTGATTCCCAGTTTTTCCCAGGAGTAACTGAGAATCAACTCTCCAAAAGTCACAAAAAAGCATCATGGGCTGCATGTGCTTCATGCAGCTTCAATTCTATCTTAGACTCCTGATATAGAAATCTTGATGTTACTTTTCCATATGTTTTCAAATGAAATGTTCTCTCAGGCAAATTAAAAGGATCACATGTCATTGGGGCATTGAAAGGGCTGATGCAAGATTTTTATTGTTTCACTTGCTGATCTCAGAGTTATATCCTAGCATCTTTTGTAACATTACAAAGGCACCTCACAGATAATGAACATCCCTACAAAAAAGTTGCAGTAGATAATTCTACACTTGTCTCGTAGTACCTAATCCTAGATGCAATAGACCTGTGATGGCGAACCTATGGCACACGTGCCACAGGTGGCACGTGGAGCCATAATAGTGGGCACGCAACTGTTGCCCTAGCTCAGCTCTAGTGCGCATGCGTGTGACGACCAGCTGGTTTTCGGGCTTTCCGGTCCCACCAGAAGTCAGCAAATGGGCCGTTTCCAGCCTCTGGAGGGCCTCTGGGGGGCTGGGGAAGGCCGTTTTTGCCCTCCCCAGGCTCCGAGAAAGCCTCTGGAGCCTGGGGAGGGTGAAAAACAGTCCTAACGGTCCCACTGTGCAATCGTGTGCCAAAAGCGGGGGGAGTGTGGGGGGGTCATGTGCGCATGCGTGGGGGGGCAGGGAACATTGAATTATGGGTGTGGGCACACGTGTGTGCAACCCCCCCACGCTCCTCCTGCTTTTGGCACACAACGGCAAAAAGGTTAACCATCACTGCAATAGACCAACACATCTAAAAAGTACTTTCATTCTTTCTGACTTGAGAGCTGTTTTCTGCCCATCAGCCAAACAAACTGAACACAGGTAATATCAATTTAAGTTAGTAAGTATTCTTCATTTCAAGTAAGTAACTGAAATATTCTTTTGAAATGATACATAATAGGTATAGGAAGCTGGCAACCCACCCATTGGCAATTCAACGATGCCCGCAGGGCCCCTCGTCCCCACTTCTGTTACCAAAAAAGGCATTAGAGAAAGTTGGAGCCTCACATAAAGGGCTTTCCAAGAAAAAAAAGGGAGGAATTGTTAAAGGAGTAAGGCACCAGTGGTGGGTTGCTCCCGGTTCGCACCGATTCTATAGAACCGGTAGTAAAACCGGCGGGAGGCTCCGCCCACCGACCCCGACGTCACCAAAATGCTTCTGTGCATGCGGCCCCACTGCAAACCGGTAGTAAAGGTAAGTAGAACCCACCCCGTAAGGCACTTATACCTTGCCTTTGTCTTCTATGGAATAAATTTCACAAATAACTAGACAGTTGCAGATATATACATCATGAGAAATTCCAGCAGATGATTTAAAAAATGGATGGGATACCTGGCTACTTGTGATCTCTGATATGCAAAAGCCAGTTAAATATCATTATGTCTCCATTTTTCTGAACCTAGTACCTTATTTTTTTCCTATTACTTTTTCAGTAGAAATAAGGAAGAAATTATCACAAATATATCAACAAATTAAAAAATGACCTTGTGACCTTTCATTATTATATAATTAAACAAATAATTGTTAGATATACAAGATCACCTGTAGTTGAATGTGCTACTTGAAAATTATAAACGTAATTTAATCCAAAATAAATGGTTTATATTGGCAGCTGATAAACCCTTCCTCATTTGGCATGGTTACCATAACGATATTCATCTATTTGATCTTATACAGAATCAATTTACACCCAGAGAGTTACATATTTCTGCTTACTGATTTTTTTACACGTGCCTAACTTTTGATATAATAAGGATTCATATTAGGCTATTTGCTATTTAAATTGTATGTGTAAATTTATTCACTGTAGTAAATTTTGTGTATGTCTGCAGGGAAATAATCTATTTATAAATGACAGCTACTTATATTTTTCCTTTGGTGAAAAAACTTATTCAAGGAAAGGTTTGAGAACACAATATTTGAACGTATTTAGTTTGCATTTTTTTAGTAAACACTTGTTGCCTTTTCTCCCATTACTTCATGAATACAATATCTGACATTTGTTAGGAAACTTAGAGCACAATTTTTTGACTGGTCTATCTAAGAGAGAAGAGATTTATCTTACAGAAATTTGTAGATATGCAAAAACGTTGTACTTAAAAGTTTTCTTTGCATATTTGTTACTTGATTTTGCAATGCCAATTCATGATGCATCTAGCCAGTTCATATTTTACTAAATGATTCTTCATGATGAAGAATTCTTCATGATTGTTCTTGAGGGCACATGGAATGTTAACTTTCTTGGAGTTACAGGTATAATGTTTTTCAAGTTCATGTATTGGATAGCTTTATGAATTTGGATATTTCTGTTTATTGAATCAACAAATGATGTTTGCTAGTTCCTCATATAATATTCCTACTCTGCTTCTTCCTAGCTATCATTAATCCAAAGCAGCCCAAAGAGACACCCAAAAGTTTCAGCTTTGACTATTCCTACTGGTCTCACACAACTGTAAGTAGATACTAGGGCACAAAGGAGGGAAGGTTGAATCTTGGAAAAAATATGTAAATGTGGATTGGACTTTATTGGGTCATTCTGTTAACATGGGAACTCATATTGACAAGAAAAATGTATACCTACAGGAGAAGCAGTTAGCAGCAGTTTAAAAAGTTAGCAATTACTCAATTTTAAACTTCCTTCTTCTAATGTGACCAAGAACATATGCATTGTGTTCAAAATGCGTACATATATACAGATGGTGGCATTGCTGGTAAAAGGGCTAGAAAGCATTCCAGAAACAAAGCTCCTAACCTATATCCTGAAGATTTGAGCCATGAGTTATTATTAAAAAAAGTGTGTTTGTATGTATGTATGTACATGTGTACCAGTAGTCCTAGATTTACAACCACAATTGGGATTGGAATTTTGGTCACTAAGCAATGTGGTCATTAAGCAAATCATCATGTAATTTTATCCAATTTTATGTCCATTTTTACCATAGTCATTAAATGAATCACTGGAGTCATTAAGCAAATCACATGGTTGTTGAGCAAATCCATCTTCCCTAATTGATTTTGCTTGTCTGAAGTCAGTTGGGAAAGTAGCATATTGCGATCACATGACCACAAGGTGATCAACAGGCATGGAAGCACCTGAATTGTGGCCCCATGACTGCAGAGTTGGTGCTATGGTCTTTTGAGGACAGTTTGTAAGACACTTTTCCCAGTGCCATTTTAACCATTGTTAAACATAAGATTGCAAGTAAGGTATTTAATGAATTTGGAATAGTTTCTACTGGTAAAAAATATATACTTCTCTATCAATGAGAGGTATTATTGCCCTCCAAATGTTTGGATAGCAACAGTCATCTATCCCAATCAGAATGGCCAATGATGAAGGTTTGTGAGGATTAGACTAGAACATCTGGAGGCTTCAAGATGACTATATTGTGCAGAGGGAGAAAATATTTTCCCTCTTTCCTTTGTCTTCTGGTGAATCATTTCCAATCTTCCTCAGTGATTGCTGTTTCTTTTTTCTGAGCAGCCTGAAGACATAAACTATGCTTCACAAAAACAAGTATACCTGGACATTGGAGAGGAGATGCTGCAGCATGCTTTTGAAGGTTATAATGTCTGCATTTTTGCCTATGGCCAGACTGGGGCTGGCAAGTCATATACAATGATGGGTAAACAAGAGAAGGACCAACAAGGCATAATTCCCCAGGTAATCATGACAATGGGAAATAGTCAAAGTAAGAAACAAATTCAAGAAAATAATGTTTGGGATGGGAAGCATGTGAAGCAGTTCTGTTAATAAGTGACAATCAAGAAAGGGGGTGGAAGCATAAAATCCCATGACATCTTCCGAGAACAGAAAGGTGTGACATGAGTAGGATTGAGTAACAGTTGATGGAAAGGAAAGAAGGATTTATCCTTGATTATCAAAAATTCAAGAAAGAGTAGCAGTACAACGTATAGAATTGATTTATTTGGTCTCAACTAAAAGTTTTTTCATAGTAAGGAGACCTCTGAGTAGATCACTGGCTGCAATTGACCACTATTAGTTCAACAACATGTATGTTTGTACAAAAGTATAGCTTAGAAAACAATAGAAATGTTTGAGTTGCAAGATGTAGCTGCTGGGAATAGTTCCTTCTGCAATATCACACATCTCTATTAAAAAGGTTGATTCAAGATTTGGTTGGAATTTACATTTTATCCAGATCGCTTTTTTCTAATTAATAAGAAGCCTTTTCCCAAATATTATTTTGGGCAAAATATTTCTTTTTACAAACAGTTTGAAAATTTAAATGATGCAGATGGTACTATTGTTACAGAATTGTAACTTTTTTTTTGTCTTTCTCATACTATGCAGCTGTGCGAGGATCTCTTCTCTCGAATCAATGACACAACAAATGACAATATGTCCTACTCAGTGGAGGTACAGACGGCTATTTTTCAATGCTTAATATCATTTTTATACATAGTTTTGAGTTTATGATGCTGAGGTTGCAGAAATATACGAAGTTGAAAAAAAAAAAAGCTCTCTAATAATGTATTTCCAAATTCTCATATTTGTTTCATAACCTGTGTGGACAACTGTTTTATAGTCATGAATAATTATTAAATAGTTTGTCTTTATTATTATTATTATTTGTTGGGGAGGATCATTGATGCAATAATCATTCAGTGATATTACTAGAGGATGGGATCAGAATTTTCAGCCCCTTTAATATTTTTGAAAGTATAAAATAAGATCACTGAGCATATTGGGAAGTAAACACACTCACTTATGCTTTTCTGATCTTGGGAGGAAATTGTACAGACAATACATTGCTTTGGTGGTTTATTCTGAGGCAGGGATGAAAAGAAAGGACAAGAATCAGGAGACAGGATGAACAAGAGCTCCTGCCTGCAAGTCTTATAGATCATCAGGGCTGAATTTTTGTTCTGGGTTGACGATGTCATATCAGTCAGTGCCCACAAGATATTTAGGGTCCTTCTGTGCTTCTCTTGCTCTTATGTTTATCAAATGAATAAGTGAATTTTGTCCTACAGGTGAGTTACATGGAAATATACTGTGAACGTGTACGTGACCTCCTCAATCCCAAGAACAAAGGAAACCTGAGGGTCAGAGAGCACCCACTCCTTGGACCATATGTTGAAGATCTCTCAAAACTAGCTGTTACTTCATATAATGACATTCAGGATTTAATGGACTCTGGGAACAAAGCAAGGTAAAAAGAACAACAAAGAGAATGTATCTCATTCTGGTATTCCTATGAAATCATTCAGAATTATTATTTTTAGTCAAGTCTTTCACAGGAATTTCATTCTAATAAAAATATCAGGAAGTTGAGTTTTTTCAAACAGAATATTTTGATAGCCCTGAGACAGGGAGCTAACCAGTGGTGGGATTGAGCCAGTTCGCACCACTTCGGGAGAACCAGTGTTAACTTTCTGAGCAGTTTGGCAAACTGGTTGTTGGAAGAAATCATTAGGGCAGAGAACCGGTTGTTAAATTACTTGAATCCCACCACTGGAGCTAACCCTAACTTAAATAATTCAAAACAAGAAAGGGTGTAGAGTATGGTCCCATGATTAGGTTTATGAAGATGTTGCTAGATAGATTGAAGACCAAGTTCTTTTGTGAGTCTTAGAAATTTAATACTTTACCCTATTGGATATACAGATTAGCAGCAATTGCTCTATACCTAGAGCAAGAAAAAAATGAGTAAATTGCATTGGAATGGAGTAAAAAAAAAAAAAGATGAGAAGCCAAGGATTCCCAGCTCTAGAGATCTAAAGGAGTTACATCTTTATATAGATCTTGTAGGGATTAAATTTTTACTCTTTTTTCCTTCCAATTTTTCTTCCTATAAAATTTATTATATTTTTTATTCATTTATATACAAGTACTATAATTTACTGTGGTAGTTTTCCATGACAGTTATGAATTCTGAGAAATTCAGTAATACAGCTGAAAGGTTCTAAACCGAGGAAAGATATTTTAAACATCTGTATACTATAAGTATTTGCTTGTTCTTATCAACTTTACTTTCCTGACAAGAAATATAAATACATACCCTGCTACTCTTTTTCAATAGGACAGTAGCAGCCACTAATATGAATGAAACCAGCAGCCGCTCGCATGCGGTTTTCAATATTATCTTCACCCAGAAGAGACACGATGCAGAGACAGACATCACCACTGAGAAGGTGAACTGAAAAATCAGTATGCATTGATATTCTGGCCAAGAGCACTCATGCGTGCAGTCTGATACCATCTCACTTGTAATTACTGTCCAGCCACCACAAAAACTCTCAGCTCAGCTGTCAGTTGGACTAAATTGGTGATACAATGAAGAGAGTAGTAAAAGGCATAAGTGCACATATCTTTTTCCCCCTTTAATTTTGGTCACATATCCATAGACAGTCTTTCTCTGTGTTGAGAAAAGATAGGAGGCTTTGAGGGAAAGGTTGGTCCAGGAGAAGCCAACACTTTAAAATATAAACAGAAAGAGCTTTGTGGGGCTTGATGTAATAGCAGTTAAGTGATAATAGATTAATACTGGAAACCAAATCTAAAGGTAAAACTAAACCTCATTTTGGATGGGGTGGCATTGCCTCAGACAGATCCTGCACACATTTTGAAGGTCCTTCTGAACTCAGGGCTCCTGCTTAAAGAGGTGCTATCCAGATTCTTGGGAGTATTATTATTGCTAAGAATTTGGGCAGTTTTAATCCCAACACAACACCTATTGTCCACTATCGTTTGAGTGTATTCCACTGTATGAGTTATCCAAGCGTACTTGGTTCATTGCCTTGAGGTTTTTCTTGATTAAAGTCGATTTAGTAAAATCTGGGATCATCCCAGAGATGGCTGTTTTCTGAATTGTGTGGTTGCTAAAACACTGTGTTCTTATTTTGTTTTTCTCAATTTTTAGACTTCCTTTAATAATATCAAATATTCCATCATGCCTAAGTGCTAGAGAATAATCTGAGAGGCAGATACTATGTTGGATATAAAGCAATATTTAATCTGTTTGCTCATTTCAGGTCAGCAAAATCAGCTTGGTGGATCTTGCAGGAAGTGAACGGGCTGACTCCACAGGCGCAAAAGGCACCAGACTTAAGGTAAAGAAAAAAAAAATACCTGGAGTAAGGGAGATATTTATGTAAATATCTTTGCTTAAGGAAGGATTAATTTTGAAAACTGTTGAATGAGATTATCCTTTGAAAAGCTATAGATTTATCTTCATAGAAAAACCTGTAGTACTATAAATCAAAATATATTGTGTAGCTCTTACATCTTTTCCTTCTTAGTGTTGTTTGTTTGCCTTTCTATGGTTGGAAAATGAAAATGAAAGAAGTGCTCAGAAAACAAGGGAAGGCTAGGCATGAAAAAATATTACATAGGATCATCTTTCCTATTATATAATTATGTGGATGAGGCAAGGGTTCTGCATGATGAAAGACTTGCCAGAAGTGTGAGAAGGGCAAACCAACTGTGATATAATTCACTGCAACAATTGTTATTCATTTACTGTTTATGTTGTCTGTATTTACTCATTCTGTTATTTTCTATATGGGACACAGTTCCCAAAACTTGATTGGTTTGTCTCAGTCTTCCCCAATCTGGTTCCTTCTGATGTACTGGGAACCCAGTTTTTAGAATTCACAACCAGCAATATTAGCTAGAAATTCTGGGAGTGCAATCCTAAAATAAAACTTTTATGGTTTTATGGTTTCGGAAGATGGAACTCTTCAGTGACATCCTAGATTGGCATACATGCATGCATGCATACATATATACATACATACATATGTAGTAGGTGTTTTATAAGAAAGAATGGCAAAATTATCCACCAGGAGCTTTGAATAAATAAAGAGATATTTGAATGTGTGATATAATTCTAAATCCTGGTGGTTCTGGTGAGTTAATGATGCAGCACCTTAATTATGTTTTTGTGCAAAATTTTTATCAAAATTCAATGCCCCACACTGATTGGGTATCCTTACTTTCACAGGAAGGAGCAAATATCAATAAATCACTAACAACCTTAGGAAAAGTGATCTCTGCTCTAGCTGAGATGGTAAGACTGATTGAGAGACGTAGAGGATAAGTAGAGGAATACAAAATTTTATTTTCCCAATTCATTTCACAGATGCTTCAATAAAAGTATTACTCAGCATTTGATTTCTGGGGGGGGGGCATATTTAGTTTTGCTCCAAAAGTCAGAAGTCACTAATCTGCTAATGGAAAAGAAACCTTATAAAGAATTCATTCTTTATTAACCTCCAACTTCTTATGCTGTGGAAGCCTGAGAATGCAGATTAAAATATTCAAGGACTCCAAATTAAAATAAAAATTATCAAGGGCTGTTTTGAAGGTTACTTATCACTGATATATTAATTTCTATTTTTGCCTATGGAGGAACATAACAACTATATGAATTCACACCTACAGATTTGAATTAACTTCTACAGATGTGAATTCACAGGTTTACTACTTTAGAAAGATTAAGACATTTCAAAGTACCTTGATATATATGCATGTGAATAAGGAAACTAAATAAATTATAAGCATCTATTTATATTATAGATGTAGTATTATTGGTATTTATGCACATCTATATGTGTGAAGATATTCTGCAGTATGAATCAATAAGGGACTGCATGTTTTGTCCCTGCCATCAACCCTATTTTCTTTGCTTTGTTCCCTAATTTTGCTATGTTAGGTGAAGATCTAAAGGAGAACCTGATATATTTGTAGAGATCTCTTCAGTTGATCAGTTGTTGGGCTTCCACACATCCAGATAATTATTTCCTTAGCCTTAATTAAGTGCACCAAAATCAGGATGGACAGCAAACCCCTTTTAATTAGACAGGAGCCCTTCATGCAAATAACACAAGAAGGTGGCTGATGAGAACACCCAACAACTATTCTGTGACAAACATCCAGCATATCTTCTGTCTCTGAATCATCTTTGTATTTTCTCTGTTCTGCAAATGAGCAGGGAAGATATTGTGGCATCACAGCAATGTCAGATAAAAGGATATGTAGAAAATCAGGGGCTGAGTGAAGATATGGATTCTGGTCTCTTGATTCAGTCATGTCTGCTTTTGCTCTATTACTCTAAAATGATAAAATGAACACTGTTTTTGGATTATGTTCAATGTTTTTCATTGGGAGGAGATACATAATTGATACAGGGTTACAATTTAGTTTTCAGATCCAATTTATTAAAGTCTGCTTTGGTAACATAAAATCATGAAATTTTAATTGGTATCTGCTTTGTTTTCAGGATTCAGGACCAAATAAGGTAAATATCTGTGCTGGGAAAATAATGATAGGCCTGAGTGAAGCTGTTTTGTCTGAAAATTATCCATGTCCAAACATTTCACTTGAAGTGCTATGATTTTTTCTTAAAGTTTGTAAATCGTAACAGAGAAGGACTCTTATAGAACCACATCACCTTGCAGATAGTTTCCCAATTGTTTTTTGTGTTCTCATGTAGAACACATTACAATAATTTGGACAACTGTAATGGATGTGAGCCTTCGTTGCAAAATATCCTGGTCCAAACAGGGGCTATAACCAACCACAGAATCAGAGTGCTTGTGGAACATATCAGAACGAGAGTGCTCCTGGACAAATTATAACTGTCTCCTACTAGGATTAAATCTACCCATCCAGATATTTGCTTAGGACTTGTAGCCCTCTCTGGGATAGCGATGTAAAGTTGGGTATCATCAATGTACTCAGTGATGATAACCTCATTGTCCTGTTGCAAGCCAGTAACACTTACTGTACATTCCAGGGAGTTTAATTGCAAGGCTTTGGGTAATGCAATTCCAATCCCTAGAAAGATCGCCTGCAAAGGTTCCAAGTGGTCAGAATGTAAATGGGAAAAGAAAAACCACAATCAGATCATCATTTAGAAATCCAAGAGTCCAAATATAGATTGTCATCCAGTCCAGGTTCTAAGGGACAGAGTTTCTGTAGTCTAAGGGTGCAGAAGACAAACACAGATATTTTAGTGAGTGGAGCTGTTTTTGTAAATGGAGAATTGCTGCTGGCAATAGTTCTGAAATAGTACATACCGTGAATGTAGATGATCAAGGATGGAATAGACTTTGCTGTTCTCTTATTTATTCTTAGCATCATCTGGAATATAATGCAACTTTAATCTGTTGTATTTCTTCCTAATATTAAAAATGTGTTTCAACAAGCTCAACCATAATATTCCTAATAGAGTAGTGGTCAGGGTTAGGAAAAATATAATTGAAAAAGGATTTTTTAGAATCTTCCATTTTGGCTTCATTGCCTTTGAGGAATGAAACACATCAGAACAGTAGATATTGTGCAGAGACTCAATGCAGAAGAAACATAAGACCATCCATCTCACATTTTAGACACTGCGGCTATTATTTTGTATTTTAAATTCTACTGCATAATGATCTGACCATTAGATAACTTCCCACCCAAAGTGACTTTCCCCAGCCTAGTGCCCCTCCAATATTTTTAAGATTAAAATCTTGACATTATAGAATAGCGGAGATTATAAGCAGATACATGTTGAGGAAGAGAGTGTAAGCACAGCTCAATTTGAAAGGCTTAATAAAAGTTGGAGACGGATTAATAAACCTCTGATTATGGAAGAAGGAATAGAACACTTGCTCAGACACTAGACAGCTTGAAATCTGGTTGGATTTATCAATGAAAGCAAGAGAGAACATTATTACCGGTAAGAAATTAGTATTAATGCAAAGTTAGAAATAATTACAAGATAATTTTTGAGGAGTTTATTTTGGTTAGTTCTGTGACTTTTGGTAGTAGATCATGGGGGAAATGTGCAAGTTTTGCCAAACAGAAAACTGAGTATCATTCATTTCTGTGGTGACTGGTAGCTATGTGATAACAATTCTATACTGGCTAAATTTATTTTGAAGGGTCAAATTTGTTATTTTAAGAGCAATGTATAGTCGTAGGCACAGTATGAACTACCTTATGTAAGTTGTATTAGTTTTGTTCCTATGAGAATCATGCTGAATAGAATGCAAGCCTTCCTAAACTCTGAAAATCTTAAATGTTTCATGATTGTTATAAGATGATAGTCACTTACAGAATGCACATTCTTTCTCTAGAAAAGAAACTTTTTTGGTTATGTACATAGTTGAATTTAGAGAAGGAAATTAATTTTATTTTTAAAAGGAGATTATTGCTTTTTCTTCCTTTGTATTAGGGTTAAAGAACTGTGATTCACACAGACATTAGAAATATCAGTTCAATGTTGTATTCTCTCTTTCTTGTAGAATAAGAAGAAAAAAAAGTCAGACTTTATTCCATATCGAGACTCAGTACTTACTTGGCTGCTCCGAGAAAATCTAGGTAGGTTTTTTTTCCCTCAAGATGTCGCCTACATTCTATCTTATTTCTTAGCCAAGGTCTAAATAATGAAACTCTCAAGTCTTCTGCTTGTGAGTTGTGAAATCTTCTTTTATGGTTTTCTTTATTCAGCTCCTGTTTCTATGAGTAAGGAAGGTAGTTGGGTTGTCTGAAATCTAATAGTAACATTTTCAATTCCTAAAATTACTTACCAATATTCTTCACATAAAGATGGGATGAATGTTAAGAGTCTTCTTAATTTGGGAGAGCTGGATGAATGAGCAGACAGTGCATAGGAAGAGAAAGAAGATTAACGCAGCTCAGAAAGTGGATATTTAATTTTATCAGTCATTGTGTTGTGTGTTCTCTGGGCAGGTGGTAATTCCCGGACTGCTATGGTTGCTGCTCTCAGCCCTGCTGATATTAATTACGATGAGACTCTCAGTACCTTAAGGTAGAATCTTTATAAAAGGTTTCTCATTCTTTTAATTATGAACTAGACTAAGTTTTGTGAAATAGCATTGAATTAATTGCATTATCCTTGTTTCTTCTTGAATTTTTCTTGGAGAGAAAATCTGCTTTCATAGATATTTTATCCCTTATGCTTTCATAGATATTTTATCCCTTATTCATGTTGAAAATATATATTCTACACCTAGGGCCCAGAACAGCTTCATTGCGCTATCTTTTGCTTGGCAATGCATAGGGATAAAAGTTGCATCATGGGGATAGATTTCTCTCTCAAGTTGGACTGAGGTTCTGATTGAGTTGAAAGATTGAGGAAAAAGAGAGACTCAATATGCTTTCCTAACCAATGCCTGAAGAGTCTCTCTCTAGAAGAGTTTTGTATTTTCAGGCTTAGAAATGCAAATATTGGCAGCTTGAAAGGCTAGGGTTAAAGTCCTTAGTGTTCTGTGATCCAGATTTTAACTGGGGAATGGAAGAGATAGGTGAAAGAAAGAAATACCCTCTAATCATGGGCCGGTTTTGACTGAGATGTATGGGATGTGTTTACTTACTTGATTGATCAAGAATATTTCCTGCATTTTAGGAGAAATAGCTTAGTTTTCTATGCCTGGGTAAAAGAGATAATCTTAAAATTCTCTTATATATTTCACATTCTATATGGCATTTTCAGCAGACCTTACTTTGTTTAGAATGTGTATTTTCCCCACAGATATGCAGATCGTGCTAAGCAAATCAGATGCAATGCTGTCATTAATGAGGATCCCAACAACAAGCTGATCAGAGAACTTAAAGATGAAGTGGCTCGCCTCAGAGACCTGTTGTATTCCCAAGGCCTGGGAGATATCATAGATAGTATGTTGAGTATCAGTTCTTTGGATTGGGCTAAGGCTGACCTGTGTGTCTACATCTTGTCTTTCTCAGTTTACTTCTTCTAGTTGCAGATCCAACCTCCACATGGTTCCTGCTTTCAGTTCATAGTCTCAAAGCCCACTAGATAACCATGAAGTGACAATAACAATTTCACACATTATAGTGCCTGTGTTAAGGTTCATAAAGCTAATGTACCCCAATTCTAAAGGACATGCTGAATATGAATTCTAGCAGTTTGTTATCCTAACATATTTTGAAAGCTTTGCCAACTGTTCAGTGGTCTACAACCACAGGCTCTTTCAATCATAATCTTCATTATCCCTCTACACCTCTACTTCTGAGCAATTATGATTATCCATCCATAGTGATATAAAGTTATTTAAAATATTTAGCAATCGATGATAGGATTTATTTAAATCCCCCAACATCCTAATCAGAAAATTGTTTCTCTTTTTACAGCCTACAGCAGTGTGCACTTCCTTAGCTGTAAATAAGGAAGGAATTGTTTGATAATGAAGGATATGCATCTCATGGCCTTTCCAGTCAATTCCTTATCAGGGCAATAAGCAGCTTGAATATCTTGTTGTTCTGTTATACCAAGAGTTCAAAATTTTGCTGTGGGATTGATTTATTTTTGCCTATGACTCTTACGCACAACCTTTTAATGGCTAAGAAGATATGATTATCCCAACTAAATTAACTGTCATGAAAAGTATGGTAGCTAAATGAATGGCATGACTCTTCATGGGATAATAGCCATGTTAGCCATGGAAATGAGTGTAGTTGTTTCTTCCCCTTCTCATGAACTTGTTACCTCTTTCACCAATTATTGTATCCACATTCTTTTGCTTGCACTTTATGTGGTAACTCTTTAGAGTATGGGATCACACATTTCCCCAAGTAAAATAAAATCAGGGAAAGGCTGCCCTTTTGTAAGGAGGCTGCACTACATAAAAAAAAGAGTGAGCTAGTTATGTAAAACCTAAGGAGTAAGCCTCAAGGTTTCTGGATTTGTGGAAAGGTCCTCAGGTGCTGTTTCTTTATTCCTACAAGATAAACCTACTCTTGTTTTCTTTGTCTTCCCACTCCCTTCTCCTATCTCTCTTAGCTAATCCTGTTCCAGGAGGACCTAAATGTGTGTATTTCCCATGGCTGGTATTTTGTGTGCTTCAATGCTTTTGACAAACTCAGTCAAAGCAAAGGAACAGAAGTACAGCATGAGAAATGAATTCAATAGCAAATGTTGGGCAAACCTTTTCATTTTAGGGCAAGTGTTGAGATGGTTTATATATATATATATATATATCTTCTTCAAAGAGCAGAGGTGGGCATTTACAGAAATCCAACCATATTACTAAATACAAACAATCAATGGAAACTGCTGCTGTTAAGTGCACAGAGCTGTGGCAAGATACTGGTTTGTTGAGTTTTAGTGTTCATATTAGAATACTAAATTCATCTTCCGCAAAAATGGCATTTCTATCCTTCAGAATGTCCAAGGACACCCACAGATCTTTCCGGAACATGCTTTAGAGAGATTTTTTTTTCTGGACCGTACATAGAAAAAAATCAATTTAATATCCAAATACATTCCAGGCCATATTGTGTTTGAATTAAGGCACTGCAGCATTCCACTTTAGCTGGGTTGTTTTTTATCTGGTGATCCTATAAACTCTACTCCATCTCCTTGACTCCAGAAACATTTTTGTTTGAGTTTGCTCTTGAGATTCTTTTCTCTGTGTTGTAACTATGCGTCCTGCTGCTTGTGCTGCTGCTATCTCTGCTGCTGCTTCTGCTGGAGCTGGATCAAATGAATTTGTTCTGCTAGAAGAAAAGAAACACCTGGCCCCAAAGCACTAAAATATCTGCTTTAGCCACTATTGGCTTAAGTATTACCTGTTTGGCCCTTCTACTAGCAGTTGTACCTACTAGGAATGCTGTGGGAGTAGTTCAGTTGCTGACTGCATTTGATAAAGCAATCTGGCTTTTGCTGGCATGTTAGAAGGCCTGGAGCCTCTGCCTCTATTTTGAGCAGTTCAGCCTACACTCTGATCAAATTGGCAAACAGAACTTTCCAGTTGCCCACATCCAGGCCTATCTTCCCTGTGGAACCACATAGGATCTGCTGAATAACATCAATATAAATTAGATATATGATGTATGCAATTGAAATTTTAAACTTTGACTGCAGATGCTTATAACTTGTCTGGGTCTCTGTTATTTTAACCCCTTAGTCCTGGTCAGAGATCTACAGTTTTCCCATGTCCATTCCCAATAATTTGATATCTATTTTATTCTTCAGTCTTGCCTGTCCATGTGCCAAGATGGTTTGGAATTGCAATATCTAGTTGAATAAAAAGAGTTGTCAGAAAAGTCTAAGAGAGTATATCATCTATCTATCTATCTTCTCTCTCTCTATCTATATCATCTATCTATCATATGTCTATCTACATACACTTACGCCTTTGTACATACTCTTGTCTATTCCCATGTGCGTGTGCACACATACACAAACACACACACACACACACTTAACAGGTGGCAGCAGCACCTACTTAACCTTAGCTGATTTGAAAGCTAACCAGGGTTTAGTGAAGATTTGGATGCAGGACTATCTGGGGATTATAGGCTTTGGCTAGAGTGGGAAGTCAAAACAATTTCTGGAGAAAAAAATAAGAGTACTTCCTTATCACTAATGTCACTAGGAGCTGCATAATCTAAGGGAAACTTTACTTTTTATTGATAAAATGAGTTTTCTGCGTTGTAAAACTCAACTTTTTCATCATATATCTCAAATATGTGACGCCTATTCTGATACTATAAATAAAGTGCATATCACTGTTTCCCTCATCTATCCAGTTTAAGAAGTGCAAATAAGGAAACAGAATATCAATTTTGGGCATCATTTTACCGTTTTCAAACATTACAAATTCACCCTTTTTAATCTGATTTGCACAAATCAGAGGATCCTTCTAAATAAGTAGTTCACTGTACTACCAGTCAACAAAATATTGTGCATTGATTTTAAAATCCTGAAGAGACGTAAGATACTAAAAAAAAAAGATTAAAGAAATAGAGGGAAAACAATATTGTTTGAAATCTGTATGAAATTTCACGTTTGAGATAAACAATTGCCCAATAAAAGCATTTTTGGAACCATTCAAAAAAGGAATATTCTGTTAGGCAACCTCTTACTTTTCTTTTTTTCTCTGAGAATGTTGACCAAAATACTGTAGTCATTATTTATTTATCTATTTGTCAAGATGGCTTTTAACGAATAGTGGTATAAAAATGTTTTAAATGATTAAATGTTAATTGGATGCTGAAATTATATTGTTATTCAGTTAAACCTGCAGAGGGAAGGACATTCTAGAGATGAGTTAGAGGAGAAACTCTATTAAGCTTCTATAGGAGCGTGCATCTTGTATGACAAACATAGCATTTTTTCCCCTTAATATCCCTGTATTAGATTGGTACTTCTACTTATTTCAGCATCATTTCTGAATTGGTCTAGTTCAAGACCTTTCCTAGCATCTTTATGCAAATAGACCATAAATGTCGGGATTTCTTTTTTCTTCTGTTCAATTGTACCCAATTCTCAGAAACTGTATGAATATGCCCCTGCAGTTTTCTTGGCAAGGTTTTGAACCCCAAGAAGTTATTCGCTGTCACCTCTTTTCTAGGGTTGAGAGAAAGTGACTGGTTCAAGATAACCCAGCTGGCTTTGTGACTAAAGTGGGCCTAGAACTCAGGGTCTCCCAGTTTCTAGCCTGATGTCATAACCATTATACTGAGCTGGGATATCATCAACATCATATTCTGAATGGAAGTTCACTCCTATTTGCCCATTTCCTTTTTTCCTCCCCTTTATTTTTAAGTTCACCTTTCAACTCAATGCCTCAAAAATGTAAAAAAATCTTTCATTTTTCAAATGGCACTGGAATGAATGAGTACAAATAAATAATTCATGTGGTATGGAATTTTGGTACCTCATGCATGGCCTTAGTGGATGTGGTCACCAATTCTTCCTGCCTAGCATATTATTAGACAAGATGGCTCTGGAATAATAGCTGAGAGTTTCTTTCTTTTTTTAAAAAATGCTGCCTATTTTCCACAAAGCACAGGAATCAGCAAAGTCTGCTGTACCAGTTTTAAGAGAGGTTTGCACAGGGCATAGTGTGAACGCTCCAGCTAATGTGAAGTTTCAGCCCTGTCCCTTCCAGCTACATTACTGTCTGCATATCTCTATGTTGAATTTCTATCTTTCTCCTCATTGCATCATGTTGCTATTTCCCAACTGCAATTCTTTTCTCTATCCTTTCCTTCCTTCTTCTTGTCTTGTTTCTTTCCCTTTTCTTTCTCCCCCCTTGAATCCCATAGACATGTCCGACTTTGAGAACAATAATGATAATCGTAGAGTGGCAGATATGAGTCAACGGAATGACAATCTCTCCACAGTGACCAATGCCTTGGTAGGAATGAGCCCATCCTCCTCACTCTCCGCTTTGTCCAGTCGAGCTGCCTCAGTCAATAGTCTACATGAGCGCATCATGTTTGCTCCGGGTAGTGAAGAAGCCATTGAAAGACTCAAGGTAAGAGCTATTATGAAGAAGACCTATTTGTACTGTAATGATATGGAGAGAATGAGGTAGAAAGAAGAACAGAAACAAGTATTATTAGGTTCCAACATGACATTTATTCCAATTATAATAATTTGAATTATCTTATTCTTTTTAAAATTAAAAAGTGCAGAAAAGGGTACAGTTAAAGAAAGGAGAAAAAAGAAACAATTTCCATTCTTCTTTACAGCAATTACAAAAAAACTCATTATCCTTCTCCCCTCCCTAACATTATAATAATCCTATTAGCTCCTCATTCAATCTTTTTTCAATCATCAAATCCAGAAATAAGCATTTCATTTTTTCCCCATTTTCAGCAAGAAGTTGATAAAGAATTATTTTATTCCAATATACTATTTTCTGAAATTATAAGGGAAAACTAAGCAAACAAAGAATTATTTATAATGCACTCTCCTGATAATCGAACCACAATAAAAAATGTAGTCAACATAAAAATTAAGCAGTTAAAATTACACAAAAGTATTAAAAATCAATATATAGTATAATGTATTTACAATCACAAAATAATATTTGCACAATCATAACCTCCTAGATCTACCTTTATTGACAGGATTTACAGCAATACAGTCTTGTTGCTAGTCTTTGAAGCTAGTTGTTTATGTATTGATATGCTGTAAAGTGTTGAAGACCTGATTGTATTCCCAGGTCCTAGGTTATGAGGGATGGGTCCAATATGGTTGTGTATTATTTGGGGCTGATGCCCAGATCCTCCCTCTTGTTTTATTTTGTGTTGTGTTTTAATGGTTATATATTGTTTGCCACCCAGAGTTGGTTTGAAGATGGGTAGCTCATAAATTGAATACACGCATACATACAATTTAAATAGTCTTAGTTTATTTGATTGACTTGTGTCTTCTAAATGCATAGCTTTGTTTAGAATTTGTATACTATAGAAGTGCAACACCATAATAATATTGTTCCCCAGCCTACTGATATTAAGATGTAGATAAATTAGAATTCTCATCCTGGTAGAAATCTGTTCTAAGACATCTGGAGAATATCAGATTGCTGAAGCCTTTGTAGAGTAACAGTAACTTAATGTATTTTAGGCAAAATATTTTTGGTTCAATCAGGTGACAGTCATGACACTCATATTTAACTTGAACTCTGCAGGAGACGGAGAAAATAATTGCAGAGCTGAATGAAACATGGGAAGAAAAACTGCGTAGAACAGAAGCAATTCGTATGGAGAGGTAGGAATAAGGCAGCTAGTCTAGTCTAGAACATTGTTAATGCCACAAGGCTCAAAATTTTGTCATAATATCTTTTTCTTTTGATAGCTAACTGTTACTTTTATAGCTGCTGGCTGAAAGTGCTACATGAAGCATTATTTTATAAAACAAAAGAGTTTTTGTGGGGCTGAATGGAATACCCTATTATTTCAGGAAGGGTATCCACATCATCCTTTATAACTGTGACAAGAAAATATCCAATGTGATGGCACTATAACATAATAATTTCCTGTTAAAATTTGAGTTAGAACAGTCACATGAATGATGTTTCAATCTGTAAATTAGCTGTGGTGAGTCTCAGATTCCCTTTAAACATTAGTTTTTATATGAATTAAAAGCATGTCAACTCTTGGAGAGAGTTATTGAAGTCTAACAATACCAGTGGATAGCATACCTTTCGGGCTTAACATTTCAGAAATTCAGAAACTGCCTTACTTGATTCTGCTGGCTCTTATTTCTAAATCATCTCTTACTATGCTATCTTGTTTTAGCAAAATTTTCAAAAATTCATCTTCCTTCCTTCCTTCCTTCCTTCCTTCCTTCCTTCCTTCCTTCCTTCCTTCCTTCCTTTTTCAGAGAAGCTTTGCTGGCAGAAATGGGAGTGGCTATGAGAGAAGATGGTGGTACCTTGGGGGTATTTTCTCCTAAAAAGGTTGGATACTTTTTTTTTTCTAGATATTGATCATAACCACTTTGAAATATGCCAACTGCTTAACTCTGATACTCCTCAAAAATATAAAATGAAGTATTAAAATAAGGAAAAATAAAGTAGCTGCACCCATTTTTGGAGTGTGACACTTAGCATGCCAGCCAAAACTTGTGCAGCCCTTGAGCCAATAGAAATTTTGATTATCCTTCTTGCTGTCAACTACTCTAAGCAGTTGAGGGGCAAGCTCTGTGATATAATTTCTGTCCTTTTAAAAAAAAGGTAACTGTGTGAAATCCTATTCATAGGGGATCATGCTGAGGGGCAGAGTTAAATCTATAATTCTTGAGATTTTTATATGGATCTTTATATGGATCTTTAAAAAGGAAGAAAAAATATGGTGGGAGGTTTTCAGGGAAGCAGGTGTGACTGTGGGAAGAAGGAGGTTGAATGCTTCCTATTGCACTTGGTGTGTTTGATCAGGATTGGAATCATACTAGTGTCTCTAGATTGTTCTTTCAATATCTGTTGTATATTTTGTTTTTAATAAAGTATGCAGCTTGACATGACAAGTTAGGGGATGGTTTATTTTTATAACAAGCCAAAGGATTGGTACTATGAACCAGGTTGTTCTCAATGAAGTGGATGTGATAGGAAAATATGGTTACATCTCTCCATGGCCAGAGGGTTATAACCGTTCGCTCTTCTCCATTGTTTTTGTAGACACCACATCTGGTCAACCTAAATGAAGACCCCCTAATGTCTGAGTGCCTTCTCTATTACATTAAAGATGGAATCACCAGGTAACAAAGTTCCCATGTCATAATCATAGCTTTTAATTTGGCTACAAGCAAACTGATCAAGTAAAATAAGAACGAGTATATTATACAATTATTTACAGTAATGTTCCCTGAATTTTACTACTTGCTTGTTAGGAGTGCATAACAGACCTTTTTCAATGAATGAACTATGGATAATGCCTTACAGTTTTGGATCACTAGTCCCTGAATAATTGAGATTTATCTTCAACAGGGTTGGTCGAGAAGATGGTGAGAGGAGACAGGACATTGTACTTAGTGGCCACTTCATCAAAGAAGAGCACTGCATATTCCGAAGTGACACTAAATCTGGCAGTGAAGGTATATTTATATGGAAAAACTCAACATTTGCGATGTTCTTCCCTGTTCCTAGTGGGGTGGGCATGAGCAACCCATGATCACCATATAGACAGTTAGTGCTGTTATAACCATAACTTACTAAGTACAATTATAGGACTTACGTGTCACGGTAATCTAAATATTTTAGCAGAGTGTTTAAAACAAACCAAAGAATGAATAACTCACAATAACTTTTGAATAAAATATTTGGAAATACACTAAGGGAAGAAACCAATTTTCAAAAATTCAGAAGCAGTTTTATGCACAGCCTAGGGAGGTAGGTACTATAGATATTTAGTAATACTCAATATTACTTTTTGAATTTGAAGGGTATCTGTGTGTGATAATTGTGAGGAGTATCAACTTCCAGATTTTGTAGTTTATCTATGTGACATATAACAACAGGGTTAAGTTACTATAACTATCCTTCACTTCCTCATATTTTTTAGAGTTGGAGATCGCTATTAACTGGACATGGGAGGATAATTATATACATATTTCATAAAACATCTTCAATAATTTTGACTTTCTAAATTCCATTTGTATTTTTTACAGCTATTGTGACCCTGGAACCTTGTGAGGGTGCAGATACTTATGTCAATGGAAAGAAAGTAACAGAACCCAGCATCTTAAGATCAGGTAGTTTCACTTTCTAGGAGAACACATTAAGCAGTAGATCCTTAGCATAAAGACCAAGTGCTTTAACAGATGCCTTGCAACAGATTGACTGCTTGCCAGACCATGACAGATTCCCAAGAATGATTATTTGAAGGAAAAATTGTGTTATCCTAAATATACTGGTGTGTGACTCCATGTCAAGTTGCATAACTTGCATCTTATATGCAATGTCAGATGTGAGATAGAGGTCTGCAACAGAGTTATTGTATCATCTTAGTATTGGATTGGATAGATTTTGAAATATAACCCCATGTACATCCCTGTTAAACATGTCCCCTCCCCCTTTATATAGGAAATCGCATCATCATGGGGAAAAGCCATGTATTTCGATTTAATCATCCAGAGCAGGCACGGCAAGAGAGGGAACGAACGCCTTGTGCTGAAACTCCTGCTGAACCAGTGGACTGGGCTTTTGCCCAGAGGGAATTGCTAGAGAAACAAGGCATTGATATGAAGCAGGAAATGGAACAGAGGTGAGTAAGAATAAAAGTATAAAACCACTCATGAACAAGAATTAAGAGGTCCTGGCTAAATGGTAGGTCAAACACTTTGCATATAGACATCCAAGGAGCAGGGCCAAAGGGAATGGGCATGATATCTTTCTGAGACTTCCGGACAGGCTCTGCCCATCAGGAAATCCATTATTTTTATTAATTTATTGCCTATATATGTGTCCAAATGACATTTTGGGGTGGCAAAAATGAAAGGGCTATGGAAAGTGGATGCTGTCGCTGATTGTTGATCCTGTACTGTCAATTTTTCATTCCTATTTTTAGGCTTCAGGAACTGGAAGATCAATACCGAAAGGAAAGAGAAGAGGCTAATTACCTTCTGGAACAACAAAGACTTGTAAGGATTCCTTTGATTATGCAGTTTCCTGAATTTAAGGATGTATGTCTCATCATAACAATTGTGTTCAAAATACAGTTCAAAACCGTGTTCATAATGGCACATGCAAAGAAATGTACATGCAAATGTTTGTGCATTTTTTCAAATTGCAGAAATTTAATAAATGACTTTATGGTGAAACATGTGAGCCTAGCATGGACTAGAAGTAGACCTATTTGTCTATTCTTTCCTAGCTCATTTGCAAGAGGAATAATGTCTAGAATATGTCAACATGATATTTCTGATAAACTTAGTTTCACCAGTTAAGTTTATCAAACAAAAAAGTCACCAGGTTCTCATGAGCCTGATTAACATACATTTGTGTAGTTCATTAAATGGAAAAGCCAATTATTAAAGAATTTACTATTTGGGAGTAGCTTCATTTCCCAGTTTTACAGGCATTCAAACTGCAGTAAATAAGAGAACACATTTTTTTTGGCAATAATTTTATTAAATGCTACATTTAGAGAGCATTTCACCATTACAGAGCATCTTTTATTTTATGTACACTGAGAGCATATGCACCAAGACAAATTCCTTGTGTGTCCAATCACACTTGGCCAATAAAAATTCTATTCTATTCTATTCTATTCTATTCTATTCTATTCTATTCTATTCTAAATACTACATTTAGAAAGATAAAAGCTAATACAAACTAAAAGAAATAAAACAATAAAAAGAAAAAAGAAATTGTAGAAAAAAAAAGAATAGAAATAAAAAATAAAAAAATAAAAAATAAGAATATGGTAAAGAAAAAGAAAGGAAACGTAAAGAAGTAACTACCTCCTTAGTATAAGTAATAGTATACATTTTAGTAAACTAAGATAGTATACATACAGTAACAATTTTAATAACATCACTTTCTCTTAAACTACAAAAGAATGATCTGTTTTTCCCCCATATCTCATCTCTTACCTATACACAAAATTTAAAATCTTGTTTAGTTCTAGTCAGCAGAAATCAATTAAGGGTTACCAGAGGTAGCAACATACAGTATCTATTTTAACATTAACCAAATAATCCACCTTTATACAACTTTCATTTACTCTTTAATCCTTTCAAATAATGTCCTAAAACTTGATTTCTTTTCCCTTTTTCCTTTTTTCTTCTCACAAAATCTTTTAACAGGCTTCTTTTGTAAATTTAATTTAGGAAAGTTATTCAAATCACTCTTTTGGCTGGTTATTTGTTTGTCCCTTTTAATTATTAAGACATCAGCCAGTTTCCTTTGTATATCCAATATATCCTCTTTTTACAGAACATTCTTGTAGCATTTCATTTTTAAATCCATGTTGAAATCAATTTCATTCTAGTTCAGTAGAGCTTGTTCCTCTTCTATAATATAGTTTACACACAGTCTATATATAATGAGGTACAGTATTATTAAAATTAAGTTCTGAGTTAATTGCTCAAAAATATCCTTCAGTGCATCCAATGTTATTTTGCTCTGTCTATAATAGCAAGTTGAGTTTAAGTGTACTTCTTTAATTGTAATTTTTACTTCCCCCTGGTTACCTCTAGTGTACAGTTTTCAAAGTCCCACTTGCTTTTTTCCTAGACTTCAAAACAACAGCTATTTTTAACAGGAGGGATTCTTATAATTAATTTCAAATCTATCTGGAACCTTAGTCCATTTGTAACTTTCTAAAAACAATACTCTAATCACCCTTTTGCCTTTTATCTGCTCCAAAATGATTTTTCTAAGTCCTTAAACTTGTACTTTAAATCAGGGGTCTCCAACCTTGGCGCCTTTAAGCCTGGCGGACTTCAACTTCCAGAATTCTGGGAGTTAAAGTCCGCCAGGCTTAAAGTCGCCAAGGTTGGAGACCCCTGCTTTAAACTACTTTCATTAAAGACCAGTAAATGCCATAAAATGTGCCATTCCAAAGGTTGTTAATATTTGAAAAGCAGTAAAAACGAATTCCAAAACGATTAAGAAATGAGGTTCAGCCAAGCTTTATGCCGATGTAGGCAAAATTATAACTATGAGTTTAGTTGGAATCCATCAATTCCTAGCTGCTCGTCTCCCTGGCTGATTGCAAAAAACCTCCGTTCCTGCAGTCTACTTGGGAGGAGCAGGTGTTCAAAATACATGTGGGTGATCTCATGATCTCTCCTTTCCTCAAAGAAATTTTGCTGGCTAGGCTCCACCCTCTGGCCATTGATTTCCACCGTAATTTCATCCCTGCTTCTTCAGGGGTGCCATATCTCACTGGAAGTGTCAGAATACAATAAACTCTTGGCTGTTTTCTTCTTGTCATTTTAGGATTACGAGAGTAAATTAGAGGCTTTACAAAAGCAAATGGACTCAAGATACTACACTGAAGCTAATGAGGAAGAGGAGGAGCCTGAGGATGAAGGTGAGCATCTAAGAAATAAAGAAACTGCTGTAGGTTGCTTTTCATAAAACAATATTGTATGCAATAGAAGAGAAAACATGTAGCTCAGGACTGAACTGTGGAGTCTTTGGTATTCTTTGAGCTGGGTTGTTTCCCTGCAGACTTTTCATTACCTGGCTAGAGAACATCATCAGTGTTGACTACAAAAAGCTAAGAAGGGAACAAAAAGACCAGGATAAATTCCCTCCAACAACCAACAGCCAGATAAACAGGGAATAACACAGGAGGAAAAGTCAAGCATTAAACAGTCTAATTAAGAACTACCAAGGGGAAAAACCATACCCCCACCAGTAGTGGCAGAGAACTACTGTATGTGTATATGAGAACAAACCCCCACATTGACTAGCACTAATGATGTTACCCTACTTGAGTAATTAATTGTCTGCAACCAAATAACCAAGCTCAGAGAGCACCAAGGAATCTACAATATTGTATTCAACTACAAATGGACAAGAAGCAATGAGTGGAAACTAATCAAGGAGTTTAGCAATATAGAACTAAGGAGAAATTTCCTGACAGTTAGAACAATTAATCAGTGGAACAATTTGCCTCCAGAAGTTGTGAATGCTCCAACACTGGAAGTTTTTAAGAAGATGTTGAATAACCATTTGTCTGAAGTGGTGTAGGGTTTCCTGCCTAAGCAGGGGGTTGGACTAGAAGACCTCCAAGGTCCCTTCCAACTCTGTTATTCTAAATTCTAAAATGCGGCAGTAAATGCTTTATTATCCCTGAGTTATCCCTGGATTTATTTGTTAACCTTAATCATGGATTGAAATGGGATAATTTTATTTATGTAGTTTTGTAACTCAAGAATCATCATTTACATTCCTACAATTACATTCTTACAATCTTAGCAAATTTTGGGTTCAAATTACAGAAGTCATTTGGCTATCTTTTCAGCCTTGATTATAGTTAGATATATTGGGGTTTTAGTTTAGTTTAGTTTATTTGATTTATATACCACCCTACTCCTGAAGGACTCAGGGCGGTGAACAACCACAAGATAAAAACACATAAATACAAAATTTAAAAACAGAATAAAACCGAATTAAACAATTTGGCCGAAGACAGATTTAAAACACCCCAATAAATTAAGAACGAAATAAAATTTGCGTTGTTTTATTGGATCTTCTACTTCTTGTGCCATATCCTCATTGGACTTTGGTCATCATGATGGCCATTTTATTGGATGGAAAATTTATATTTAAAATGGAAGCTAGCTATCATCGCCATATCCTGTTTTTATTCATTTTGGGCAGAGGTGTCTCGTGACAGATTTTCTTCTGATTCTGCATACTTTTACAAGAGAAGGGCTCCCCACATGTATCACCTTGTGAAATTGACCTATGAAGTATATATGCTTTTCATATTATCTCATGAGCAAGATCAGGCAAATTAGGCATACTTGATCAGGCAATACTTGAAAATAAGTAGTTGACCTTACAGAGGTATTTCATTTTGTTTATCTCATCAGTTCAGTGGACAGAGCGAGAGTTTGAGTTGGCACTCTGGGCCTTTAGGAAGTGGAAATGGTATCAGTTTACATCTCTTCGAGACCTGCTGTGGGGCAATGCTATTTTCTTGAAGGAGGCCAATGCGATCAGTGTGGAACTGAAGAAAAAGGTAAACAGTTTTTGTCTTAAAAAACAAATATGTCCCTCCTTTCCTTCCTTCCTTCCTTCCTTCCTTCCTTCCTTCCTTCCTTCCTTCCTTCCTTCCTTCCTTCCCTCCCTCCCTCCCTCCCTCCCTCCCTCCCTCCTTCCTTCCTTCCTTCCTTCATTCATTCATTCATTCATTCATCTTAAGTGGGTGTTACAAAATAGATTGGAAAACAAATCTGGTCCAAGGGATGGATTCTTCCCACCCCATTATCTAATAATATCAGGTGATAGGGCTTCAATAATGGGAAAGGCCCCCCAAAATCTTTTGCTAAATTCCCATCTTTTCTGTAAAATACAGAATTTAAACATATGTGAGTGACTTTGTGATAATACTAACCAGCAACATTTATGATTCACTTCCAGGTTCAGTTTCAGTTTGTCCTCCTCACAGACACCCTATACTCACCTCTGCCTCCAGACCTACTTCCTCCAGATGCTGCCAAAGACCGGGAGAAACGTCCTTTCCCAAGGACCATTGTGGCAGTAGAAGTGCAGGACCAGAAAAATGGAGCAACCCATTATTGGACTCTGGAGAAACTCAGGTAGGTGTAAACTTTTAAAGCCAAGGTGGCTACTAGCTGGCTAAAGGAGGTAATTTTTAATCATGTAGGGAAAAATGGCATGATATTCTTATCTGGAAGCATAATGAATTAACTTATTTGAAAATACAACAGGAGTTTTAAAGTGAAAGGAATGTGAGTTAAATTGCCATGTTAAATGTGACTCCCTGTTAAAACAACCTTTTCAGTGGACTGTGATTTGGGTTAAGAGGGCTGAATGAGGTAAACAGAATTATATTATATAATATATAAGTCTGCAGAATTACCCACTCGTTGGTGCAAGATGGCCATATTAATTCATGCTATTTGATCTGTGGTGGATATCTCACATGTTCCTTTTTACATACAGCAATAGCACTTAGATTTATATACAGCCCTATGGTGCTTTACAGCATTCTCTGGACAGGTTACAATGTCAGCATATTGTCCCCAATATGGGTCCTTGTTTTACTGACCTCAGAAGGATGGAAGGCTGAGTCAACTTTGAGACTTCTCAGGATTGAACTCCAGACTGTGGGCCTGCAATACTACATTCTAACCACTGTGCCACAAGGGCTCCTTATGCCAAAGACAGATTGAACAAGCTGTTGATCAATCCAGATCTTGACAGGTTAATCATATGGGTTGAAATCTGATTTCTATGCAAGCCAAAATAATGATGGTTTGGAAACAGTGATGGATGGCCATTAGTCCTCACTATTATATATATGGTGTAAGTATATATGGTGTGTGTGTACATACACACACACACACACACACACTACAATAGCTATGACTGCAATGGCTATAGTCTTCAAATCTGCAAATATAGTCTCATATGATAAATTCAGAGATCCTCAGAAGTTTGGAGCTTTTTTAATTTTGCATATAGTATATAAGAACAGTAATATATACATCAAATCTGACAACAATCTAATATCTTGTTCCAAATTGGTAAAAATGGCCATTCTTGTAAATTCAGTCTTCTATCAATGCAAGGGAAGGTTTTTTAACATAAGCACCAGAACAGCCATGTATATCTATTAATTCTGAGCATGCTGATGCATGTGTATAGGTCCAATTCTTTCTCCAGTTTCTTTCCACTGCTTGAAAATGTTTTTATTTATCTGATTCGAGAACATGCTAATTTAATACATCTCAATAAGCAGAACAGGTTTCTATACCAAATTCTTACTATATCATGATAGTGGCATGCACAGGTAAACTGGTTGGGCAATACTTTCTCAACTACTGTTTTGATAGAAAATCCTTTTTTTCTGCCATTGCAGGCAGAGGTTGGACTTGATGCGGGAGATGTATGATCGGGCAGCTGAAGTACCCTCTAGTGTTATAGAAGACTGTGATAATGTGGTGACAGGCGGAGACCCCTTTTATGATCGCTTTCCTTGGTTCAGGCTGGTTGGCAGGTGAGAGTTTTGGTCTTCTTTGTCAAAAAATATAAAGCAAAACCAATGATGTCCAAAGGAAAAAAAAAAACAATTCATAGCTAGCCAAAACAAATGATATATAACACAAGCTCTCCTTCCACTATGGAATAATGATCGTATTACATTTTAGATCAAGATGTTAAGATCACATCTCACACTTGATAAGAAATCAGGTCAACATCTCCATTCCGTGTTGGAGTGGATTGTCCATTCATTTGATGCAGAACCTTTTAAATATCATCTGCACATATACTTGCACCGTATACATTTTTCATAAAACCATGCCTAATGTCCAAATGCATGGTGTCCAGAGTACTGAGAGCTGAAACTTTCTGCAGCAAGATAATTTCGGTCTGTACTCTCTGATACAGCATGATGCCTGCCTCACTTGCCAATTCTGTGTTGTTTAGCTCATGCAAGCTACGTTGTAGCCCATCATTACAACTTCCTGCTTGTTGATTATGATTTCTGAATTATTAAAACCATCACAATTAGATGTGATGGGAATATGACAACCATTTCATTACCTTATTACAATGTAGATCCTCTTGGTGTATGATGCTTCTAGATGACAACGATAGCAACCAAAACCAAACAAAAACATTGTAGGGTGAAGGGTAGCTCAGAAACTCTTTTGCAGAATTTTGTACCTTTGTGTGTAGGTGTGTGTGTTTGATGTATGGAGTGTGATATCTGCCTATATACTGCCTAGTATATATTGTGTGTTCTCATGTGCTTCACATGCAACTATTAGAGAAGAAATGTCATACCATCAGTTGAGAGTTGGTTGGAGTCCAGGTAGAAAGAGTTTAGCTATAGAATTTTTACAAATCAAAAATGTATTAAATAAATAATCCAGTCATTTGGGAGGATTCATAACGGACATCTTCCACTTACCAATATCTCAATTTGATGAAATGGACACCAGGAATTTTTCATCCCATGCATCAATTTTCAGCTGATGGCATTTGTGGCTCTTTTGTTAGATGTGTTTGATCTGGGAAGTTTCTTTTTTAATCTCCGTCCATATTAATTCTGCTGCTTGATTTTAAAGAAGGGACAAAGCAATCCTAGTCTCTCTCTCTCTCTCTCTCTTTCTCTCTCTCTCTCTGTGTGTGTACACGCGTGCGTATGTTAGAATAGCTGGTGTTAACCTGTCTCCTATCTTGTTGTACTAACCTTAGTTCAGATATCTCTGGCTGCAACAGCTCTCCTATTTTCAACACATGCATGAGCGAGCGCATGGCTGATCTCACCCCCTCCCCCACCTTCTCGAACCCCGACTCCGACATCACCGAGCCTGCTGACGAGCAGCACGTGGGGAAGGAGGAGGAGGAGGAGGACCTGGAGGAAGACATCTTTCCGGAGTACCCGCTGTATGATGGCCAGGATCCATTTTACGACCGCTCCCCCCTGTTCAGTTTAGTAGGAAGGTTGGTGAGGTCTTAGGAGAGCATGCTGGGAAGGAACTAGCTCTTTCGCATAAGAGACCTGCTTTCCCATGTCAGGCACACAGGGGCTGGGGGACCCCCCAAAAGACATTTCAGAGGAAAAACCCCTCCCCCACCCCTCCCCAAGGGGATGAGTAGTAGAAAGGAAGACCAACTACAGAGTGAAATAACACAGGATAAAAGGCAAAGCATCTGTAAATGGATGTGACAAAACCTGATGGCAACACCAGCACTTTGGCATTGTACATTTCTAAAGGGAGTCTGTGTGCGCGCATTATATTGCCATATCCTATGGAACCCACAATTGTAGTCTCACAGTCTCAGAATTGAGCATAATTTCCTAAGAACTAGCAGTGAAAGAAGATTCTTTGTTTTTTCTTAATTAAGTTGGTCAATAGTATTTTAAAATGTATATTAATTTACACATGGTAGGATATCCACAGAAAATTAGGACCATAGATTTAATATAGTTATCCATTGATTTGGGATAGATATTAACAGGTAACTCTGAAATAAAGGGCTACTGAGCAGAACATGATTAAAGACGATCTGGGATTTAGAAATTTAGAATGCTAAAGGAGAATTCCTGCCACATTGCAGTTAGCAAAAACACTTATTTTTAGAAAGCAAACTGGGTCAGTTACTATTTTCATATACCGTATGTACTGAAAAACTTTGTCTTTGTTGCTTTAGGACAATAAAACTGACTCTGGCTACTATAAATCCTCCAATATACCATTCTGTATAACTATAACAAGCCTCAATGATGACAAAATGGTGGCACATGATTGTAACATCATAACCCAAATGTCACAATTATGTAATAATTGCTAATGCAGATTTGCAAGTTATATCATTTGTGTGATGATGTAATAATACATGTATCATTTATTTCTCTATATCCCAACAGTGGACCTATGGCATCTTCTTTGCTTGGAAAAACAGAAAAAATGGTCTTATTTTAGTAACTAATGCATAATCTGAACCACCGAGGAAGTATAATCCTAGAAATCAATCCTCAACAGGATTCACTTATTGGGCCATGCTATAATGTGCTTTATTAAGCTTTCCTTAAACCATTGCAGCTTATTCAAGAACCATGAATAACAAAGTGATGTAATACAATATGTGAACCCAGTCTTACTGCCTGCCAAATTATTGGCTGAGGTTTTTGCAATATCTTTATCAATTTGCACAGCCCAAACAAATTATTTTTGTCTCATTAGACAACAGCTAAACACTGCCCTTCACAGGGCTACTGGCATATGTGTGTAGAAGGATGACTTAGTTGATAATTGAACTCATTGGGAATCTGGGATTAGTCCTCGATTTATTGTTTAGTGACTGAAGTTACAACAACACTGAAAAAAGTGATTTATGACCGTTGCAGGATCCCCATGGTCACGTGATCAAAATTTGGGCGCTTGGCAAATGGTTTTATTTATGATGGTTGCAGTGTCCCGAGGTCATGTTTTGCAACCTTCTGACAAGCAAAGTCAATGGGGAAGCCCGAAGCACTTTATAACTCTGTTACTAACTTAACCACTGCAGTGATTTGCTTAACGACTGTGGCAAGAAAGGTAATAAAATGGAACAAATGTCTCGCTTAGCAACAGAAATTTTGCGCTCAATTATGGTCATAAGTCGAGGACTACTGTATAAGGTTTTTTCCTTTGGTATTCAGAGCAAGTGATTAAGTATAATGAAAAAGTATAGAGCTGCTGTGCTTGTAATTGTAAGCTTATAAGTAGAGAAAATTTCAGTCACCAAAAATCCTTTTTCTGTGTAACTATTGTCATTATAGGCTAGTGGGGCCAAACACATGCATCATGACATCATCAAACAAATGATGTGACTTTTCCACTTACATAAGACATCATGAAGTCATTAGATAATTATGTCATATTCATGATGATGTCATGATGCATCTATTTTGATATCATCGTGGCTTGTTATAGCTGCAGCAATCTTTGGGAGTTCTGATATCTTGCATCCGGCCATCCAAGTTCAGGCAGGAAATCCTGACTTCTAGTTTCCTCTCTGTTAAGTAGCATTTAGGAAAATGGGAGCAAGCAAGGGAGCAAAGGGGCTTACAAAAGGCAGAGAGGGATAAGGGGGAAGAGTCCTGCAGTCTCAGACCGAAAGAGCTGGCTTCTTCCCTTTTTTTTTCTCCTCTTGGGGGATTTGAGATTTTAAATCAACAAACAGGCCAAATGACCAAATAGTTCAATGAGGGAATACCCTCTTCCCCCAATCCTGTGAACTGTTCTTGGGGGTCTTTTGAGTCAGTTCAAAATTGACTCCTCCCACGCAGCAGCTGTGCCGTTCACATTTCTCGTGAAGTGTGCTTTGATTGGATTTTTTGTCTTTGATTTTTATTTATTTTTCCTTATTTATTTATTTTTAGCTGCTGGCTCTATCTCCAAAGCTTAAGCAAAATTGGGGGGGATGGTTATTTCACTTTTGTCTTCTTTTGAAAGGCTTTTCTTTGGTCTGAGCATGCCATCTTTGCACCTCACCAATCTTGTGGTTAGCGACTCTGTTCCTTTAATGACACACAATCTCTTTTCTGCCTTCCTTTATTCAACCCTCTTCCACCACCTTCTTCTTTGTCTTCTTTGTCTTCTTTCCTTTTTTCCTCTTCTTGCTGATTCCTCTCCTCAACCTCTCCATCTCCTTATTTTCTTTCCTTCCCTTTGAACAAGTGTATGGAAAAGGCAATTTCAGCCCATGAAATGCTTAATTATTGGTTTCATTTTTTCTGGCCTGCTTCACAATGGTACTGCAATGGATGGTCTATCCAGTGTCAAAACATCCAATATCAGAATAGATCCAATATAAAAATAGAGATAATGCTACAGAATGATTGGATCCTTTGATAATTCTTTGTGATCTATAATAATGTTTTATTCTTATGAAGCAGACACTGTGCTATTTGTCATAATCCTTCCAACCATCAGCTTTTGTTGGTTAAATTTTTTAATTTTAATATAAAATTAAACATTTGAATGGGAACTTTTCAGAATAGTAAGGAGTCACCTGAAGATTGGAGAAATAGGAGAGGAAAATCATGATTTCATGTCTCATTGACATGTATTGAGTTTGTAAAATTAGATTTTTACAAATCTAGAGAAAAACTTCACCTCACGTGCAAGCATATGTGCATTTTCACAACAATCAAAACATGTTGAGCAAAATAATTTATATGTTAAACTTAGCTTGATATGTATTAGCCACATTTGAATAACTTAGCCACTTAGTTCAGAATTGTGCCAGGAGAACAGGATAGCTAATAGTGCTAAAGCATAGTTTTACCACCAGGAAGAACAAAATTTCTATGGGATATTTTATATTGGCCCATAATGATTCTAGAATGCCTGTCATGTAACATAGATAAGATTCTCATAATGTTTGTTAAAAAATGTTTAATCTCATACAGTAGAATGTATTGCCAATTTTAATACTGATCTAGCTACCAGGTTTTAATTAGTTGCTTCCTATTCATTTCTAGGAAGGAAATAGTTAAAATAACAAAAACAGGAACTCAGGTTGATATAATTGATGTAAATGGTCCCAGTTCTACAATCCTGTCCTGGATAGGATATAGTCACCATATCTTACATCTATATAATGCTTGTTGATTATATTATAGAACCCTAATTTCCCACTTTTATTCATTTATCCACTATGTGCATTTATACTTCCTGATCTCCATAACTATAACCAACACAGAGAATGTGATAAAATTGAACATGGAGATTTCAGTACATTAAGGAAAAAAAATCTAGGACAGAAAGCATTAAATAAACAATCCATCCGTATGACAAATGTTTGCTTTTGTTTTTATGTGTAATGGTATGACACAGACTGAAAATAGCTGAACAGCTCAATGTGGATCTAATGCATTGTTTTTCTATTTCAAATAATTCTAATGAATTTTAAGCAGATGTCTTAGGGCATTTTCATACATGAAATATCCTATAACTTTAGTGCAAAACCCTATTCTGATTGCAATGTGTATTTGATTCCTTTTTCATGTCCCATCCTTAGCAATATTTATAGATGGCACAGGAATACATACACATCTAAATTTTCATATTTTTCTGAAGTCTAGGCTTTTCTGGCTTACTGTCATGTTGTAATCTGCTGCCAAGTGGCTTGTCCTAACTTGCTACACTAAGCAATTTGATACAGAAGCAGCTATGATAGAATTCTATTGATGTCTATTTGCTCCATAAGGGATAATGCTTCAAATCTATAATGGATTGCTGAAGTATAATGATAATATAAATATCCTATGTGGGCCTTTCATTTTAGTATATATATCAATCCAATGGAAAGGGTTAAAATGGAATCCATCAATATCTGTTTCCACATGCAAGTCATCAAGGAAATATATTCCAAAAAATAAATAATATGTAAACTCCCCAGCATACTCTAATTGCAACAAGAATATGGAGTCTGGGATAAATAGTGTTACTGTTACTGTTCTTACCTAGTTCCATGTGGGAATGTCATCTAAGCTTCCCATGATAGATACCTTGCATTTAGTAATTTTACTCCTGGCTATATTGCAAGAAATCCCTTCATTCTCTACCCATCAATGAGTTGCATAAATCTAGCTCAAACAGATAATTGTCTTTATAGAAATGTTTCTTCCCCCATTACTTGACTAATTCTGTTTGTTTGAAATGATAAGAAATCATTGGAAACAGGCTTGAAATTGAATTCAATTCAATTGAATTGAGAGTCCCTCTCAAAAATTTGAAAAAAGTGTTCCTCTGTAGAAGGGACTTCCTCTTCTTCCCAGTCTCCTTACTTTCCCCCACTAATTCTTTCTGCTTTTAGTTCCTTCAATCTAATCCCATCTGCCTTCTCTCTTTTCTGTCCCTTGAACCCATTGTTATCCAGCAGCAGGACCTTGGACGAATTACAGCACCCAGGGTACTAGTTGCCTAGTCTCTCCGGCCACAGGTCCTTGTTCTAGTTTTCCTTCTTGCATCAGCACCATCCCTTTCCCTTCCCTTCGGTCATAAGAGATGACAGAACCAGAGGTACGCTATGCTAGCGCTCACTAACTCACTACATTTTCGCTTCATGCTCAGTACAGGAGCTCTGTTTTAAGCACGCTGAACCCCCCTCTCTGTCCGGCTGGCCATGGCTGCTTTTCTTTAGTTTTGCTTTGCAGCACCATATTGTGATGTGAGCGGTGAACTGTGGTCCCAGCTACCATCGGCTATGGAGTATGTTTGGAGAAGTTCATACGTGGGACGCAGTGACCGCTGTCCTATGTTACTTTTCCTTCCAGAGCATTTGTGTATCTCAGCAACTTGCTATACCCTGTACCTTTGGTCCATCGTGTTGCCATTGTCAGCGAGAAGGGGGAAGTTAAAGGATTCCTGCGGGTAGCAGTTCAGGCTATTTCAGGTAAGAGGTGGGTAAACATAATGAAGGAGGTGCTGGTCCTTCTTCTGGTGAGCAACTTTTAAAAAAATAATATCTGTGGGGAAAGAGCCTCTTGTATATTTGATTTATATCCCATCTTTTACTCCAACTGTTAAAATTAACAACTAGGGTGCATTAAAGGGGAGAATACTTTAACATTATTGCTAGGAATTCCCGAGAGCAAAAGTTAGTGTTTCAACTGATTTATAAGAACATATTTAACCAAGTCAGTTAAGGAGCCATTGTAATGTATGAACATGCTAACCTTAGGCACCATTGAAGCAATGAAAACAGGATTACTAGATATCTGAACAGGCAAAGGAAGACAGGACATGTGGAAAGGAGGGCAAATGGTAGGAAAAGGAAGATATATTATTTGACTTTCTTGGCATCCTGACAAAAAATTCAGTGAAAAACTGCAAAAAAGAAAAAAAGGCCTATATGTATTTGAAATAACTTTTTCCAACATCAGAAAGATTGGTTTTTCAATTGCAGAAACTATGCTAGAACCAATTGCCAGGCAAACGCCTTCAGTGTGTAACTGATTAAGTTCTTGTCAATTTCAGCCAGCAGCACAAGGAGATGAGAGAAGGGTTACTAATCAATTAATTAAGATCATAGAATGGAGCACGTTAACTTGTAATTAGCATTTATGGAAGTGCTGCACTGCTGGGAGAAAACCTGATCTAGAAGAGTTGTTAGATATTTAAAAGGCCAAGCAATGTATGAAGCTCTCGATGAGGATTTATGGCAAGCTTGATGTCTTTTTTAAATGGCATCCATGGCGGACATTACAACTGGATGCAATATGCAGACCGGTGAAGTTCTCTGGAGCAAGAAGAGACTATGAGATAACCCCTTGTGCTCCGTTCAGGTGCTCCTTATGAGTAGATTGTAGGACAGAAGTTTTTATGATTGACTTCTACTTAAACAGCTGGGAATAGGACTTTCATCTTAGCTTACAGTTATAACACAGACTTTTTTATAGGCAAGAAGTTCAAACAAACCTCATCTCTTAATGACCTTTGCAAATATTTTTTACTTGTTTTGAAATATTAAGAACATTTGAAATGCCAAGAATTATTGAATTCAGTGGATGAGTTTCCTTCTGTGCAAAAGAAATTTAACATATAACTTTAAGGATTTAGAAAAATAATACTGTTTTAGAATAAAGAACAAAAGAAAGTTCAAAGTGATTATATTGGAAAGTTAAAAGCAAATTTAGGGTCCAGATTATTTTGAAATTAGAATTTGTAATTAAATAGAATGACCCTTTCTATGGGAAACTCTGACTGTTTTAGTTTGCTGGAATGGTAACCTAATAAGGAATTTTGAATGTTGGGCATTAGAGGAAATCAGAGGAAACTAAAGATTACTTAAAGAAGAACACACAGACACATTAATGCAAAATGGAACAAAATATTTAAACAACAATAAAATACTTTTATGGAAAGTAATTTTGATAATTCTTTTTTACTGGATTTATAAAAGATCTGTTAAAGCTTTTAAGTGTTAAACAATGAGACAAAGAGAAGATCAAAAGAAATCAAGCTCAAGGACATTATTTTAAGAGATTAAAACTTGAAATTATTTAAAGCGAGAGATACAGAGTCAACTTATTTGATCAAGGGTAAAATAGTTATTGTCAGGCACAAACAACCTGCAGAGTTCGAGCTAACTATTTATTATATTCTGCCTATAAAACAGGAATATTCCCAGTCTGGCATCTCTCCCTTGGGAACAATTAGAGAAGGAACCAAGTAATTCAGGAAGGACTGATTCTGGACCTTTTATGATTGCACAGTGACTCTAGAATTAGCTTTGCACTCATCCCTTCTTCCTGCCAGACTAGATGTTTCCCAACAGTTTTGTAGTTATTTCGGAGAGCCTTTAATGGACTTTTGATGACAAAGAATGAATGACAAGGCCTTAATATTTTGGTAAAAGTTATGAGATGAATAAAGGAAAGAAAAGTGTATTTGTTGTGTTACCAAGAGATAGTGATATTTTACTAAAATTGCTTGATCTTGTAATGAAGGAGAAAGTTACTTCTTTATTCTTTTTCTCCCTTTCGCCCATTTTTCTTTTTTCCTACACTTTCTATATTTTAGGTATACAGTATATTTTGTAGTTTGTATTAGTTTTGATTTTTTCAACTGTAATATTAATAAAATTATTTTTTAAAAAAGTTGGGCAATATTCCATTTAATTCTGCCTGCTGGATGGAGGACATGAAGGGGAAAAAAAGGAATATCCTCTTTCTGCCAGATATCTGGTAATCCTCATGGGCAATTTTAACACTAATATGAATACAGGGAGTATATTGGGAGAGAAAATTACTTTCTTCTGCTCAGTTATGTTGTCTGAACGGGGGGCGGGGAGCTGTCAACTTTGACATCCAGACAGTCCTCTAAAGAAATGAGGCAGAGTAGAGTGCCCTAAATTTTCCATAAAATATGGATTGCTCACATTAGTGTGCTATTTTTCTGGGCTGATGATAGATTGCCTCCCCCCGCCCCAATTATATTGATGCTGAGGGATTAACCTCCATTTCTTGTGAAAGAGGTCAGGCTTACAGTTAGGATTCCAGAGTTTAAACAATAACTACTGTTTTATCCCATGTCATCAGTTGACATTTGGGGAACTCCTCAACCATTTGATTGACTCTTCACCACATACCTAGTTTACTCTAGAAATACAAACACAACGAAGGTGCTGGATGAATGGCCCTCTCCCAAATGGCCTTTCCCTGATGGTTGATTGAAGGATTCTCCTTGGGTTGCTTGGCAGCTTCTGAAGATGGAACTGTAAAAATAACACCTAGAACTACAGGATGTAATGGGCTGTGAAAATGACCTTGAAGAGCATGAGCCACAACCAAGACATTGGTCAGATAAAAGAAATCTGAGTCCAGAGCAGAAATTTAATTAAAAATAAATGTCTCAGATTTGAGCCTCCCTAGTTATCTTGCAGATAATGGGGAGGTGCTTTCAGACTTGTGGGCTCTATTATCATGACCCTATAACTGTGATGGCGAACCTATGACACGTGTGCCTGAAGTGGCACGGGGAGCCATGTTGCTTGGCACATGTGGCATTGCCCATTCCTCTTCTGGATTTCTGGCATGCATGCCAATGTGACGATCAGCTGGCCATTTTGCATGCAGCAGTGCCAGAAATTAGAAGAGCTGGTCTTCCATTTTCCTGCATGATCATGCGCACTGGCCAGCTGATTGTTGCGTGCGCATGTGCGCCAGAAACCTGGAAGAGTAGCTGGCTGGAATCAGAAGTTCAGTAGCTGAAACCGGAAGTTCATTTTCGGGCACGTGCATGCGTCCTGGGCAGCTCCTCTTCTGGGTTGCGGCCCAGATGTGCATGTGCACTCCCTTTTCGGCACTTGGTGCCGAAAAGGTTTGCCATCACCGCCCTATAATCAAGGTAGCATTAGCATTCATAATTTTGGTTTCCTAGTCTGGCCTATCTCAAAGGGCTAATGAAGTGATGAATGACAAGGGATGAATAGGCCTATATAAAATTATATCATGATTGACAGAGTGTTATACTTTTCCTCCCTTATTATGTCTGCATGATGCTGTTTAAGGTCACATGAATCTACTTGGAGGTATGGGTTTCAAGAACAAACTTTAGGCTGCTGTGATCTTTTTCCTAGGTAGTCTTCAGGTTACGATGGCAATTGGATCCAGCGTTGCTGTTGCTAAGCAATGTGATTAGAAAGGATAATGTTATATGACCACATCACTTAGCAACAATAATCCTGTCAGTCCCATTTGACATCATAGCCCCAAGATACATGGGTTGTTAAATGGGAAGTAGTGGGAATCATGGGTAAGTAGCACAGGGGCTCCATAGGAGGAATGGGAGGTCCTGGGAGGCCCAACACAGGCTGTTCATGAGAGGGAGAAGGGTGAGGAAAGGCTTGGAAGGACCAGTACAGGTGTGGCATGAGCACAGGAAGCTGAAAGCACGGTGCAAGTTCAGGAAGGTCGGGGATGGATGGTCCGACATGGTGCAAGCACGGTGCTAGTGCAGAAGGCTAGGGAGACTTATCCAAAGTGACTTGCAACCTTCCCTGCCAGTTTCTCCATTGACTTTGCTTGTGGGAAACAGGCAGGGAAGGTGGCAAATGGCAATCCTGTTTAGGTCAAGGATTAGTATTGTAAAGTAGCTTTCTGTGGACTATTCTAATGGTATTATGGTTGTCATGGAAAAAATATGTGATAGAACTCCATGAAGAATGGGGATGGAATAGACCCCAGCCTTACTACTGTTACATATGCAATTTTTCAAGTGGACAGATCAATGTGTATATATTTGGGAGGGTAATACAATAACGTATTTTTATAATTTCATTTTATATGGTTTCTTTATTGCTCCTAAAGATACTATAGTAGAGGCATTGTATTGTATGTTTTTTCACTTTGCTACATCCATGTTCTAATTTAAATCCACATTATTCATATTTAATTCTTCTGTAGTTTAAATTTCTCAATTGATGGGAGTCATTTTATGAAAGCTCATCTTTGATATTATTATAGTTATTGAATTTACTCGCAAGTATTCCTTTTCCAGTATATCAGCTACAGATTTTAGATTTACCTTTTATAAATAGTTTAATGAAACATTTATATTTTAAGTAGCTTAATCAAATATTTATATTTTAAATCTATTATGGACAAATGCACAATTCTATGGTTCTTGAAGCTTGATAAGAATATTTGGATGATTCAAGATGCATGCTGATTGGGCAATTCTGAAAGATTTCCACACATCTTAAAGTTGCCAAATTTGAAAAACACTGATCTAGATAATTAATTAACCAGAATCATTTAAAAAAATATTTGCTTCATCAAATACCAGCCAGTGTTTTTATCACTTCTTTGAATAATAACCATGAGCTGATCTTGCCTCCTTCTGAGGTATTTGAAAATAAAATAAAATTGTTTAGGGAGCTTCTGTGGCTTCCAGTTTATTGGAAAATGTGAACTTTGATTATTGCTCATTGGGTATAGATTCTACTTTAAGATGGGCGGCTATACAAATTGAATAAATAAACTTTTGTTTACTTACTGTATTCTCTTGCCATAATCCTGTTTCCAGCTGATGAAGAAGCACCAGATTATGGCTCAGGAGTGCGGCAGTCAGGAACAGCTAAAATTTCCTTTGATGATCAGCACTTTGAGAAGGTATGCTGTAAAAACCAGGACTATATAAGAATTATTTCAGTGGGGTTGATTTCATGAAGATACTTGTCTCATACCTTATCAATTATTAATAGGTTTCTTATATAGATTTTAAACACACAGGACTTTTGAAAGATGGGATATAGTCACAACCTAATACTAAATTTCCTCAGCAACAGCTCTGTGCTTACATTTCTTTACATGTACTGAGATAAAAACCTAAGCAGAGATTTTTCCAGTCTCTAGGTTAACTGAAAACAGACATTAACAACTTTCAGGTTCTAGATTTCGTTGGTCTGGTGTTTGAGTGGATGAGTTTATATTTCATTTTATGGATACTATTCAGAAGCATATGACATTTTTATTGATTCATGTTGACCACTGCGAACTCCTTGAAGAAGAAAATAGGATATCAATAAAATGAATAATAAATGTAAATGCAACAGTCTTTTATAGCCTCTGCCTGTTTTCTTTTTGAGCTTTGCCATATATGGTTGTGATGCAATTGTTAAAAAGAAGAGAGAAACTGTTTTATTGCCAGAGACAATGATATTGATGTTTTTCTTTGTAGTTTCAGTCTGAATCCTGTCCTGCAGTGGGAATGTCTCGCTCTGGAACATCACAAGAGGAGCTGCGCATAGTAGAAGGACAGGGACAAATTACTGATATAGGGCCATCAGCAGATGAAGTCAACAACAACACTTGTGCAGGTAAAAAGCCTTCTTGTTTTGGGGCGGGGGAGGAAACTTGTACACAGCAATAAAATCACATTGGGTCTTCTTATAAGGAAAATATAAAATGCTACATTGTCAGATATATTTGTATGGTGCTGATGCAGTCGAAAGACTAGGTTGAGAAATGAAATAGTTTACATACTGCACAAAATGTCAATATTTTAAAATGTTAAACACTAACACAATGAAAATGAATTAAATGGGAATACAGCTAAATTAAGATGAGGGAGAAAGTTTAAGCCTCCACAAAAGAGGCAATGTCCTATGTTTAGTTTACTGCAAAGTGCTTTACATGAGACTGTCCATGTAGACTGATCAGAAACTCCAGCCACAGTTAGTTGCTTTCTGATGTGTGGTTTATAGACCATATTATCAGCTATACTGTATCATTCTCACGATTTCTGGTAAATGGCAAATTGATTGTTATAACTCTCTTTGATGAAGTTTTTCCTCAAATATGGATGGATGATTTTCTTCTTTGTTGTACATATGAAACATGGATAGATAAAATATGAAACTTTATATTTGAGAAGAAAGTGTTTACAATAGCTATTATGTTTTCTTAGCCACTCCAGAAGATATTCTCCTGGAGAGTTCAGAGAAATCCACAGTTGATGGACCTTTTGAGACAGCTTTGGAGCACTTGAAATTGGGCAGCATTTTCACTTTCAGAGTTACTGTTCTACAGGCCTCCAGCATCTCAGCAGAATATGCGGACATCTTCTGCCAATTTAAGTGAGATACAGTTCCATTCCACCATTTGCTATTTATGCAGTTTAGATAAATTTAGAAGACTGTGATCACACTTTGTCATTGATCCATTCTTTTCACATGGATAATTAATCAAAATGATTTTAACATTAAAAATTTGAGGGATGGAGGCTAGAATATAAGTGCATTTAAAAGTGCATTTATTCTTACTGAGAATAAATACAGGAACGAAGCTTAATAGCCTGAAGATATCAATTACTTTTATGAGAGAATATGGAAATACAGAAGAGCCCTACAAGATGAGGGGAAAAAGTATTATCTTCCTAATCTTTCCATATAATGTCATGCTTTTGATTTTTCAGTTTCTGAACTGAAAAATTCTAACAGAGAGTAGAGCACACCATATAGGAGGCCTGGTGATGATCAACAGACTGCAGTCGAACTTGTGTTTACAATTTGAATGAATTGCATACACACATCCTGTGTATGTATATGCTTTTGAAATGAATGTATTCAAGCATAGTAATAGAAGCTCTTTTTTCACAGTTTTATTCACCGCCATGATGAAGCCTTCTCTACTGAGCCCTTGAAGAACACTGGTCGAGGCCCACCTCTTGGCTTTTATCATGTTCAGAATGTTAGTGTAATTTTCTGCTTCGTGTTGTTAATTTTGCATATTTGTGCATTATTTCGCCTTTAAAATTGTTTTAATTCTTTTAAAGACTGATAGAAAATTAAATCTAGCTTTCTGCTTACTGGCTAACGCTGTTTTTTATGATTTCTATGTATATTACAGTACTAGAGGTTTATATTACTAGTTTTTGAGACAACAGTATTTTGTTTCTAGATGACCATGAAAGGGGAGAATTTAATTTATTTTGTACAATTATGTCCTTGACATAATTAGTGATATTTTATGACTTGCTTTGTTGATTTCATTTCTGGAAAGACCATTGATGAAGGAATAAAGGCCTAGAATGCCAGAAAATCAACGAAGATAATGAGATATATTAACATATATTACCACTGCAGTTTTAAGTTTTGCCCCCTTTTTTTTAGCTTCAGTGAATGAAAGTTTTAGATCTTCCAACAAATTTTACCCAGCTTAATAATTTGGCCATTTTAAGTTGAATATCTTGTTATATAAAATAAGCATTTTTATCCTTTTCTTTTCTGTCTTACAGATTGCAGTTGAGGTCACTAAATCCTTTATTGAATACATTAAAAGCCAGCCAATTGTCTTTGAGGTGTTTGGCCACTATCAGCAGTATCCTTTCCCCCCTCTCTGCAAGGATGTACTCAGGTAAATTATCATCCATGATCTTTCACTACTTTTGGCTCATCTGCTTCTTTATAAGAAGTGGAACTTGCCTACAAATCACTGAGATGTTTGCCTGATTTTCAGCAACAGTTTAACTTTTGCAAAACTGCTACAGTGCAGTCTGTGCCATTATAAAACAAATAAAACATGTCCTAGTGTGTTTGAGGAATCATATAACGAGATACAACACTACTGTATTGCATTTAGGTAAACCAACCTGGCTAGTCAACTGAGCAACAGGAATCAATTACCAGATATAAACACTGAATCTTTGTTATTTCAAATTCTTACACAAATAAAAATTGTGATACTGTATTACACTGTATGTTCAGTTTCCAGTATTTTACCAAGCACAAAATACTTTTTTGAAAATTTTAAAGATCTATTCAATAGGTCTGTCCTGATTGATTACAGTTTATTTTTATAGCATTCATTTTAATTAGTTATGCCTTTTATTATAGCCCCCTAAGACCATCTCGCCGCCATTTTCCTCGCGTCATGCCATTATCAAAACCAGGTAAGAGAGAAAGTATTATTTGTTTAACATGAGCATTAATGAAAATTTCAGAATTTTTAGACATTTAGAACAAAAATATTAGTGATTAATAACTGTTATTTGGAAAAACTGCCCCAAATCTTTGTAAAAATTAGTATTGTGTTGACGTCAGTTGATGGTGAATTGAAATAACAGACATCTTGCCCAAATTTTCATAAGGAATAGATGTAGAAGAGAATTATCTGTGTGTCATCTCTGGTTGCCCCTTTCCCAAACATACATCTAAATCAGCGGTCCCCAACCTTTGTTGCTTGGCAGCCTGGTGGAGGGGGAGAGAGGAACCAAGCCATGTGAGTGGTGGGCTGGCACGGAAGTTGAGCAACACGGCACATGTTGCTCAACTTCCGCAAATAGCAGGCCAGTGCACATGCACATGCACAGGCAGCTCAACTTGTGCAAATTGAGCTGTGTGCATGCATACACACTGACCCGCTGCTCATGTAATTCAAGCTACATGTGCATGCCGGCCTGCTGCTTGCATGGTCTGGTTGCAAAGAGGCCATGGCCTGGTAGTGGGCTGTGGCCCAGGGGTTTGGGACCCTTGGTTTAAATGGTAAAACTTCAGTATAACCCAGTTTTCAACTTTTAATCAACTTCTTCTTCCTTGAATTGAACACTTGCCTGGTTGGAAAGACAGGATATCAACTGAATAAATGAAAAAATGTCATTGGTGAGGGACACAGAACAATGAGGTTTCTCTTATTTAAACAGTTCTGATTTCTAGAGTATAGCTGATCCCCTTGGGATATCTCAGTGTTTGAAGAATAATTGGAATAAATTTTTAGGCACCCATTACAGAAAAGTAGCTCCAAGTGCTCAATAACTGCTTATTTAGTCACATCAACTAAGAACCACAATGCATGATCCTTATTCTGTTCTTATTCTGTTATTCTGTTATCCTTGTTTGATGCTCTTAATGGCATTGGATGTAACATGTTTTCCCTTTCTTTGTGTGCCTTGTATATTGCCTTGTATCTCTCATATGAATTTTTTATATCTGGTTCTTGTGAGAAATTGTGCATAGACTCACAGCCTCATCTGTCTTGCTTCTGTGCATTATGCCCAAAGGCCTTCTAGTAACAGCCATTTATCTTTCAAATTAGCTCTTTAGGCAAGATGCAGAAACCCAGCTGCAGTATGAGATAATAGAGTTTCTCAACCTTTATACTTGACCAATTATTCCATTTTATTATAATTTTTGCAGTGCCTGCAACAAAATTGAGTGCCATGACAAGACCCAGCATTGGCCCATGTCAATGCAAGTATGATCTCATGGTCTTCTTTGAGATCTGTGAGCTGGAAGCTAATGGCGAGTAAGTTGCTTTATATACTTATGAACAATTACATTTTGCTAACTAGTTTAGGAGCCATGATCACCAAGTGAATTACACAGCTGAAAATGTTCATTCTGTTTTAGTACATTTGCTGGAAAAAATAATTGCCAAACTTTAAATGTAATACAATTATTTATAGGATAGATTCAACTTTGTTGAAATCTGAATTGGATTGGTTCAGTGCATCTGCTTAGCACTTTATATTGAGTCAGACCACTGACTCAATATTGTATATGGTGAGTTTCTGATATTGTTTCAGACAGGAATAAGTAAACACTTCCTATTGTACAGATGCAGATAATGACCCTATGAGACTCTGAATGGAAAAGATTCTCATCCTAACTCTAATTGTCCACAAAGCAAGTTAAGAGTGATGGTAAAGTCTAATGAGATTGAAAAATTGATGATACAGAACGAAGTATTATCACCAGAGGTAGTGAATTGACCTAGAATGGATGAAGGGCAGGGCTCCTGGGCCATTAACAGTGATGCAAGAAGATACATTACTATACATGTATAATCTCCAATTATAGTGCTATAAAAATCTTAGAAGTTGGGGCTCCAACTTTCCCTTTTCTACATGACTATTAATGACCTGATGCAGAATTTTGTAGTATTTCATTTTGCTAAACTTTTCTAAAGAATGATTAGAGAACCTCTGAAAGAGTAAATCTCTTATCTAATTACGAGAATTTGTACTTGCAAATGAAAACAAGTCATACATGTGCAAATTAATGTACAAGAATTTGAAACAAGGAACATATATATGAAATTGATGGGAAAAGATCACTTAAATGCTCTTCAATAATGAATAAATCAACCTGGTCTCCTTATGTAACTTTGATACTTATTTTCTCAGAATTGGTTTCTATGGAAACAAACCACTTTTCTTTTATACATCTTGGAGGCTATGAAGAGTTTTTTTTAAATTAGATAGAATTTTCACACTGTGTACTTTTCAGTGTTTTAAGCATATTTGAACAATTCTTGTCACAAAGCAGAACACTGTGAAATATTTCATATCTTAATATCAAAGGGTAGAGCAGTGCAAAGCATGTATTTTTAAAGTCATACTAAAGAATTGTAACATGAAGTTGTAAAAATAAAATCCAGTCAAGGTGAGCAAATTAATACTGATGAATACTTGTTTACTTGGTGCAATATAAATGGAGATTAATAAAAACATGCATTTTGTAAATCTTTACTATAGTACAATTCTCATCATTCTAGGCCAGTGATTCTCAAATCTTGGCTACTTCTATAATTCCCCACTCAGTGCATACTCTAAAAGTTGCCAAGATTAAGAAGCATTGCTCTAGCCAGTATGGATATGGATATCTGATTGGGGTGTAATGCTAGGGAACTCCAGGTTCAAAAATATCTTGAAAGCACAAGGTTGGAGAAGATGCTATCTATTCAGTCTCAATAAAATGATGTTTTCTAGCTATATCCCAGCTGTTGTGGATCATCGTGGAGGAATGCCTTGCCATGGGACTTTCCTATTGCATCAGGTATTTCTGTATTCTTCTTACCAATTCCTAACCCTAACCCTATTCTAAAGCATAAGGTAACAATAATACTGTTTTTATTCTAGAAAATGAATTGTTAGATACAATTTTGGGCAAATGGGCGTCTTTGAAGAATATGGGACTCGGAGCATTTAAAAACATTTTTTGTGTGTTTGCTGCTTCATTGAATAATCCTTCATATGTCCCACCTGAATGGGAAAACAGGATAGTGTTCACTATCTTTTTGGATTCTATAATCTATTATTTTGTAAAAATTTTTGTTTTTATATGGATCATAACTTTGATTAGCAATCTACTTTTTTTAAAAAAAGAATATCCTTATAAATATACATTCTGGAAATATAAAGGAACAGATTTATTTTTTAAAAAAACTACATTTTTTTCTTCAACGCAAAGTGGCAAAGTTGAAGTCAATTTTCAGGAGACACACCTAATATTTTTTTCTTTGTACAGCAGAAATATAAAACATCTGCTGACTTTTTCTCTCTTTAACTATATTGCAAATGTCCATTATCCATTCATTAGGGGAACTCAGCCCCTTAAAATTACCTGATAAAAGTGTTATTTGTTATTTTACCAAAAAAAAGTAAATCATAAAAAAAAAAGAAATACAAATGTAAATTTTTATTCAGGATTTTATTTTATTTTTTCTAACTTTTTCTCTGGAAACCTTTTAGAAATACATAAGATTATTTCAGTATTTCTAATAACTATGTTGCTTTATTCAATAACCTGCCCATTACTTATTTTCCCATAAAGTTACAATTTGAATGAAAAAAAATTATTTGTATCTCTTTTCCCTTCCTCTAAATATATAATACATTTTTCAAAACTTTTTTTTAAAAAAATAGTTCTAATTCTGTTGAGAATTCTTTGCTTTATTACATGTTGGTTGTGAGCTGAGTTTGGTACAAAGACAGCCAGTTTATAAATGTTTATAGTTATATATATATTGGAGGGATTAATGTCCACTATATAATAAAATTTACAAAAGCTTATTGAGAAAACTTCCTTCTAATAATTCCTATTTGGAATTGGGCTGCATGAGTGGCTGGCTGGAACGCGTGCACGTAGCTCAACTTGCATTGAGTGGTGGGCCAGCAGGCAATTGCACATGTGCATGTCGGTGTGCTGCTTGTATAAGTCGAGCTGCACACATGCATGCCAGTCCGACTCTCACATGGCCCAATTCCCCTCTCCCCACCCAGCCTGGCCACCAAGATTGGGCTGCAAAGGTTGGGGACCACTGTAATAATATATCCGAAATTAATTCTAAATGTAGCTTCAGTTCAAAGAGCACTTTTTCTGTTTCAGTCCAGAAAATCTTTGAAATTTGCTTTCTAGTCTTTCTGTAGTCATGGGTGTGCTGCATGTGGTCTTTGAGATATTCTGAACTATAACTCCCAGCTGCTCCAATATCCACATATGCTGGGAGATGTAGTTTAGCAACATTTAGAAGACCACATTTTGCTCTTCTCAATTTCCTATTGTGTGTCCTACAGTCTGCATATAAAGCTTTCAATAAGACATTCCTTTCTAAAAACAAACTTAACATACTATTTTTGAACTATATTTTTCAACAAAAGTATTTTCTATAGTTTTGTTCAGCAAAAATATTAATATATACAGTATTTCCTCTGGCCCAACTGTTTACTTTTGCATACCCTGACTTATGGGAGTTGATGTACTTCCACTTAGGATAATACTTTGTGTGCACTATAGATTTGAGCAAACTCTTTGGGTCTGGAGGTTGGCTGTGAAATACCTTTTTCCACATCTGCTCCATCTGGGAGCCATAGCTGGCATGGCTTATGACATCTTCACATCAGTGGAGTGGACAGACCCATAATTTTCAAGATGACACTGCTTATTTTCTTTCTTTGTTTTGTTCTATGGTTTATTATAGGCCACCCAGAGCTGCAGGTTATATGGCAGCCATATAAATGTCATACATTCATAAAATTTATCATTAATGGTGCTTTATCTGGTTGCTTCTGGGGGCCGGGATATTTGCTTAGCTTTTTTAACACAGTTCTTATAACTGATAACTTTATTATTTTTCCGTGTGATGGATGTCAGGGTATCCAGAGGAGGATTACAGTCACCTTGGTGCATGAGACAGGGAGCCACATCCGCTGGAAGGAAGTCAGGGAGCTGGTTGTGGGTAAGCAAAATATTTGTTCTATATCCCAATCAATGTTGAAGCTATACAGTACATCTCAACTAAGCAGTCTCAAACTGCAGAACAGCATCACTGATTTTTAGAGAAGCTTATGGATACAGATGCTATGTAAAAAGAGCTTTCAGTGATATGGCATTTGAGCATTTTTCTTTACTTTTTGTAACAACTTGTTCATTTTGGTAAACAGAGCCTGTATTTGAATGTTTTACAGTGTATCTCCTCTGTAGCCTCCAAGAGTCTCTTGGATTACAATAGGATAGAAGTATTTTGGAATAGAACTATGTTTAATGAATAAACAAATCTCCTTTGACACAGTTTGAAGGATAGACTGGACTTTGCATAGAAAACTGGATGATGCATTTGTTTATGTTGACAGCGTTTGTGTTCTGTCCCCCTTCCCCACACAGGCAAACACACAACCAGACACGCCTGCCAAGATTTTATTAAGCAATCAGACTAGAAACCCTTGCAGATAAGAGTTTTGGCAGTAAACTGCGAAATGCCTGCCAAGTCAGTTTTCACTCACAGTCAGCAAGAGAGAATTTCTCCTCAGTCCAATTCAGTAGCAAAAAGTAATCCTCGAAGCCAGAATTGGCCAAGGTCCAATCCAGATTTCAGATAACGCGATGTGACTCTCAGGTTTTTAACTTTGACCATCACAAAGCCTGAAGAGCAATCACACCCACTTTTATTCCTTGTGGGGTGTGGCTCAGTGACTCAGCTCAATTTCTGGCCTTCCCATGCCTCTTTCGTTGCTGCACACACTTCTCCCTCCGACGCTGCCTGGGATCAAGCCAGGATTCATCATCCTCGCTCCCTATCTGTTGTTGTTCCAATATGCTTTCCACCTGGCATGTCCCAGGCTGTTCCTCTTGGCCTTCGGATGGAAACTGAGGCATTGCCAGAGAGGAGGGTCCTGGAGAGGGAGGCCTTGTCAGTTCCTCCCCATCACCTTCTGAGTCTACTTCCTCTGTTAGGACAGGCTCAGGAGTCGGGGTCACAACCATTTGAGAGATTGTCAAATTACAGTGGTGTGATTGGTTCACGGCCTCTTTCTTCTAAGAGGAGCATAGCTCAGTATGGTAAAAAGTATGAAAATATCCCAACAGTGTGATTTCTTTTCAGTTATCATCATGATAAGTAATGATGAGTTTACTTAAACCTAGAGAATAATCTCACTTTATAGACATTCTATATTGGGCAGCTTGCAAGTTACAGGTCTTATGTGACTCTTTAAAATTTTGCATATGGTTAGGACATATGGCAAGCTGGAGACTTTATAAAACATGATTACAATGGAAATATGGCACAAATGGATGAATCTTTCAGCACTCTGCCTTCTGCCTCCCATCATGTTGAAATGCAGAGTGGAGAGAAAGCTGTGTATGCATCACTCCAGGTCTTCCATTCATATTTTGGAAAAGACTTACCCGATTATTATTTAGATATCTAGAAATATATTTACTCTAATTCTCCTGCAGCAGTATAGGGAAGATAAAATGTATGCTCTATCCTCTATTTGTAGGTCGAATCCGGAACACTCCAGAAGGAGATGAGTCTCTCATTGACCCCAATATCCTCTCTTTGAACATCCTCTCTTCAGGATACATCCGGCCCTCTCAGGATGATCGGTAGGTCTCTCAAAATACTCAGCTAATCTGGATCAGTCATGATACTTCTATATGTCTGGTACCGTATGTGCCCAGTTGCGTGAAAAGCTTTTTCACGCAACTCTTTACACAGTCCATGTGTCAAAGTTCTGACAAAGCTAGCAAAAAAGAACACGACAAAACTGCACACAGAAAGGGCTAGTGGCTTTCCTCCAGTATTTTTTTTTTCATGGATAACAGTTTAAGAGACTAGTGCAACATAGGAAGTTGCCTAGTATCAGTTAAATCATTTATTTGTCTAGTCTGGTATTATTTCCTCTGGCAGAAAGTTTCATGTGTCTGTGGCTGAGGTCCATCTTGCCCAGCACTTGTCCATGAGTCCTTTTTTTTCACTTAAAAATATTGTTTTAAGAAGTATTATTTAATAATAAATGGAAATACTAGAAACAACCTAGGACCTCCTAAATGGTTAGCATTTAGCAAATGTGACCTTGGAGGACTGGCATCTCTCCACGTGCAGAATATGTTTAAATTTGCTCCTGGACTGTGGCTCAATTGCTTTAGCAACAGTCTGCAAACATTTATTTGCCATATATTGTAAATACTACTTTTAGTATTTACAATTTATCTCACAGCCTAGCAGAAGAAAGCTGATAATATTTCCATGTACTATGAAAGGGAAGCACTGAATATGCATCTTTCTACAAGGGCCCAGTCATTCTCCAATGGAACAATGGGTGGTAAAATCTATTGGTGATGTAGAAGTTCTTTCTTCTAAATAATGACAAACACTGGAGTTTCCAGATATAGCACTGCAGTTTGAATGGAACAACTCTTCTCCAAAATTTCTAAAATGGCTATAGGGATATGTTACAGATTCTTCCTATTTTGCAAAACATATTTTTAAAAAAGATACTGAGAAGATTAGAGGTTGGAGTGTGACGCCCTTTCTTACCTCCTTGGGTCTGGGTATTGCATTATTATGAGAGGTTAATGGTAAAAGATAACACATATCATTAACAAATGGGTGATTTATTGTTAAGATGAAAGACATGGATGAGTGAGTAATGCTATTCTGTTAGGAAAACAAAAGACAGGAGACAATGTGATATCTCATTCATTCATCTTTTTCTGAAGATTAGTTTCTCTTTCAGTACCTCCTATAGTTGAGACCAAGTTATTATGATCAAATAATCCTGAGTATATTCCTCAACATTGATCTCAATTCAGATGTTTAAACATGTATGATTTTTACAATCCTCTGAAAGAATATATGGGTGAGTTTGGAAATGATGGTGAGCCAAGAACAACGTAAATAAATTTCAACAAAACAAGGTGTAAGTATATCATGGAAAAGAGCAAAGCTGATGAGGAAATGTGAAAAGGAAAAAGAGGTTGGTTAAAGTAATTCCAGTCCACATTTTTCCAATCTGATGTCCAGATATGTTAGAACTATAATTTCCAAGCTGCTTGGGCAGAGTTTGGAGGATGATTGTTCAAGGTCAGGGAATAGGCAACCTTTGGGGGCCATTAGACACAATTTAAATGGTTAAGGCACATCAGTTGCAAATAGGGAACTATTCTCAGGGAATAGTCTTCCCTGAGACTATTCAGCTTTCTTTCTTCTCCTTTCTTTATGGAGAAGATCCTCTCTATTATTCCAGCTTTCTTTGTTCCTTTTTTTCTGGATGAATGATCACATCCCAACAAACACTGTGCTGCACCCAACTTCCATTATTGTTTTCCCCAAATGCCAATAAAATATAGGTGAACGGAGTTCATAGCTGTAAAGATGACTGTTTAAACACAGCACACACCCTCCCATTTAATTAGTTTTTTAAATGTTATCTGGCAGATATAAATGAAGACATTGATAGGGATATTGATATCCTGTATATCCTTGACCATCAATTCCATGTGTTTGATGGTAATATAAAATATATATTCTATTCAAAAGGAATTTTCCCTTCCAAACAAACTAGCAAGAAATCAACAGAAGAAAAACAAAACAAAATAAAACAGGAAAATAAAGCCAAATGAAGCACAGCAGTGCTGTTCCTTTTACTGATATTAACCAAGATCTTTAGTTTTGATTAAGTTGAAGAAGATACAATTTATATCAAGATGTTTCCAGATGTCAGCTTTTTCAGTGACAATAATAGCCAACCAATAATAATAATAATAATAATAATAATAATAATAATAATAATAATAATAACTTCATTGTCATTGTACTTATATACACAATATACCCATACAACGAAATTCACTTAACACCCAAAGACCAGGTCCAACACACATAACAATCCCCAAACACATTCCCATCCACCACAGATTCCCCGCCCCTAAACCACCCAAACATCCACACAACAGACCAAGTAATGCTGTCCAACAGCTCACTGATGGTGGCCCTTTAGTTCATTGTTGAGTGCAAGAATAGCTCTGGGATAAAAACTATTCAAAAAACGTGTGGTCCGAGTTTTAATTGTTCTATATCTTCTGTCAGAAGGCAACAGTCCAAAAAGATAACAGTCCAATAAACAAAAATAAAAGAAAAAACTTATAGGAAATGTACCTATTATCAAGAACAATGATAATTATTGGAAGCTATTGTTCCTAGGTTTATTTAGTGGTTGCTGTTATTCCTACACTAATCTTGACAGCATACATGCCAAGCAAACTTCTTTTTTACAGGATCCTGGCTTGTCAACATGCAATCATCTGTAAAATCAATGATTAAAACTGATATTAGGAAGTATTCCTAATTTTATGATGGATTTTGCATTGCAGAATGAAAGCAATTGATCCTGGTCATGCAATATTTCTTTCATCCCTGGTTCCTGAGCTTTCTGTCTCAGCCTCCCCTGACCTGGTGCCCTCCAAATGTATTGGAATATAAATCCAGAATTCCTATTCAGCATGCTGGGAATTCCAATTCTATGACTTGTGAAGGAAATCGGGTTGAAAAAGGCCTCTCTATTACATATTCTAGAAGTGGTATTTTTTCTAACATTTTTTCCAAACTGCAGCTCTTGAAACTGCAGGAAACCTGAGTGTGATTGTTTTCAGTATGTTTCAGGATTGATTTACCATTTGGTTTATTTGTAACATTTATTAGCCAAGTGCCCTGTTATGATGCTCAAAGCAGCAGCCTTCATTAAATCCAAAATTTAAATTTCTAAATTCTTATAAACCACAAGAAATCTATTGTTGAGGCTTCTGAGCATTGCCAGAGAAGTAGGAAAGACTAGGAATCACATGCCGATAGGTTTCTGCTGCTCTTTCCTCTTCATGTCTTTTTCTCCTATATGAGCATTATTCTTTGCTGCCTGAATGGATGAAAAGAGAATTGAGGCTGGCATCTTAAAGTTGTCAGCAAGGCTGGCCAGATTTGGCTGAAGGAAAAGAATAACAAAGGGTCTATCTACAAGAGCCTTTCCCAACCTGATGTGTTCCCAATCTGAGACTACAATTGTTGTCATCCCAAGATAGCATTTTTATCTTGGGGCAGTAGGAGTTGTAATCTGATCCCATCTGGATTGTATCAAGTTACAAAGGTGGCATTAGAGCCCCCATTTTCCAGATTTCTCATCTTTTTTAATTTGCATGAATTTTAGGAACTTTCTTCAAATCTTGATAGTACTTAACTAAGATCTTTTTGTTGAGAACTCAACTCATCCACCCACAGGGGCACCTGTTTCAGTTCCCAGCTATCATGTATCACCATGCTATTTTCCCAGTAGGCAGACAATCATCTCTTTAGACTTTATTCACTGTATCCCGATATCATTGAGTAACATGATGCAAGAGAAATTCAGACTAGCTTCATGTTCATAGCATTATAAAAGTCCTCCTTGTGTGTTGGCAAGAAGCCCCTGTAGAGCCATATGGCAGTATTTATAGGAATTATTAGACAAAATGTGATGGTGAATCAGATTGAACGAAATGACACTATGATTAAATTATATGCCTGAATTAGAATGTCTAAAATACTAGAAGGACAGTTTTTCCTTGAGGCAAGCCAGCAACAGCAAAACAAAAAAAAGCAAACCTAGTATGGCTTGAATTTCTAAATGAGGACAGTACTTTTCCTACATGTTCGTTTATAGTCAACGGGTGCATTCTCACAACATGTGGAATAAAATGCCCTGTTGAGAGGCAGACAGATACTGATGTTCCCAATCTTTCTGTGGTCAAATGCAGCTCTTTAAGCAAAGGTTTACCTTGACTTCTAAACCTGAAATGGATTCCATTTTAGAATTGGAGAAACCAGCCTTTGTAACTTAGATCTGTGACGACTTAAAATTCCAGTTTCTCTAGATGGCAGGCATTTCTGATCTAGATGGTATAGTAAACATAAATTCCTCATTAAGAACTACTGGTATGTGCAATTGTAGTAAAATGGTCACTGACATGCACTTGTCAATCTAACTTTAGGACTTCTGCAAACATACCAAAGGCTCTGCCCCTTTCACCTTCACAATGCTGTGGGAGCTTAAATGTGCTTTATGTAGTGATGTACTGACAACAAACTTCATTTGAATTTGAGTGAATTGATTGGATATAAGGCTCTGCAATAAAAGCCCCCAAACTAAGCCTAGACATTTCAGTGTATCTCATTGTTACTCCACTTACTAATTTACAATGTGTTCATCAGGGGCCCTTGAGCTTTCTTTCTACTTGGGATAGAGAGGAGCTGTTGTAGGGCTTAGGCTTTGGAAGACCTGCATGATAAAACTGCTGATGCTACTGCCACCTCCACCACCACTGCCCATTTAAACTAACCATGTGATTGTTTGTGTTTTTGCAGGCAGTTTCTTGATTCGGATATGCCTAGGTATTATTTGTGAGCTTTCCCATATATTTTATTTCCTCTCATGCACCTTTTTCAAAACAGCATTGGGTTAGCAATGCTGTAGACTAAACTTACTTCCACCTACCTGAACACACCAGCTTCTTCCTTTCTTTTTTCTCTTCTGCATCATTGGGCTTCTTTTTGTTCCATTTTGTTCCTTGGTTGTTGCTTTTTGTAGCTTTTCTTTCAAAGGCCAGTGTTTTTCTTATTTCTCTCTCATCCATATATGCTCTCTTTGGGGAATGGGGACTGGGAGATAGCTTTTTTTTCCATTTTATTTCCCTCTTTCCTTTTTTTCCCCTCTATCTCTGCCAAAAAATGCTGGCCTAGCCTGTTTATACTGAAACTCCTCCATCTCCTGCTTCTGGCTTTGGCAGTGACACAAAAGAAGTTGAACTGATGCAGGCTTCATGAGATGCTGTGCTCCATGTGACTAGGGGTGAGAGAAGAGATTAGGGTAAACCCAGGATGGTGTGAAAGAGCCATCAATGGGGGTGGGGGTTGGTTAACAGGCTTCCTAGGCAGTCTTCAGTCAGATGTGGGTGCAAAAACTGTTCAGAATGCAGTCTGAAGCAACTGTACGAATTCAGATATCAAATGGATTGCATGACTTGGACTGTGACAATGATTAGATATTAAAGCATCCCAAGGAGCCAATATAATTGCCAACTCTGCATGCTAGGAAGATTGGAATTTACTGAATATAATTCTTTAAATACTGACAATATCCTGCTGGTCTAACTGGCTGCAGTCCCACACATTGGAGAGACACTATGTTAAAGAGGAAAGCTATGCCAGGCCAGAGAACAGGATCAAAAGAGCTAGGTTGTGATGTAAAATGTAAGTAATTCTTCAAACATTTCTCTATTCCCTAACCCCAGTATAATGATTGACTTCTTTTGTTGAAGAATTTAAAATCAAACAAGGAAAGTTAATGTGGGAAATGGAAAGAAAAATTGTCTGGTTGATTTAGTTTAGTCTAATATTTGAATTAGGCCTGTTTGCTCTCTGAAATCTAGATTTAAGACTTAGCATATATTTGTTTTAGAGATGACAGTGATAGAAAATATAATAAATAAGGATAAAATATCAACTTTAGTTGCAAGTCAGTATGTAATTACTGTAACTATGTTCTTAATTTATGAGGTCACTGTAAGAATTACAATTTTATTGCAGTGCCTCCTAATTAATCATTCAGATTTAAAAATTTGGTACCAAAAGTATCATTAAAGATAATTGGCTAGAAAATACCATGGAAAAATTGGACAAGACAGATGTAGCCACTGTGATTTATGGCTCAATTCACTAAAATTAGAGGCATTTCCTGCCTTGGTGCCAGTATTTTTGTTCCTTCATCTGCAGCTTTCTGCCAATTTGAACTGAGTTTCTGTTGCCTATTCCAGGCACCATGATGGAACTGGTTTCCATTAATGGTTTCTTATGTGGTGTGGGTTTATACAACAAAGTTTACATCAGACTTTCTATGATGGTCATCTGGAAGATGAAGTTGATATGGCTTTTACCTTTTGAAGATTAGAAAGGATTATTTTATAACTATTAGAATGAATATTTCTAATTTAGGACTTCCTTTTTCAGAGCCGTTTGGATTTATTTATTGCTATATTTCTTTTCATCTTTTGCATGGAACATCTTGCTTGTTCCTTCTTGATAAATAGGGCATACTGTAGTTTGACTTGATAAAATAAAGTTGCTGAATACTCCTCAGTACAGTAGCATTGCTCGGTACTGTTAAGAGAAGCTGTATTTTTTTTAGGGAAGTACTATAGATTGAAAGGGTTTTTTCCTGTAAATCTTACCTTCATGAAATCATTGTAGCACAGCAAATTTCATGCATTCCAGATGTGCAAAGATTACAACTCCAGGCTGCCAAGTGATTCAGAGAGCTGTAATCCCTACATGTCTTCAAAGCAACAGGTTGGGAGAGACCAAAACCCAATTCTCATACTGGAAATCACAATTCCGATAAGAACCTGGTTAATGAAAATTTCCTTGATTTTTTAATCTACAGATAAAATAGATTTGAAAAAATCTAATTGAATCACCAGGACTATTAGACTTTCACCTAGAAAACAAGAGGGAAATATCCAACACAACAGTCCGGGCTTCCTATTGTATACATGTCCTTCTACTAAGAGATTGAAGAGAGAACAGTATTGTAACTAATTATGGCTGGTCTCTTCAAATCTCCATGCATCCCTGTGTAGCTGCCTCTCTGGGTAGCTTTTCTCAGACACCTATAAACAATGCTTTCTGACATTTTAATTTCTTTGTGTATCTGTACGTGTGTTTGTCTTGGGTTGCCTTCCACTTATAGCATTTCACTTGGAAATGACACTAGGTATTTTTGTCTCACTTTTCTCTCACCCTTGCTTGATCTCTTACTGGTTTCCCTCCTTTTCTCTTCACTTCTACACTCTTCCTGTCCTAAACTTATTTCCTTCCTTTTGGAATTTGTCTTTGACTTGCTCGTGTCTCAGTGAATTTAGCTCTTTTGGTTTTTGCAACACGCAAAATGTCTGTGAAAATGTCTGATGTTTAGAATGGGGTAGTTAATTGTGCATCAACCAATACTCAGATCCTCTTTACCAAGAGTCAGCTGTTGTTCTTAGTAATAGATCTATTGTTAATAAATTATCTTCCAATAGGTGGCTTGGTGTTTCTTATTATTAAAGAGGCTTCTGACTATGTTGATACTGAATGTTGGTGAGCTGTGATAGTGGAATGCCAGAATATTTTTAAAACTTGAGGATGCTCATATGAAAATGAGAGAAAGGGAGGAGAGAGAGAAAAAGGCCCAGTATTTTGATCATGTTTGGAAACATTTCATAATTTCTGAAATGGTCCCTGGTATATAAAAAAAATAAAATTGAACCAAGCATGTTTCACAAGAGAAAAACCATCGTAAGTGAAAATGTGATTGAAAGGGGATAGGTGGAAAATTGGGCATGTGTTCTAATTAGCAGAATTGCTACCTCCTTTGGGTGTTCCAACTTGACCAGAGCAGCTAGTATGCCATGGAATTTATTCTTTATGGAAATCTGGATTTCTGAAGGGGCATAATATTCCATAGCACTATAGGATGCTATGCTTATGGACTGCCTAAATAAGCTAAGTGTTGGCTTGTCCAAGTAATTCAGACAGGAAAGCCTGAAGTACAGATAGTCCTCAACTTACAATCATAACTGAACCCAAAATTTCAGTTGTTAAGTGAGACATTTGTTAAGTGAGTTTTGCCCCATTTTACAACCTTTCTTGCCACAGTTGTTAAGTGAATCACTGCAGTTGATAATTTAATAACCCAGTGTTAAGTGAAGTTGGCCTCCCCATTGACACTGCTTATCAGAAGGTCGCAAAATATAAGCACGTGACTTTAAGACACAGCAACGGTTATAAATATGAACCAGTTGCCAAGCATCTGAATTTTGATGACATGATCATGAGGATGCTGCAATGGTTGTAAGTGTGAAAAATGTTCATAAGTCACATTTCAGTGCTGTTTTAACTGTGAATAGTCACTAAATAAACTGTTGTAAGTCAAGGACTACCTGCATAGTCTGAGTGGGCTCCAACTTTCATATACAAATGTGATGGCTTGTATAATGAAGGTTGCTATAATAAGCAGATATTCAAATATGGAATGAGAAATGAGAGTGACTGTCTTAGCTATAACACCCAGAGTACAGGAATAAGCCAAATTTAAGCAAGCTCACTCTTCTCATTAAAAGTTTGGATTTTAAATTTTCTAGTCACATAAATTCATTTATCATTAATGGCACAGCAAAGTTCTACTGTGTAGAACATATTTTTCATACTAAGGATTACAGGTATAATGGTCCACAATTTTGAAAATTGTTATGTGCAAAAAACAAACAAACAAACATGGTAAATTAGCTGCAAGCACTTTGTAACAAACCCTGCCAAAGTAATACTAAAAATGTTTCTAGTAATGTAGAATTGAAAGCAATGCTGAGCATCCTCACTTTTTCTTTCGTTTTTCTGATTATGCTTGCCAAAAATTAGTATCTCATTCTAATGGAATAAATATTATTTATTTTAACATATTTGACTGAAGAGATGTGGCCTTGGAGTGCTTTAGGCAATACTTTAAGATGACCAGTTATTTCTATATCAAGGAAGGATCTTTTTCAATTGCTATCTAAATGTATTGCTTCTTCCCCACTTTCTATTTTAGATGGCAACTTAAATTGCATTTTGGATGATCTCTGGTGGGAATGGGATGGGGTTAGTGCATCTATCCTGGCATCGCAGTGGCTGCAGATACCATCAACCATAGGGTTGAAAACAGATAGAAATATACTCTGCTGGTTCTCTTCCTTCCTTTGGGTCTGATAATAGTTGGTGTTGATTGGGAATGAGAGGTCTCACCCTCTATTCCAACTACGTGGGTACCATAGATTTTGGTGCTCTCTCCACACATGTTTAACAGTTACATAAAATCACTGAGTGAGATCATCTGTCACCATCATCTCATCATCATTGGTGAGGGACTATTAATAGGTGATGATGTTCAAATGTACTTCCCTGCTCCTGGAATACTAAGTGATGCTGATGATATCTTGTCCTGGTGCCTGGAGGCTGTGGAACCTCATTCCTTCTTAAGTGAAGCTAGCCCCAACCCTTATGTCCTTCCAGAAAGCCTTCAAAACATGGTGTGTGTGCTTTTTTCACAAGGTCTGAGGATCCCCTGATAATAGGGAACCCACACTGTGGCTACATCATGGATAGCATTCCGATTCCCCCCCCCATTTTGATTTTAATAATTGAATTGTTTTAATTCTTTTTATAATATATGTAAATAATCAGTTTCTTTATAGGCTGCCCAGAGCCTCCTTATGTGAAATGGGTAGCTATCTAACAGTTCTAAAATAAGAATGAGTCAATAGATCTCACAATTGCTTAGAATCATTTAGTCAGAAGTATGGATCAGTGGGTGCTATTTCTGTCTGGTATACTCTCAGCTCTAATCCTGTTTATTGTTCAATGTCCCATGTTTATGTAACTCTCTTTTCAAGTGCTGCCTTCCTCTTTCCCTGTTTTTCTGTCACCTTCTCTCCTTTCCAAAATCATTTCTATTTATATGGGCCCATTAAAAAAAATTATCATATACCACAAGACCTTCCTTGAGAATTCCCAGTGATGCTTTCACTTTTGCCTTTCAACAAGATATTATATTTTGGGCCAGAGTACTCCAGTATGGCTACATCATTCAGACAGATCTATGTGTGTGGTATGTGTAAGTGTGTGTGTATGCGTGCATTTGTGCATGTATGTGTTTTGTTCCTATTAATAATGTTTTGGAATAATTTATAGTCTTTTATTAACCTGGTATTTTATTTTTTCCACTGCAGGACTTTTTACCAGTTTGAAGCTGCGTGGGATAGCTCCATGCATAACTCTTTGCTCCTGAATCGTGTTACCCCTTACAGAGAAAAAATCTACATAACCCTCTCTGCTTATATTGAGGCAAGACATTGTCAGGGCCTTCATAATGCTCTCTGTGCAATTGTCAGATCCACATTGGCATCTGCAAGGCTGTGTTTCAAAATTTGTATGATGCCAAGCATAACCTCATGATCCAAGTCCACCTTTTTCTATATGCATATAACCAGGAATATAGAATGATTTGAGATAGTGTTTAATACTTTGTTATCAATGATATTCAGCCTTGGCTGATGCTGAGAAAGCTACTGAGGTCAGATCAGACTAGGAACTTTATGAAAGTGAAGCATGTGGCTGAATTCAATATTCCCTCCAAAATCCCATAAAAAAGAAAATAACAAATAAACTTTTGAGGGAATGCAAGAAAATTACACAGATATAGAAATGTAATCACCAGTTTAAGCTTGTTTTTTTTAAAAAAAAAAATCACTGTATATGTGAAGGAGAGACAGAGCCTGGGGTCAGAGTCAAGAGAGGAATTAACGTGGAGTTGTTACATTCCCATAAACAGTCCAAGTCCTGCCCCTCTTGAATTCAGTTAAAGGTAACTCTTATCTAGCACCAGTTTAGTACTGTCCATTAATTGACTAAAATCTTGTGTATAAATCAACTTAACTGGAATTTAATGTGTGGTCCTGATTCTTCAGGCCTGACAGTATATATAAGATTATGCTCTCATTTCAGATGGAGAACTGCACCCAACCTGCTGTCATCACCAAAGATTTTTGTATGGTCTTTTACTCCAGAGATGCCAAACTCCCTGCTTCTCGATCAATCCGCAATCTTTTTGGAAGTGGAAGCCTTCGAGCTTCAGAAAGGTAAGAAAGGCCAGAAGGCAAGCACATCTTATTAGGATAAAGAATGTACTCCTGATCAACTGACATGGAAGCTGTAGGTATATTTCTTCGTAGACATTAACTATGTTATGTTCATTGTCTTAACTAAGGGCTGTTAAGCTCCATATAAAACTTTCAGCTTAACATTAAAATTCCCTAAAAAACAGAGTTCGGTCCTCTCATCTTGAAAGATGAGGTGTAGTAAAATGATTCCTTGAATGTACCATAAGAATGGCGTATCTTCTATTAGCTTGTTCTGTTTTTCACTTTCTGCTACAGTAACCGTGTGACTGGGGTCTATGAGCTCAGCCTCTGCCGAGTTGCTGATGCTGGCAGCCCAGGTAAAAAGTTTTGTCTTTATGAAAGGGTCTCCATGAGGTTTTGGGCTTATACTTAAAACAAGAGGAATATAGCTTTAGAAGGCAAGACTTAATTGTTGCTATAACTTACAAAATATGAATGTGTTGCATGTGCTTATAGAACACAGCTGTGCTGAATAAAGATTTCCTCTGTAGGTATGCAAAGGAGACGAAGGCGTGTGCTGGACACCTCTGTGGCCTACGTACGAGGAGAAGAGAATTTAGCTGGGTGGCGACCCCGTAGTGATAGTCTCATCTTGGATCATCAGTGGGAACTGGAAAAACTGAGTCTTCTACAAGAAGTAAGACTCTAGCCTGAGGCCTGATAACTGCCAGTTTCACATCAACTTAGTCCTGCCCAACTAATGGGCTAGGTGGCAAGAGTAGATTGATGTAGAGTAAAATATTTAAAATACTCTTCCCCATCCTGGATGCCTTCTAGATATATGGGTTCCAACTTCCAAATTCTCCACCTGGCATGGCCATTTCTGATAATGGAAGATATCAATAGCAAACTCGCCTTTCTTTCCATAGGTTGAGAAAACAAGACATTATCTGCTCTTGCGTGAGAAGCTGGAGACAACTCAGCGCTTAGGTCTGGATTCCTTGTCCTCAAGCGCCAGTGAAGATTCTGATTCCCGTAGCACATCTTATGTCTCATCTCCAATCTCTGCAGATGGTACCCCAGAAGGGAGGCCTTTACCTCTTGATATTCCTAGTGAGAGACAGAAAGAACTTGCAGTCAAGGTATAGAATATGGAATGTGCCTATCTGCTGGGACGGGGCTGGAAAAGTTGGCTTCATATTTCTTTAAGTCTAGGATCCAATGGGTATTTTTGTACCTGCATTCTGAAGGCATCTGAATATTCTCTGCAAGTTCCAATAGTATTTTTTTTTTCTGAAAGTAACAGTCATTTCTGAATGACGAAATAACATTTCTTAGCAGGAAAGCTTTCTCAGAAAAGAGATTAAGAATATCTTTAGATTTCAACAACACAGGTACATGGTGGTAATTTCCAGCAGTGCTAGTTTTTATCATCAGTTATAAATACTTTATTTGTGCTGTTACAAAAAGTATTCCTTCCCCCCACTTCTACAAAGGGTTGAACATTTGCTTGGAGTCCTTATTAATCTTTGCTGCTCTTGGAGAGAGAAGGAGAGAAAGGAGGGAGACATATAGATTGAGAGGCAGACAGAAAGGCAGGAAGACTGTCCATAGGACTAAAAGTTATCCAAACTTGTTCAGCTACAGGTTGTGCTCACTTAATTACTTGTCAAATGGTTTAATGACCATTCAAAGTTTTGACAGTCTTGACAGTCCCTGAAAGAGTGCTTGACAACCTGTAACACTTTTGACTTTTGATTGTTGTAAAACGGTGCCCCAACCCCCATGGTCATGTGAGGCACTTGTCATCTTACATTTACAACCAGTTGCAGCATCCCATGGTCATGTGACTATGATTTGCCATTTTTTGAAAGAAAATGGCAAAAAATGCCCATTGGAGATGCTGGATTTGCTTAATGACCACATGGTTTATTTAATGACAGTGGTGAATCACTTTATGATAGTTATAAATGCAAAATCAAATCAGATAGTGTGGTGATCCTCTAACACCATCCAATTGTGAAGGTAAATAAAGGATTAGCCATATACTTTTGTTCTTGTCAGAATCAAAACTCATTTTTCTCTTTCTCCATTTTTTTTTTTTGCAGTGCTTGCGCCTTCTTACACACACTTTTAACAGAGAGTACAGCCATAGCCATGTGTGTGTCAGTGCAAGTGAGAGCAAGGTAAAATACCTTCTGTGCTTTCATACCTATTTATTAGTTTTATTACTCCCCAGATTTTAAAATCTAATCCATTTCAGAATTGACTCCCAGAGTACTGAATAAAGCTAATACATTTAGCTCGGGATACATTGGATTTTGGGGTAAAAAAGAAGTAAAATATAAAATTCTGATAACTGTGAAATGATGGAATCCTGCCAGATTTGAAGTGTTCTCATCCTGAACTTCTACTTTGTACAGTAGAAGAAACTACTTCTACTTCTTGGAACAAATTACAAGTTGCCCTAGGGGGCTTATTCTAACTTCATTCTGATGTCCTAAACTTTTCTCTTTTACTACATGTACTCCCTTTAGAAGAATAAATGATAACTGAGCATAATTTGTAGATATTAGGGTGCCTGTTTTCTGAGAAGGTCCTGAATATATAGTTGCAAAAGTGCTGAAACATGCAACCAAGATTTGGAGATATTTGTTTCCAGACAAGCATATCCAGTGACAGATTCTTTTTATACCCAGCTATCTGAAATGTCAGTGACTCTGCTGAGAGACCCATCCATGTCAGGCCTTGGTAGTGCAACTTTGACCCCCTCCTCAACCTGTCCATCCCTGATCGAAGGCCATTATAGTGCTACAGAAGTCAGGTAAGAAAGGTGGCAAGGCTAAAAATGTCGGGGTTGTTTTTGTATCAAAGGTACATAGTTTTACTATGAAAAATAAACACCATTGGTCAAAATGTAATTGAAGTTATAAATCTGCTTTTTCTCTGCAGAGCTCTCCAGCTCCCTTCCAGAGTAGAAAGTCCTGAAATTGAGCTCACCATCGAAGGAGAGAAGAAGAAATCCCCTGTTTGCGGGCCTGAGGATGATAAGGAAATCCAGCGCCTATTGGTTCCTGATATTCAAGAGATTCGGGTCAGGTAAAAACTATGGGCAAGTGGAACAATTAGCAACTTGGCCAAAACTGTGAATTTTATTCCAATCATTATGAGCTGGATCAGATTATCAGAGGAATCATCTCATTCCAATTATATTGACCCATCCCAACCATCAGTCTTCCAGTTGTGCCAGGGACCACAAAATTGCTCCATAGGGTTGATTGTTGAGCACACACTGTGAAGTTTGTATGTAATTACTAAGTGGGATGCCAATGTGTCTCCTCTACAGCCCTATTGTCTCCAGAAAAGGCTACCTACACTTTCTGGAACCCCATACAAATGGGTGGGTGAAGCGTTATGTGGTTGTGAGGCGCCCCTATGTCTACATCTACAACAACGACAAAGATTCTGTGGAGAGAGCAGTCCTCAATCTCTCATCAGCTCAGGTGGAATACAGTGAAGACCAGCAGGCAATGCTAAAAGTAAGAGCAAACTTTGTTCAAATAAGTATCCCCACTTTCTTTACTTCATTTTCTAGGAAATACTATAGTAGGGCTGTTTTTGGCATCACTGTAAATAGGAACTAAGTTTAAGGCAGAAAATCACTATGGCCAATGTGATTATTTAGACTATCAGATAAACATACTGCTAAAGTGATAGCAACCACTTTAAGAGCCAGTTTGGCCTAGTGGTTAAGGCACCAGGTTAGAAAGCAGGAGACTGTGAGTTTTAATCCTGCTTTAGCCATGAAAGCTGATTGGGTGACCTTCGGCTAGGCATTTTTTTAGTCCAACTCCCGTCACAGGGTAGTTGTTGTAGGGAAAATAAGAGGAGGAAGTGTGTTGGATATGTTCACTGCCTTAAGTTATTTATAAAATTTATATTTATAATAAATATATCGATAAATAATTTGATGAATTGATTTTTTTGGCATTAGAACAAATGACAAAACCCATTCTGATTAATGTAGGTTGCAAGTTCCATATTAGCAAAATAACACGTGCAGCAAATATTTCAGAACCAGGACTGTTGCAATATGGATTGTTAAGACTGTATGCATGGAAAATATGGATCTGGGTTCACATGGCTTGACTTCTGTAACTTGTAGACATTATAGTTGCAGTCACTATATACCGCAGTCATCTTGTTCTTCTATGAATGAGTCTAACTAACAACTTTTTACTTGGTTTAGACCCCTAACACTTTTGCAGTGTGCACTGAACATCGTGGAATTCTGCTACAAGCAAGCAATGATAAGGACATGCATGATTGGCTGTATGCATTTAACCCTCTCCTGGCTGGATCAATAAGGTAACTGAATGCCTTAAAGGACTCCTCTTTAGAATGACTTTCCAAAGATGTCTTTTGTCTTGCACAAACTGCTCCCATTAGGCTTGCTGGATAGCTGGTATAAAATGATGGAAGGAAATAATTGAAAAGGGTTCGTCTAGAAGAAGAGTAAACTAGTTTCCTTTATACTACTGTTACAGACGTGCAATCTCTGATTCAGTTGAGATTCCTGCACCTGGGTGGAAGTCTGAAGCGTAATTCCTCTTTTTTTCTCTCAAGCCTTTACATTTGTTCTATTTTGGCTTCTCCAACAGATCCAAATTATCAAGACGAACAACAACCCAGGCAAGAATTTAACTTAATAGAGCTGCCCACCTCAAAAAATCCAGAAAAGTGAAATAATGGGTGCTGTTGGAAGATCCCCATCTGAAAATTGGAATTTTCCTGTCATTCATCTCCTCAGATGCCTGTGCCACAGAATGATCCATCATGAGTTACAGCTTCATTGGGCAAACTCATTTCCCTTGTGTAATTTTAAAAGGGTAGTATTCCCTGGAATTCTTGCACATATGTGATCTTCCACTCTTCTCTTTATTGGGTGGCTTATGACTACTAACAAAGCAAGAGCTTTTTTCTTTCCTTCTGTTTTTTTTTATTCCTAAATAAATTGTTCAATTTAAAGAGATAGGAATTTGCAAGAGTGAACATTAATGCTATTTAAAGAGATAAGTGATAGAATTATGTGCTGCTAATTCATTACTTACTGCTGACCTTTTACAAATTACTTGATAGAGAAAGAGTAGTATGAGATTATATTTATAAAGTATTTATTTCTATTTACTTCACTGAAAATAATATGCATTCTGTTAATCATGTGTTTTGGGGTCTCCCCTAATTTATGCATATTCCTGATGCTGGACTGCATTTTTGGTAAAGGAAGAGATATCCAAAGGAGCCAGGGAAGTGATGCAAGAAGAATCCATCTCTGTTTTATGTGGCTATCTTTTTTTTCTTTTCAAGCTGCATTTATTGTCTGGACATTCCTTTCCAGTGTGTTTCATTAACAACATTCTCCCCGTCCTTAACCGCTCCCCTCCACTAACACGCAGGTTTTGTTTTTTAAATGCTTTGACTGAAAGCAAAGGAATAGCAACAGAAAATAGGGGAAGCAGGGGTTTCTCCCCTTTATCTGCTTTTTTTCTTGTTGGATGGCTTACATTTTTCCATTGGATAAAATGAAGTTGTAAATACATACAAGAGCATAAGCAGTGACTCGCTGGATTGGACCGCTGGCCAATCTAGTCCAGCAGCTTGTTCTCACAGTGGCCAACCAACTGCACAAGGAACCCCACTAGTCTCTCAGCAGATGGCCTTCAGAGGCAGTCACCCTGCTATAAAGGCTAATAGCCACCAATCCCCACTATTTCTATGAATTGGTCCAACCCTTTTTTGAAGCCAGTCAAGCTGGTAGCCAGTACCACATATTCCAAGCAGAATAATTTGTGAAGGAAAAGTTTAAGCAGGTCCCCTTCCCAAGTATTCTTTTGCTCCAAGAATATTGCTTTTCATTAATTAAAAAAGAGCCCATGAAGAGGGAAGTATAGCAAGCGCTGGCCTTGTCTTAATAAGGATGAACAGCTGGCACTAAACATGTGCTGTTCCTAAAAAGAAAATGCTGGTGGGAGAGCTGCTTAATCCTTTCCTTGTTGCCAAATATTATTCATGGCATGGAAGAGTTTTTCTCTACCCTATTGCCCTTTCAGTGAGTTTGGGCTGTAGTTCCCAGATTTCCCTGTCAACATGGTTATAGTAGCTCTACATGTGTGGAAGATACCAGATGAAAGAAAGCTAGCAGGACTGGGAGAAGTTGGAATGCTTCTCATTAGCGATGTCATAGATAATATTTAATTATGGTGTAATATAGCCATTTGAAAGACTATGGCTGCACTCTTTGAGAAGGAGGTGATATACAGAAGGTGATATACACAGTGCAAACTCAAGAGATGGTATCTAGTCTTCCCACAGCAAAGAAAGAACTACTATTTGTTGGTTGCACTTAAAACTGATTGTCTGAAAAAGATTGTTTTCTTTTCTGAGAAAAGTAGATTTAGAGAATTCAGTGGGAATATAGCAAAGATGAATGGTATCTTTATGCCTTTCTGTCACTATAGGAAGTGAAGCTGTTAAAAATCTCCTTCAAAATATACTTGTTATATCACTGTTTTTTTTTCTTTTTCAAGTGTTAGAATTCCAAGTGGAATGGACCAATTGGAAAATGAAGCTGACCAAAGCACAGACACTGAAAAATAAATAAATCCCTAGCACTAAGTAGTTGAGGAAGATATTTTCATTTTTATTAAATTTTTAGAGTAATCTTAAAAGCAAAAGTGCTTTATCTCAGAGTTCTTGTTTTTGGTGATTTTTTTTTTTAATAAAATGGGTATCTATGTAAGCCAACCTTTGGCAAGCCTCTGAAGATGCCCAGCCCTTCTAATGTATGTTCTTAGGAATGTGGCATATTTCACTAATAGTGAATCTTGATTTGCACAGCATGGATACACTTTGGTTTCATTGTCTCCCACTTTTTTGTTGCATCCATTGGTCCTCTGTGTGATGCCCAGATGAAAGTTTGTTTAAGGATATAGTTTGAATTTCATGTGCATGTGATGTGAGATGTGTGAATATAAAGGCAAGAATGTCACAATCCCTTCAGCATAGATTCAGTGGATTGGCAAAAGTGTCCCAGAGGTACAAAAATACATGTTTCAGCAGGAATAACTCCAGAATCCTTTTATGATGTTGTCTCTGGCTGGAAGATACTTGCTGGGTTCACAGATTATCAAGCCAATTGCTTCTTGTTTAGCTTACATTGTTGTATGAATCCAGAAAATGTGGATCATTGATGTTTTATGATTTGGTGTGTTGTATAAATTAGTTAACTGTGATTTATTCTGTAAACCATGACTTAATGGTGTTTGAACACAGCCACTATATAATTGTGAGATTTTCTACATATTTCCTTCTGATTAACTCTCTTTAAGATAGCATTTCTTTCTTTCAAGAAACTCCATTCTTAAACATCTATAGCAGTGGTCCCCAACCCCCGGTCCGCAGACCGGTGCCGGGCCGTGGAGTACCTGGCACCGGGCCGCGCAGCGGCCGGGGGACATGAACGCTGCAGCGCAAAGGCTCCTGGGCCGTGCGCAAAAGCTCCTGGGCCGTGCCCCCACCCCTGCGCGCGCTCAGCGGGCCGCGGCGATAAAAAGGTTGGGGACCACTGATCTATAGGACAAAGCCTAGTAGATCCAATCTCTTACTGATCTGGAGCCAAAATTGAGAATCATGGACCCCTCGACATTACTGAACTGCAGTTACCAGCTGCTGCCTGAAGCATAGATAATGATGAAAGATGCTGGAAGCTGTAGTTCAGCAAATCTATGAGGAATCCAGGTTTCCATTCTTTTACCTAATGTAAACACTTGTCTTGCTCAAGAATTATTCTTAGCACTAGTTCTTAATTCTGATCAGTTAAACACTTATTAAGTTGGGACAACTGTTTGGGCAGAATGTGTTACCCTAATTTAAATGCACAAGAAAGGTATTTTCACTGCCCATTCAGTGAGAATATTTAAGATTGTCAATTGACACTTTTGAGATTGACACTTGAGAGATTGACACTTTTATTTACTTTAATCTTCATTATTTAATCTTTGTGTTTGCAAAATAGCAAAGAATTATAATCATGACTTTAAAAAACAGCCTTGATAGGCAGTTTTATTCATTTCAGCTTTCCAGCCTGAAGCTGCTTCCAGACAATGTGTTTACAGTAAAATTGTGTATGTCTTGTTCATTCACATTTAATGAGGAATTAACACCACAAAGTCATCCTCCAATAACCCTTGCTTTTCGAGTGGTGGTCCTCCCTTTTTTTAGGGAAAGGAATAAATAAGCAGTAATTCTATTTGAAGCTGTGCTGGCTGGGAAAACTATCTAAATTAGGACAGTTAGGAAGATTTGTCACTGAGGTAGGAGATTGGCATTTGGGAATGCCTTTCATTTTTGTATTCCTTGCCATGAATTTCTCACTGCAAGACCAATTCATTTTTTACAGTGCAGTTCCTTTTCTCAAAATGGTTTGTCGTTTAACCCTTGTCATTCATTTAGTTATTCTTTAAAAAAAACCAAGGCAGATTAATGCATGTTTGATTTAAAATAGTTTCCAATGTTTTCCTTTACACAGATACATTATCAGCAACTGTTTTGGGTAGCACCATATAAGTCAAGGACTAGCATTGTAATGCTTGTGGGCACCAGAAGACATGACCTTTGTATCATCCAGAATACTTCAAAATTAAATGTTTTTCTTTTTTAAAAACTAAAATGACTGAAAACATACTATGAAGTTTGGGGTAAATGTGCCAAAATTTGGTGAACAAATTAACCTTCTGCTATTAGATTTGAAGAATTTTTAATTTGGTATCCATGCCAAGTATCACCTAACATTCTCTAAGCTACAGATTGGTACAAATTAAACTAATTATTTAATTAGACCAAATAAAACCTAATTCATAAACAGCAAATGAGCTCTGTTGAAATTTAGGTTTCCTAAGATCTCTAGCTGCTGGAAGCCAACTCGAGGAAAACATCTGAATTTGGGCATACATCCTCTGAGAAACAACCACACTTAGTACAACCTGCAAATGATTTCTAGTTAGCAAGTTCGACAATGTCCAATGTGGCTTTGTCCTGGGTAAGTGTGCAAAAGACTGCAGGCTTAGTCATTTTAAAGTAATGCACTCTTTTAAATAAAGGAGAAACTTACAGAAGTTAGGAAAGTTTGTTCTTTTTGAGCATATATTCTTTATCAAAATTTCCCTGTGGCACCCTCTGTGAATACTATATTGCACTATAGAGCCGATATTATTCCCATCCAGCACAATTCATGAGATGCAAAAATCAAAAGGATCAGAATATCTTTATTACTGAGACAAAATCAGATATCTGAAGTCTTTTAGTTCCTTGTACAAATCAGAAATTGTCAGATATTTCATTATAACAACAATGAATGAAGTAGTTAGGTTCTTGCTTGTATATATTTAGCTCTCCAAATTAAGCAGTCAATAAATATGTACTATCAACTGCACTGGAACTGAAAAAGAAAAAATGCTCGAGTGGATTGTGGACAGATTAATAGTAGAGCATGCCTTAGGTCAGCCAACCTGAAGAGCATGTCCTTCTATGGTGTGATGGTGGGTCAAAGCTTGATCTCATGCTTTATTTCATGTTTCTTGGGCCAGCAAACCTACAAAGAACATGAGAGTTTTGAGTTAAGAGATGACCCAAAGCCCTTAGATCAGCAGAAATATTTTGATCAGAATGTAAAAATCGATAAAAATGACTTGGTGAATTCTGATCTCAGCAAATTGACTGTAACTTATCATATATCAAGCAAGATGCAGCTTTCTGCTAGAGTGAATATCCTCAAATGATTGTTATTTATAACAGGGTAGTGAAGCCCCAATCACGAGCACATCATTCTTCTTGGCCTCTGTATTACTGAGGGTGCTGCTTCATTCATTGCTGAAAAAAAATTAAGCTGCTAAGAAATACTATCCAGACTTCAACTGAAATAGATGAATCTCTGTTGACTTATTCTTTTGACTTTGTTTGAATGTAAATTTTTAAAATGTTTTTGCAAAGTACTTAGTTCCAGTAATAGCAAGGACTTGGTTGAAAAGAAAATTATTATTTTCCCCGCTACTATGTTAATATTTTGGGAGTCTTATCAATAGGAAACTTCTTAACATGAAATGCAACAGGGTAAATTTTCAACTCTGCTTTCTCATAGTCCCACATCTTACGTAGCAATCTCAAGAGGGAAATTAGTTAGTATAACATGATGTAATAGAACAACACTATGGTATTGTACTAACTCACACATTTCCATAAAATATACACATTAGAGGTTGATGTTTATTTACTGGGTGGCACAGTTTTCTGTTTCTTCAGCTGCACACACTAAATTAAGGGAGACATTTATCCCATACAGAAGTTCTTTTTATCACCTTCCAGTAGATTAATCTAGCATGAGAGACTTGAATATTATCATAAAGCAACAGAAATGAAAGGAACATAATTAGCCAAGAATAACAAATACCGTAAGGAAATTGCATACCTCTGGTAACCTGCAGCTATAACACAAGACATTTAACTGTTTAATATGCTATTACTGTCTCTTTTTCTGTCGTGTATTCAATTGCATATACAGTACGGAGGATTTCTAACATTCATAAGCTGAGATACAGTATCAAGATCTTTCTGTATAAGAGGTTATAGTTATTTTAATTTTTCTTATTTTGCCTGTGCTTCCATTATCTAGTTTGTCTACATGAGTTCTTCCTGTGATGCCATCTCCAAATGCTGGGAGACTATTTCTCTTGCTTTGTACAGTATATATGTGATTGCTGTGGGAACACCCTTTACCACTGTATAAATAACAATACTGAAGTAATGAGTCTAGTTTTCTTGATGTCTTAAATTTATGAGTGTTGGAAATTAGGGTCTTAAACTGTTTGTGTACACTTCAGGCACTGTTCAGTTAAAGAAATAAATGTGGCATTTATGCAAAGGCTAGGCTGTGTTTTTGACTGTTTTCTTAATCAAAAGTTGCTATATCATAAAAATTATTTGAACATCGGAAGTAACCAGAAATAAACATATGCTGCAAAATAATCCCTTCAATTTAAAAGGAAAATCTTCATGGAATGGTTAACACTGTGTTCAAATGATACAGTAAATCATACCGTGGTTTGAAATAGTATGCTGTCCAAAGCCTGAATAGTCTAGATTGTGGCCACATCTCTCCAAATTAACATAATTGATTCAGATTACATAACAATTGATTACGCCTCCACATATAATCTTAATTTGGTTTGGTTAATTCTTCGTTTCTCCAATCCTCAATTCTAGCGGCAGAAGCAACAGCAAAAATCCATTCCCACAGCAGAATTTGTGCAAATTCTTTTTCAGTTTCCATCTACAGCCATACAGGGTTTTTTTCCTGCCATATGATAGGGTTGAGGAAAGGTTAGCTTTCCATAATTGAGCTAAAGAACCTATCACAACTAGGTGCACTATACACAGAAAAGTGCTGGATACAGATAGCTTGCTACAGACTGGAAGTAAACTATAATTTCCATAAATTTCTCCTAACCATTTTAAGAGTTCATCACATCATAGTAGCAAAAATCTGTATGTAATGTAATTAAGATGCTGAAATAGAATTACACCTTAGTGTTATCCAAATTCTGTCTAAGTAAACATTTTAAAAAATCTTAGCAAACAGTTTCCAGGGATGGTCTGGCCCCTTGCCTTATTCTTTCAACTTGCTGCTCTCAATCGCCCATACTGTCACTTTGTTAAAACTATGGTTATCGCATCTCGGCTGGAAAAACCTGAAAAAGTACGAAACTTTTAGGATTTTTGCAGTCCAAATATGGACACTCCGGCTATTAAATGACGGTGCTTGCTATTTAAATTAAAGGGCAAACAACTCTGTGGGCCGACAGAAAGGTCCGGTGACTTCATCACCTGCGGTGAGGCCTCTATTACTACAAACCGACCAGACATGGGTACTGAGTGCTACTCCTTCTGCTCCGCCCCGCAGGAAGCTCGGGCTACTAGGACAGCAGCCGTGACACTCCCGAGTTTTTAATCTATGAATTATATCGAACTATAACCCAATCATTCGCCTTGGGGCTTAGAGCGGTGGCCGGGAACCTTCCAGAGTCGTACGAGACGATCCACCTGCGGAACCACCGGGACCACAAGCGGTGGACTGCGGACGCCACAAGTTGCAGCGCCCCCCTCCCCGGTCCCCCAAGCGGAAGAGGGCCGAGCTTTGGCGGGAAGCAGATCACCGAAAACACCCCCGCGGCCCAGCCCTCCTCAGGTTTACTTCCAGGGGAAAGCCCTGGAAGGAGATCGCCCAGGAACCGCCCCCGGAAGTAGCGAGAACGGCCGGGCCATCCTTTGTTGGGGGCCACAGAGCTAAGACCTCAAAGACAATTCAGAGGCGTCTTGGGACCTAGGCCCTTCCGGCCACTTGAACGCGCCCTCTCGCTGGTTTTAACCTCCCCAAGATTGCCGCGACCACGCCCCTTCTGGCGCGACCGTCGCCTTGAGGGCCTGAGCGCGAAGGGCGGCGCTTGAGTCACCCTGACGCCAATGATTGACAGCTAGGCCGGCCTTTGCGCGAGGGGGAGGAGGGAGCGGCTCGCGCTGGCCGGTGCCGCTCTGCAGCCTCGTTAGGGCTGGATGGATCTTTTCGGGGATCTTCCGGAGCCAACCCCTCCGGCAGTGGCAGCAGTAGGTGAGTGGCGGGTCCCTTTGGGGGCTCGGGCCCTCATGTTGGAGGAGGAGCGGGCCCGAGTCTGCAGGGAACGGGCGAACTGGGCCAGCTTCACTCTCCCAGGAGCCTTCGGGGTTTGCCTTGCTGCAGCTTCCCCGCGTGCACTGAAGAGGCCTTTACACGCTCTCGCCCGCTTCCCGAGGGAGCAGAGAAGGCTCTCTAGGAGGCTTGTGACGTTCGAGTACGGAACAGTAATGCTTCGAATTAAGACTCTGCCAAGCGCGAGTCAACGCGCATGCGCCTGTGACCCCACTGGGAAATCCACGCGTCTCTTATTGACACTCGGGGGTGACCTCTGGCGGGCGCAGGGAACACCTGAGTAGCCCGGGTGGCTCCTAATAGCCAGACCCTGAGCCACAGCCATTCCCACCAGTTTTATACCTGGAAGGGTGAGGCAATTAACTGATGATAGGATTGCTCTTGCAATAATAATAATAATAATAATAATAATAATAATAATAATAATAATAATAATAATAATAATAATATTAAAGTTGTAAAAAGTAATGCGTGAAAATCTGGACACCCACTAAAGGGCAACAAAGAGTTGCTGAAAAGTGCCCATTATTTGGTGTCGCCTGGCAGTATTCGAATTTTTTGTAGCCCTATTTGGCAGCCCTAGTCATATTTTTGAATACTGTATGTTAATAGATTGCTCTGTGATTTGATTTGATTTGATTTGGTTTTGTTTAGAGAAAGAGGGACAAAAAGGATCTCTGCTTTTTGATGATCTTCCTTCAATCAGCAACAGTGATTTGGGTATGATTGTTGTCTGCGTCTTGTGTTACTTTGAATTCTCTTGCTTTCACAAGCTAGTTGAGTCCTTGTGCAAAGTTTCACGTAGAGGCCGTGGGAATTTGGTAGATTTATCCGGCCCCAATGGCCAGGAATTTGCAGACTTGTTCCCCTGGCTGCTAGTAAAATACAGCAATGGATAGGGTTTTTCTGTTGGCTGGTACCAACTTTTTCACTTGCTTTATTCTCTATGGACTTCTTGTTTGCATCATATTGGTGCAAAGAGGCATTTGACCCAGTCCGTTTTACTTTTTACATTTTTACAAGCTTAACTTTGCTGTCCTTAAGCATTCTATTGTGCATTTAGATTTAACTAAGATTATTTTCCAGCAATGGAACTATAAATAATAGAAAGACTGGTAATAGAAAAGCAAAAGCTGAATCTTGGGTTCTGTGTTCTCCATTCTTTTGTTTGATTCTATCCTTGTGCCATAATTGAACAGTTAACATCATAGAGAAATACTAGCCATAACTACTCCATAGTTATTTAACTCTGAAGCTTTTTCTTAAAGGGAATATTTTTAGATGGAGATAGATATATAAATAGGTAGATAATTTTTAGAAATATATATTGTTATGGGAAAGCCATTGATTGCTGGAGTAACACATATTTTGCAAGAAGATCCCAGTTTCATTTCCTGGGGTGGCTGGTACAGAGAGCTCCTACTTACATCCTATATTATTACCAATACTGCTTGATATATCAGATAGTTTTCTTTTGAAACAAAATTTCTAAACACACTGCCAATTTTTAATTTACTTTTTAAGAAATTTTGCTAAGACTTAAATTAGCAATTTATACTTCTAGTTAGTTTTATTGGTCAATTACCAAAATAAATTTCTGTCTGCCTCTTTTTATAAACTATATTTTGACATGAATAATGAATGTAATCTTTTCCATGTCTATTTAAAAGCTATTTTTTAAGGCCTACTTCTAAGTAAATATAGGATTGCAGTCCTAGTGCTTTCCCCCTCATTTTATGAATTGAATTTAGTGCCATGTGTGAAATGGATAAAATGTTAAGTAGCTGTTAAGCTTGACAAGAGTTTTTTGGAGATGAAACTGCTCAAAAGTCTACTTACTGTGAGATCTGACTAGGGTTGTGTATTTCCTTGGGGTTTTTTTAGGAGCAGGAGGCTCTTTGCTATTTGATGACCTTCCACCTGCCAGCAGTGGCAACTCAGGTGAGCCATGACTAGATTTATTTTGCTATTTATTACACTGCTCTAATAGAGTTACACTTGAGTGTTAGCTGTTTAAGTACCTGTGGTTTACACTAAATGCACACAGGTAATGCGTCTAAAATGATACTAGAAGAAGGGGTAAAATATCTGTGATTTTCCTTTTTTCAGATTAGAGAATATCGATGCTATTCATGTTTTTGTTATGATACTAATCAAGTACTTGAATAGGTGAGATTACTACTCTGCTGTTGCTGAGGCCACAAATATCTACAGAAATTTACTTGAGATCAATATTTGTGGAGAAATAGCACTCCAGGGAAATGGTTCAGCATGTTCCCTGCTGTAGTTGGTCCAAATTCATCTTCTAAAGCAGCTGTTCTTTTATTTTATTGGCCTGCGTTTCCATGTAGTGTACAATTAGGCTTTTTTACTTCAATTTTAAATATCAATATTTATGACAACCTTGGTTTTTTATTTCAAAATATTAAAGCCAATCTAAGCTAAAGGAAAAACCCAAGCATAATTAGGTGACAGAATAATAGTAGTGTACAATGTGGCAGCATATTCCATTTGGGGCACATAAAGTATGCCCACAGAACACTGCTGCTGTTTGAGTTGAACTGGCTCACAGTAAGCTTTCCAAGTGGAGTTCAAGATGCTGGCTTCCACCTTGAAAGCTTCATAGCAAAGGGCCCAAGTTTCCTACTGGTCCTGTTAGTCCTTTGGAAAACTTGAATATGCGGTTTTTTCCCTCTGGCACTCAGTTTTTAGTGGAGCCCAGTTTACGTACTGGTATTTTATGTGTGCTGTGAACTGGTTTGCAAGGCATCTAATTCTTTTAATTATGTATAGCCTTGTGGCTTTTACACTGTGTTTTATGAACTGATTTTATTAGTTGTGCAAAATTATTTGACTAAGATGGGTGGCCATATAAAGTCTATAACTAAATAAATAAATAACAAAATTTTGTTTTTCAGCGTCTCATCCCACTGAGCAAGTTTCTCTTCCTGTGAGCTATGGAAAGGGAGAGAAGAGGAAGTCTACGGAAGGAGAGAAGAATGGGAGTGAAGAACTTGTGGAAAAGAAAGTTTGTAAAGGTTTTCAGACACTCTGAAGCCAAATATTTTGTTCTATTCTAGTGCTGCTTTAAATAATTAAAAAAGTGAAATTGTTTTCCTAAGATGGTTTTGCCTGTAGCCACTCATAGGAACGGGAGAAGTTACTGTACATAGATGAAATCCTTACTAAGTATTTCTACCTTAGATGAATTTGTGTTTCTCCCCACTTAAAGGTACCAATGCAAATCCTTTTTCACTTAATAATTACAATCATGCTGCTGTCACATATTTTGACTGCATTCCTTCACAGAACTCAGGACAGTCAGCATCAAGTATTACCATTTTTCTCACAGCTGCCACTTTTAGCATTCTTATGTTTAAAAAAGTAAGCATACAGATTGCTTAACCTGCTTGGATTCTGTTTGTAAAAACAATATAATGCATAATTAAGATTAGTTACCTAATGTAATTAGTACAAATTAGAAGGCTATCCCAAATTGTTCACTGTGCTACATACACTTTTTTTGTGTTGCCAAATTTATATTATTTGGCGCAACATGACTTAGTTGCTCTTGTGCACATCCTAGTATCATCTTGCCTAGGACATTGTGTTACGTCATGGTTTTAATCATGATTTGCTGACTAAATTGTTGACTCAATACATGATTTATAAGCTACAATGAATAGGTCCAAACATCAAACTTAAACCAAAATATTAGATACGGTTTATGCGATGTGAGAAGCTTGTCCATATTCATCCTCTTAGTAATGCAGGGAGCATCATAGCTACACTTGGCCCAGAGTAAATATGGAAACCCAAATACGGTCTCTGAATTTTTCACCTGAATTATACTATTGGATAAGCTTTTTTTAGCATCATCCGCATGATCACATTTTCAGTCAGAGGTACCATCAGGAGCTATTTACAATTTTGGTATGGATTATAATGAAGAGGTGGTTAGAATTCTGGTCTTTAATTTTGCTAGCTGACTGTAGTGCTTTTACACAGGAAACATACTGAGGGGTTAAATATGGGTGCATTTTTGCTCTGTTTTTCTTTAGATTCTGCAGGTATTCTTGGTTTGAAGGGTTATGTAGCAGAGAGGAAAGGTGAGCGAGAAGAGATGCAAGATGCCCATGTTATTTTGAATGATATCACAGAAGAGTGCAGTCCTTTGTCCTCTCAAATGTGAGTTACATAGTTACTTTTTTATTGGATCTTTGTGTTTTCCTCCTGCTTAGTCCAGGATGGGTTTCATTGCTTGTCTGGATGGTAACTTCAGCTGGTTGGTTTTGTTTTAACCTTCTATAATGCTATAATGATACAAAAAGTATATTTTCTTTTAAATGTCACTGATTTTAGGAAGCCTGACTAAAAAGAGAATCCAAGACATCTAAAAAAGATGTCACTCACTCTGTAACATTCTCATTTTTAAATTTTAATTTTTGCAGAATAAAATGACAAAAATTCTTCCCCAAAGAAATGATTGGGATGAAAATAAAACATTAACTCCCCCCAAAACTGAATTAAAAATATTGATAAGTAATTATGTATATACACTATATGTAGATGCTCTTTTTTAATAGACCTATTTTATATTTTGAGTTTCTAGCTTATTCCAGACGAGCATTTCTCTTTAATTATTTATATCTTTAGCATGATCTTTTATTTTTCACATTAACCAGGAAAGAAAAGATTCTTCCCACATGGAACATAATGTTAAACCTGTGTATAAAGTAATTTGACATCACAGTCTTCATAAGACATCGATAATAGTAATGCAATATTATTTAATATGCACTTAAAGCTAAATATAGCATAGATAAAACAAATATAATACAACATAAACTAATACCAGCAAGAAAACAGGAGTCAATAATAAAATACCTAAATATCAGCACATCATCTTTATCTTTGCTGAATAGAATTCTTTATTGGCCAAGTGTGATTGGACATACAAAGAATTTGTCTTGGGTGCATAAGATCACCATGTATATATAAACAGCAAGTAATAGGTCATAAATCATAGTTACAATTATTAATCATAAATTACAAACAACAATTGATAAATCATAAGAAACCAATAGGAGAAGATAGTAGAAAAGATGAGAAATGAGACAGTGCTGTAGGAATTAAGTGTTCAGCAGAGTGATGGCACGGGGGAAATCTGGTTGTTTTGGCAATGCTCTATAGTGGTGGCCTGAGGAGAGAAGTTGAAATAGATAGTGTCCAGGATGTGAGGTGTCTGTAGATATTTCTCAGCCCTCTTTCTGGTTAGTACAGCATACAGATCCTCAATGGAAGGCAAGCTGTTTGCTGTTGTTTTTTTCTGCAGTCCTAACTATCTTTGAAGCAAAGAAACCTTCCTACATAAAGATCCTGAGAAAACAAATATTTAAGAGGTTTTTTTTCAAACTTCAAAAGATCAGACTCAAAACTACTGATCAAAAGGAGCGTCTGTATATTTGCATTCAGGACAAGGGACAAAATCCTGTAGAAGTGAAAATATAGAATTTTCTTGTACAGGTACTGGAATCTTTTCATAGCTAAACTGTTAAGGGAAGTTTTGGAATTGGAAAATGTAAAACAGATCACTTTTGCTTTTCTGAGACTAGGAAACATTCCCGTGTGTAGGTTGCAAGAAAGATTAATTTTTTTCTGGATCTCATGTTAACAATTTCTACAGCTCTGTTGATGAATACAAATTCAGTATCATGGCCAATTTCAGAGTGAGAACAGTCTGTATCTGTATTTTCTTTATAGAACTCGTGTCTCATATTTTGCTGTTTTTGATGGCCATGGAGGAGTTAAAGCTTCAACATACGCTGCACAGAATCTGCATCAAAACCTAATCCGAAAATTTCCTAAAGGTCAGAAAATATGGTGGTATTCTTTGAGTTCTACTTCTGTTGAGAGCCACATACTGACTTGGATCTGTTAATAGGATATTCTCATATACTAACCTTGGGAAGACATACACTGATTTAAGAGTGTGAAGTAATTAAACAGTATCAAGCAGTATCTGAAGGATAACTTGGGTAAAACTGAATCTAAATCATTAATCTGATTTGTAGACTTTCTTAATCCCATAGTCATGCAGGATTAAGCAAAATAATTTTCCTTTCACTGTGAATGCTGAATTTTCTGTTTTCTCTGAGAGCTGCAAAAAATGGCTGGGGTGTCAATTCTGGAGTGGGTGGTGCCAATTCTTTCTAATATTTTCTCCATTAACCTCCAGATTAGATGTCTAATTGTTCCCTTTGAATCTATAAAACAGGAGAGGTACCCAGTGTGGAGAAAGCAATAAGGAGATGCATTTTGGATACTTTCAAACACACAGATGAAGAATTTCTCAAACAGGCTTCCAGCCAGTAAGTATATACTTATCAGGGATATAATATGTCAAGGTATTTGAAGTTGAACCTCTGTAGAAAGTTGGAAGGGATGCAACTTTGAATTTTTTTCTTCTATCAAGCAGTTTCTGCATATGGAAAGGTAGCCATTTGAGAAGAAAACTATCTGATATTTGTTTGCTACTTTTAGAACTTGGATAGGAGAGGAAGGTATTCCAACATGCATTCTGGAATGTTGCACTTGAAAATACCAGCAAGGCTGTATTATATGTGTGGGGTTCCATAGGGCCTATCATTTCCATCTTTGTAATGAGGGACCTGGTATCTTGTAAGAATCACTTTGAATAATTGGACTCATCTTTGTTTTGCCCCCAATTTCTAAAACCTGCAGGAAACCTGCTTGGAAAGACGGTTCCACGGCAACCTGTGTGCTGGTGATTGATAATACTCTGTACATTGCCAACCTTGGTGACAGTAGAGTAAGTCATACTGAAAATTGTGGGTACAGACCAGGGGTGGGTTCTACTTATGTTTACTACTGGTTTGCAATGGGGCTGTGCGCACACGCACTCTTCTGCGTAAGCGCAGAAGCGTTTTGATGACATCAGGGTCAGTGGGTGGAGTCTCCTTCCGGTTTTACTACCGGTTCTATAGAACCAGTGAGAACCGGGGACAACCCACCACTGATCCAGACTATATGTGTTTTATGCCTTAAACAAGAGTAATTGTTTTGTTTCAGTGATGATATAGCAACTATCTTTTAGTTCAGTAACTGTTTTGCAGTTTCTTTACCAAAAGACCAGGACAATGACACAGACTCTTATACCGGTAGTAAGCACCTTGTAATAGCTGGGTGATTTTGGAGAGGGGTATTCTTAGTGACCTATTGCTTGATGATGTCTTTTTTTAAAAAAAAAACGTTTTCTTGAAAATGGATGTAGGTAAGCACTGGTAGCCTTTTGCTACCTAGTTAGAATGCTTGATATTTCAATACAGTAGGGGTTGGCAACCTTTCAACACCCAGCACCATTACATGAAGTCAAGGGATATCCTAGATATCTCAAAATAAACAATGCTCAGAATGTTGGCAATCTTACCCTGATCTCAGTCTTATTGTTTGGTTGGGGTGTTTTTTTTTCCGGCTTATTTTTCTAAACAAAATTCTTCCAGCTTCATTTGAGGGGGTTGGCAGTGCTGCTTTGAGGACAATGGGGCCTTTGTTCCCCAGATGTCATTTGTTAAGGACTACAGTACAGTGTGCTGCTTAGATCTTGCTAGCAGAGACTTTATGCTTATAGCCCTTGCACTTGCTTACAAGAGTTATTTTATCTATACAGGCAATTCTTTGCCGTTACAATGAAGAGACTCAGAAACACACAGCTTTGAGTCTTAGTAAAGAACATAACCCAACTCATTATGATGAGCGGATGAGGATCCAAAAGGCTGGAGGCAATGTCAGGTAACAAACGAAAAGCAACAAAGGGAAATGATGGGAAGGAATTTCAGAGTTACCAAAGATTTCAGCAACTTCTTGGGAAATTTATGTGGTACAGAACTTAAAATGATGTTGTAAATTTGGTGTTGCAAATCAAGGCTGAAAGCCCTATGGATCTCACTGGCTGATTTAGGGACACTCTCTAAACTCAATTTTCCTTTCGTTATGGGAATAAAGTTAAGAGCATCTATATCAGGTTGAAAATGGTTGAAAATGTAATAAATGTTGGGTACTTAATAATGGGTATTATATATACATACATGCACAAACTTCATATAAATTGTGATGTAGCAAATATATTTTAATTGGTATTTAACATAACATTGAGGTTCTAACAAATGTTTCATTAACAAAAAGGTAAAACAGGTTTTCCCAGCTTGACCCCCATCAGATGTATTGGATTGCTAATCCTAGCTATTTTAGACGATGCCGTTATTGATTATATGATAAGAGTAACAATGTCATGTAATACAGAGGACTTCCAGATAATTGTTTAGAGAAACTAATGACTTGAGTATTGATTTCTGTTTTTAAATATAAAGAAAATACTTGTATGTTGCTTTTAGTCACATTCTAAAATTAGAGATTGAAGCTGCAAAAGGAATTGTATCAGCCGTTTGTGAACTCTCTAGACAAATTGAAAGATTCTAGATTTTTCTTTCTTTGACCTGCTAAGTCTCTAGATAGTCTTGACCTACAACTGTCATCACTCTGAATTAGTGACTATGTTTGATAGAGATTATGAGTGTTGTAAACCAGAGTTTCTTTGGATCTACAGTTCAGAATTACAATCCATATGTCAGTGTTCCAAGTAACATACCTGTAGCAAACTGACTGAGGCCATTTTGAGACTTCAGCGCTGACACCATATTTTAAGGACTTAATTTAGTGACATCATTATAAATCCAGCACCCTCCTTTCTCTGTTTAGGGAAGGACGTGTTCTGGGTGTCCTGGAGGTCTCCCGCTCCATTGGAGATGGACAATACAAGCGATTTGGGGTTATCTCTGTGCCAGATGTCAAACGCTGTCAACTTACACACAATGACAGGTAAAACTGAAACAGTACCCAGGTAAGGAAATATATCTAAGTGGCTTCAAAAGTATAAGTACATGCTTTTTTTTTTGTTTTTTGTTTTTTTGTATTTGGGTACATCTTACTGTCAGTTTCTTTTGCAGATTTATCCTATTGGCCTGTGATGGTCTCTTTAAAGTCTTTTCACCAGAAGAAGCTGTGAACTTCATCATGTGTTGTTTAGAGGTGAGAAAAGGAGGGTTGTGTTGAAAAATCAAGAAGAGGATGATGAAAAAGAAATTACATGTCATTTATTTCAATTGGGCTTGTTCCTTTTTTCCACTTACTGTTTTGTCATTTCATTGCTGAACTTTTTATTACTGCTTGCTAAAAGGATTGTTGCAAACACTGTTTGAGAGGCAGCTGAGCTCTTTTGTTCTTTTCTGTTTTCTACTCTGTGGGCTGTATCTTTGCTTTCAACTTCAGAACAAACTTTGATTATTCCATCAAATGACAAGATTATTGCCCAAGTGTTGCTTTCTCTCTCAGATTAGGAATCTGAGATACCCGTTTATTTTGCCCCAGCAGCACGACCCTCTAATAAACAGGGCAGCAGTACTGAGACTGCAGAGTGGGTGATTTTGCTTCCTGTTTAAATGCAGAAAAGGTATACAGGAGCATGCCCATTATGTGAGGTTATTTTTGTGGGCGGGGAGGTGGGGGGAAGAGGTCTTAAAACTAATACATGTAATATTTTATGGACTTCAATCCATTCTGATGTATTGTAATGTTAGAGTCAAGGCAAGATATTATTTTGTTATTTTTTTGGATTTATTTCAGCAAGTGAGGTTATCTCTCTTTTTAAAAAGGATTGTTCTGTTGAGAATATGCAAATAACTATCTTCAAGCCTAAGTTATTACCTGTAGACCGAGAGGTATGATGAAGATTCAAGATGTCAGATGAGATATGACTATAAAATTATCTGATTGGAGTGAAAGGAAATTACCCTGATTTGTGTGATCTACTTCTCAACAGGATAAAACTATTCCCACAAGAGATGCCAAATCTTCCACTGATACAAAGTATGAAGCAGCCTGCAACAGGCTGGCCAACAAAGCAGTGCAGCGAGGATCAGCAGATAATGTCACTGTGATGGTGGTCCGGATTGAACAATGATGGGACAAATACGTGCAAGGAAGATCCGTAACAGCATGCAGCAAATTTAATAGAACACAATAGTGTGTTTGTGAAATGTGCGCGTGTGTAGAATCTTATGGATTTCCCCCCATATGCTTATTTGTAAATAAAAGGGTTTTTTATAAGCATTCAAGTCAGTTCATTGTTTCATAAAGTGTAAGTAATTGGGTCTTCTGTTTTCCTCCTTGAATGGGCTACAGGCAGTAATCTAACAAAATTCCCTGCAGATAGTCATATTGTTTGCTGTCTTACAAGATGCTTCAGGTTCCAGTATCCTAGTTTAAAAAAGACATGCACAAAGGGCACAGGTATATTTTATTGGCAACTTGTTTTAACTAATCCCATATAGAGAGGGAGAGGGAGTGTCATTTGAACTTTTGATTCAGGCTGCATGGATACTACCTCAAATAGTATTTATATAGCTATATGCAAACTAGACTAAATTTCCAGTGAACTTGAGCTAGAAAGTGAGGTTAGATTAGATTTTAAATGCATGGAATATGGCATTGTTAGATTCTTTAGGCTGAAGTCTTGGAAGAAAGTATATCAGAATAAGTCTATCTTATGAATAGGATTGGGCTGTCATTGAGATGATCATATTTATAGTGACTGAAATTAGTGGGATTTTTCTGTCTGAATTTAAATAGAGATATAGAGTAAATTTGTGCCTTGGGTCAGCATTGACATACCAGTGTAGCTTGAGAGAACCAACTAACAGTGAATTATAGTTTATTTTCAGTTATGATACAAATTGTGGTTTGTTTGCACATAAACATTCAGGAAAAATTTCAAGGTATGAATTCATATGTGAGGAAAACCTTTGTAAGGACACTTCTCTTTTTTGTGAAATAACATTCTCTCTTATAGATGCATAAACAATTCAATTTTTAACATTTCAACTTTAGATGTACTTTCTAAGTACCATTATTCTGATTATGTAATTAATAGGAATAGAATTAAGCTATTATGGGTGAGATGATACTCAATGGTGACAAGTGTAAGTAAAGTGGGGGGGGGGGAGAGAGATTGGGACAATAGGAACAGAATGCACCACCAACTCAATGTGAGCAAATGGGAGGAAAGGACGGGTTAATTTTGGATTGCATTAAATGAAGCTTTGTAGCTCATGGGAAGTAATAATTGCAGGTATTCTATTCTGAACTTGGGATCCTATGCCCATTCTGGATATACCACTTAAATAGCACATGAAGAAGCCAGAGTGGATTTAGGGGAAAGCTGTTAGGATGAGGCACACTGAGCCCCATGAAGAACAATTACAGATTTAGTTTATTTAACATATTTATCTTGCAATAGAGAAAGCTAAGGGAGATAACAATAGTGGGCTATACCGTAGACAGCTAAAATGTGCTACGTACAAAAGGGGATGGGCCTGTATTCAGTTGACACTGAAAAAACAAGGATCAATGAGCCAAATTAAATGAAAGATTCAGGCTTCAAGTAAGGATTAGTTAAGATGGGTATTGAGAAAAGCTTAATGGATTCTTGTATTGAGCAAAGAAATGTTAGATGATCTGTATGGTCCTTCCAACTCAGAGCTTCTATGTTTCTTAGTGACATTGGGGTGCAGTTCAGCCAACAATCGTTTGGCTTATGCCTGGATGTCAGCAGCTGAGGTTATCAGTCACATAATAAAGTATTTGCTAATCAGTCCTTACATTCTCAGTTTAGTTTTCAATATCCTTTGCAAGTATTGCCATGCTGTTAACTATTTGATAGAAGCTGTTCAACAAATGGAATTCAAACCAGGAAAAAATATTCTCCAATTTAAAAATACATCTTCAGTCAAACATTTTCAATATAGAAGTGTTCTGAGCTTAGGTTAAGCCTACCCATTTGACTGGTCAAGTAGAATTTCAAACGTATCTGTAAACAATTAGATATAAAATTATATCTATAAATTGGTGCTCTCTGTTGAAATCATTGAGATATTAGGACTAGCTCCATGGTTCTTTTATATAATAAATTACTAAAGAGTCTTTTTTTTCCCCTGTGCATCAGCTTCATTGTTTGGCCTATTTCTTTTGTAACTAAATAAAACACATTTAAAAGTGTGTGTGTGTTCATTAATTTTTTTAATACAGTAAACTAGAGTTGCTGTAAAAATATACTTTATAGTGTATATATGCACGCACACCAGGATACATAAGTAAATACATAAGCATATAAAGGAGCTGCAATTTGCAGATGATTGATTGTACTGCAGGGCAGGGCAGGGCCTAGGCCTTATCAAGCCAGTAGCATTTCCAGAATAAGAAGGGTGGATGCACAATTTACTGAGAATATGTTTTCCCTAAAATAGAGCTTTTATAATGCTCAGCTTAATCAGTCTGATGCCTACAATTCTAAATGTTCTGCAGATGTTTCTGCCCTCTAGTGGTCTTTAAAAGTGAAATTGAAATTTGACTTTCCAGTTCTTATATTCTTTTTAAATTTTCAAATTCTGAGCAGACAAGTAGCTTACTAGAAATTTATCTGTATGGAAAAGAAAAGAAAACTATTTTGAATATAGAACACTGGGCATCAAAAAATCCTCCCTTTTCTGGGACTTGAAGTTGCTTTTACTTTTTTTTTTACTTTTTTCTGTTTTTAGGAAAGAAAGATCCTAAAATGCCATTATTCCTGAGTTTTCTGAATATTTGAGTGGACTTAAACTAGAGCTTGCCAATGTGTGATTACTGTGGGCCTATAAACTTGTGTTCGAACTGAGCTGGTGTCTGCCTGCTGCTATAATTCCCAACCTGTTTTGCTAAAATATATTATGTATTTGCTTATAGAAAGCGATTATGAAAAGGAGCAGCAGTTAAGTGGCTTTCAGGCTGAAATAGATAAGGGCATGTCCTCTGCATTTCTCTGATACATAAATTAGAGAAATGGCTTTAAAAATTGCCTACGTGCCAGTGGTGCTGTAGGACTAGAGGGTGGTGCTGTGTTCGTTTTGTTGGATATCACACTACAGTTCTGATAGCTATGGGGAAAATAAAGACTTATTACTCTGAAAGAAAAGTTCCCTTACTGTAATCGGTGGATGCCTGAGCACATAATTTCATAAACTTGCTCTGATACAATTAGGAATTACGGTAAGTTTAAAATGCACTTGCCCTTCCTCCGTTCATTGGATTTAGTGCACTGAAACAATGTAATCTGACAGGTGTAAGGCAACAATTTATATGGTTAGCAGCATATAGAAGCAACCCAGTACTACTATAATTATCTGTTTCATCAGTTAAGAGCCATAGAGTACCATACAAAAGGACATTTCACGTTGGTTAATGTAGGGCAGTGGTTTAGATATGGAACCAGGGAGATTTGAACCAAAATTCATTGTATACTATGAAAATTCATGCGGTGACTTCAGTCCAAGAAAAGATATTGGTGGGGATAATTATTAGAGCAGACAGTTTACCATCATGAGCTCTTGGAAGAAAGATAAAATACAAGTGAACAAAAGTTAAAACACTGGAGGATTTCTTTTAAGTACGTATGTGCAGAGTGGTAGAAGTGTTTGATACCCTTAATGAAAGACTATGAGCTGATAAGACAGTATCTTCAGGAAATGCCAATGTTTTACAAAGGCATTCTGTTGTGGAGGGAACAGCAAGTATTATATATCCTTGGGATTAAAGTAGGGTTGAGAGCCACTTCCAAAGGTAATCTAGGAAGCAGAAGGGTCAAATTTCAAAATTAGTGCTAGAGGAAAATATAAATTGTCTTCAGTCAAATGTCACTTGTGGTCTTGCTTCCTTTGGATATTCTGCCACATGCTGAACTCTTTCTACAATCACATTTTTCACCTTTGGATGTTTAATCAAGGGTCTGTGCTTCCTTCTAGTGATTCCAATTCCACTTGACCAAAAGACAGAAGCTTAGCTTACAGCTGATTAAAGGCAGGATATCAGCTTAAAAATGGGCAGTTGTGGGTCACTTAGATACCTAAGAGGACACCCCTGAAGTCTGACCCACTTCGTACAATGAAGGAGGATCCTGTTGCATTATCTATGAAAACTGAAGCATACTGGCCAGCCTATAATAGAGAAGGTCAGAGTTAGTAACTAGGTTCACACCTATACTAAACCATATGATGTTTTAATTATGGTATGTTAAAGAACTAAATTGATTAGCTTCACATAACATACTAAGCCAAATATAAGCAAGCACATTATGGTGGGTATGATGTGTAATAACTTCAGACATTGAATTTAACACAAACCTTGGGTTTAGTTGGCTTTACCTAGTACCTAGCACATTCTGAAAAGGAAAACAATAGGTAATTTTTTGCTAAGAGTTTGGCCTCTACTGTCCTCATGTCATGAAATGTATTCTTTAAAATAAAATCAACTTAAAGTTGGATATTTCTGAAATCATACAGGTTTTTAGTATGAATGCTTGCTCTCTAAAGACTCACCTGCAGAAAAAGAATTCCACTGACTGAAATAGTGAAATATTCACTGGTTTTGTCCAAACTGCTGACTGTTTCCAGAGAACTGAAAGTAAGATAACAGAATCTTTAGTAATGGATGCCAGAACACAAAGTGACCCCTTTTTAATTGACCAGTTTGCTCTAAAATCACATCCAATCTTGCTTCTCACATTAACCTGTTTAGCTGTAGATAAGAGATTAGGTGAATTAACTACATAGGTAATTAATGATTACCCATATTGGGATATATAGCCAGGCCAGGATGCAGTAATACTGAAAAACAGATGCTTTCCAAACAAATATTTCTATCCCAATCAATCACCTTTTCTGGCGGCAGAGTGACTCGACACAGATCAGCAAGCGCAAGCGATCTCGGGCCCGTGACTGGTACCTTGTGGGATGGATTTGAGGAACTGCAAGAGGTAAGAAAGAATCAGGCTGGGCTGCAAAGAGTGCCAGCAACTAGAAAATGACCCCAGTTCCTGGGCATTACTAAGGGCACTGCTTTAATATGCTTATTAGTCCAGTGCCCATCACTATTTCAGAGACGAGTCACATAGCATGATCCACAAACTAGACTTTTGTAGTTGCTGCCTGCTTTTGTTGCCTGTAAGAACACGAAGAGATCTAAAGTATCTAAACAACCCAATCAGCCCATTCCATCCCTGATTTAGCAAAGGCGTATATTTCTATGACTTTGCTAGTAATCTTTATATCATTCACTATTGCCAAATTTCTCCCTGACACTAAATCTCCTTGGGATTTAGTATTACCATTTTTAAAAAATTCACGTGAGGTCAGATTTCACCCTTCTGTGGGCAGAATTACAGTTTGTTTACTTTTATAGAAAAGTTCTTTGATAAATTAGAAATATCTTACCAGTTCTGGATTTAGAGTTTGTACAATTAATAAGCCAATAGTGTATTATTTATTTCAAGTTAAGCACTTACCAACATACAGTCTAGCACTGAAAATGTAGTATCCACTGACAGGGGCCATATATTGACCATTGTTGAGGTTAAGACCTAGGCCACGATGAAATAGCTCTTCTTTCTTAGGCTAGTACCAAGCAAACAAGAAAGGTTCATTTAGTTAAATATATTTGCTAAGATAAAAATATTAAACATATTCCAAAATAGTTAACTAAAAACACAGAGTAAGTGGGATGGAAAGCTCAAAGATCATTCAGACAGAAATAAATCAGGCAGCTGTGATGGCCAATGTTGAGTCCATAGCTATCTGATAGGAATCAAAACCAAACAAAATTTAACAACCTTTGCATGAAAATTAAGCATTCTCCTCATTATACCAGCCCCAAACAGGAGGTTAATGGGGCCATACTTGGTAGAAAATACAGTTGCATGCCAGAAATAGTCTTAATTCATGTTTTTCAAACTTGACAACTTTAAAATGTGTGGGCTTCAACTCCCAGAATTCCCTACCAGCATGCTGGCTGGCAAATTCTGGGATTTGAAATCACACGCCTCAAAGTTGCAAAGTGTGAAAAACACTGGTCTTAATTGTCCCATCTGGTTGTGCCACATTATTTGATCTTCCCTCTAAAATAATCAATGACAAGACATTGAGGCTAGCTAATGAAAATTCTATTCTATGTGTCCAGGACAGAGAAGATATTATAATGATAATTAGATAAGGATAAAAGTTATTACAAAGACCATTAGAGTTATAAGAAAAAAACCTCTTTTCTGTTTCTTTGTTCCATATGGGAATACTTAAATAATAGAGTGCTGCAGAGAACAGAGGCTAAGTATTACTTATTTGTGAACACATATTTGTTAGTATAACTATGGTTGGGAATAGCAGGTTGAACCCAGATTTATTTTGAGCACATTCTCAGGAATTAATGGGTCTTTAAATCAGTAATGATTAACATAAATGCAAATAAAGTACAAAAGCAGGTCAAATGACAAGTTTAGTAATAAAAAATCTCTCCATCAGCAAAGTGGACATTTAAGGCTTTTTTTGGGGAGGGGGAGCTTTCCAATCAGGGATTTTTTTAGTTTCAGCTTTAGCAAGGTAATCTTTACTTGTTAGCTCTTTTCAGTGGAGAGACTTAATTCATTTAACATGAAACCGAATGTTGCTGCTAAATTTATAGGTGCAATCTTATGGTGCTAATGGGCCACCAAAGGAGTGGGGGGAGGTCATGCAGCCCATGGATTGCCTGTCTTAATTTAGAAACACTTAGGTTAAAAAGTATCTAACCATCAAATCATATTTTTTGTTAGCTGAACTCTGTATGTGCTTGCTCTAATCTGATAGGGATTAACTGGGAAGTGTGCTAAGTGTAAAATAAACTAGAGGTTACTCACAGTAATTTTCCGACATGGCAGTTATGTACATTTGAGAATAAATAAATAAACTAAGGCCAACCCACCATCATTTAATATTATAGACATCATGGACAGGTTCATCCAGCAGCCTGGCCCAAAATGTCAGGATTGTATGAAATAGGCTTGGGACCATCTATGTCTCAGAGGTATGTACAGGTAGTCCTTGACTTATGACAATTGAGCCCAAAATTTCGGTTGGTAAGTGAGTCATTTGTTAAGTGAGTTAAGTTACATGACCTTTCTTACCACAGTTGTTAAGTGAATCACTGCAGTTGTTAAGTTAGTAACAAGGGGTTATTAAGTGAATCTGACTTTCTCATTGACTTTGCTCATCAGAAGGTCACAAAGGATCACATGACTCCAGGATACTGCAACCATCATAAATATCAACCAGTTGCCAAGCATTTGAATTTTGATCATATGACCAAGTGGATGCTGCAACAATCATAAGTGTGAAAAATGGTCATAAGTCACTTTTTTCAATATCATTGTAACAGCCACCAAACAAACTGTTGTAAGTCAAAGACTACCTGTAATATCAAAAACCAGATGCCATGACAGAGAAGGGTGCAGTGGGAGAACAATATTTTAAGGAAGGAGCCTGGAGCCTGCTGCTGAATATTATGGGACAGCATAGAGATAATTGAAAATAAGTGGTCTCACAAGTAACCCAGGCCTATGTTATGAAAAGCTTTGTAGATGTACTTGAATTGCATCTGGAGGCTCCCTGGGACCCAGTGCAGGTCACAGAGCAACAGTGCTACATAGACATAATTTGATGGGATCGGGCAACCAGGAGATGAACAAAGGTTGAGTGACTGTGAACAGGGCTTCTGAAACCAGGAATGGATACAAATAAAAGATGGATTTGTACAAAGTCCCTCCTCATTATACTGCTACCTGCTCTTGAATCAGGAGGTATGAAAGAATGAAGATACCTTTTTTGTACTGATGATTCTTAACTGCATATATTTGGGTGACCCATTCGGCAGCTTTATATAGATATTTAAAAGGAGGGTAGAGCGAAAAGCCCTGAGTAACCCTACAAATTAGGAATGTAGGATTAGATATTTTCTGTCCCAACAATACTAACTGGATCTGCTCTGGAGAAATAAGAATCACTACAACTTTGACATACACACACCCAATTCTCAGGGCTAGTCCATAAGGACACCATGATCAATTGAATTTAAAACTTCTAAGAGATCAAGAACAGGGAATTCCCCACCCTAACCCCACTAGATATCATCCACAAATGCAATTAATGCCCTCTCATTACTATACCCTGGTCTGAAACCAAATGAAAAGGATCCAGACAATTTATTCCAAGATTCTCTGAAGCCGACCACTTTCTCAATAATTGGAGGCAGGACAAAAATGGGATACAGCAGTTGATTCTTGAGGAGGGGATGATCCACTGCCGCAAAGAATTAGCAAAACCACTTTCTCTGGCAATGTTACCATTGCCTGGATTCAATGACCCATCATCTCCTATGAGGCTTTAACTAGCCAGGAGGGTCATGGATCTAATACACAGGTGGGTTCACTTAGAACCCCAATCATTGTCTCTACTTCAGAGTAGCAAATTTGAACACTTTCCAGGGAACTAAGCCAGGCTCTCCAGAATCTACATGCTAAGAGAATCCACACAGATGCATTCTGATCTAAGACTGTTACCATCCTCTCATTACAGGCAACAAGTAAGGCTCATTTGAACAGTGCATTAGAAGCAGTGCTGTTCAACTTCTTTCCTTTTGCTACTCACTATATAATAAAGCTGAAGTTCTTGAAGGGACCGTCGATCCACTGAAATGTTCTTCCGGGTCTGGCAGTGGAATGCTGCTTCTATTCGTCCTTGTTCCCTGCTTTTTATCAATGGGACCCTATTTTGGGGAAAGAAATTCTCTTCTTTTCCATCTCCATCTTCTCCATGCTGGCACGTTTTGCTGGTGGTTTTCATATTGATCTTTTCTTGCTTCCTAATTATTCCTGAGCAGTCAAAAATACAAAGATTTATAACAGATTTGCCTCATTATATCTTATTCTCAAAATATGGTTGACTTGATTTTTATTTTTTTTTATTGCCAGGGTACAGCTTATTTGTTTGTGAGGCACAAGTTGATGGAAACCCTCTTCAGGCAATAGCTTTCCATACATCACACAAGGAGAGTGATATAGCTATTCCCTTCTCCAGCTTCAGCTGGTTACCTCATTGAAAAGCCAGTATCTACCATGTTTCCCTGAAAATAAGACCCTGTCTTATATTTTTTTGAACCCTGAAATAAGCACTTGGCCTTATTGCCATGTGCTCAAAAGCCCGATTGGGCTTATTATCAAGGGATGTCTTATTTTGGGGAAAACAGGGTACAGTGTGATCATCTGCAACAAAGTGTCTGAATAATGCATTTCAAGAATTCCATGCAATCCAATTCAAACCCTGTGATCTCTGGATTCCAATTTATGTGGCATGGATGGATGGATGGAGATTATGTATGTATGTATGTATGTATGTATGTATGTATGTATGTATGTATATACTCTGTGTATGTGTCTATTCATGCAAAGGGACCTCTTATACAAAATACAGACAATTGCACTGTATTCAGGGAAATTGGCTCTTTAGTGATGTCACCATTACAGTTTGGAAGGAGGAAGTGCTGCTTCCTGTTGAATTCTACATAGGAAGGTATTGCCTAAATAGGGTTTTGGATCTCTCATATCTTGGGCTACAATATCCTTCGGAGATATAGCTACTTAATTAATTATGCTCTTATAGTCTTCATCAATCTGGTTACTTTTAGACACGCTGGAACTACAATAGCCAGATTTCCTAACTAGAGAGTTGCAGTTTCACACCATCTAGTGAGATCAGATTAAAAATAAAACATCACTCCCAGAATAGTAACCATAGCCTTTTCAAAATTATTGGAGGAAAGTCACAGAATTCTCTCTAGGCAAATAAGCAGAGTCTGAGGAGGAAAGACTGGAGGGCTAACTAAGCAATCTCCTAAGGGAGGAACACTGCACCCCACCCCAATATCCAGTATTGGTCACCAGCCAGTTTCCAGGGAGCTGATTTACACATTATAAACTTATTCAGAATGCAGTGTTCTAAGATTCCCCAGAGTATTTCACCTTTTTAAAATTCTGCTTGGCAGTGATGGAGAAAGGAAAAACATGAACAGTACATTTTAAAGACCAGGTAGTAAGTTAGCAAATGCTAAATATCCCTAATAATGCAATATTTTGAAGCAGAAATAAAATATACTCTTTTGAAATCCATTTATAAATTAATTCTACTTTACTAACTCCATTTTGGTTGGCAGTAAAAGAGAATAAACCAATGCCAATTTTATTTCTACGTTTGATACTAATTTATATAAATAGCATGAGTCACAGACTTTAAGCATGCCATATAGGAGGGTCAATCAAACCTACATCTTAAAAGCCCTCTTTGTGCAATCTACCTAGAAACTTGTCCTGATCAAAGCTCACAATTTAAGAATACGGGCACCAGTGTCTTTTTGTGTGTGTACTAAAATTCTTAGGAATTCATAGCACAATCCCCTTGTAATTGACCAACCACACTACTCTTTATTGAATGGGCCTCCAAAAGCCTGAATGATATCCAACCTTCCTTACTCCATCTGCCATATACTCTAGTCATTACATTATATCATTTGTCCTTGTAAAAGGAATTTTAAAAGGTTTATCCTCAGAATGTCAATTGAGACAACCATACTATCAATACATAAAATCAACTTATTCACATTCATTATATTTTAATTTAATTTAATTGTACCATAATATATTTGCTTGGAGTGTAGTAATTTTTGTTCCTTACCTTTAAGCAGCAGCTGGAATTCCCTCAGCAATTTCTCCTGAGTAATAGTATTTGGACGAGGTTGTGCTGACTCTGCAGCCTCTAACAGGCCTGGAATGCCAAACTAGAACCCAAATTCACCACAATAATTAGGTTCTACTTCTTCAGGTCCAGACATAAAATCTTTTATCTCCTTATTGTCCATATTTATGGCACCCATTTTATTAATTTGTGTTTGTCCCTCTGCTAATTAATCAGTTTTGAAACATTTTGTAATCCCTCTGACACAGGAACAGTGTTACAAATTGAACATAATATCACCTGTAATATCCGAAATATTCTTCTTGAATCTCTCATCCATGTATGAATTAAATAGTGTAAATCCTAAATATTTCACAGGCTATTCTGGTAAAATCCAGTGATAATTAAGCAGATATGGCAGAAGGGGCCCAAGGTCTTTCTTTGTCTAGAGTTGTGCTATATATTTCAGTATTTCTATGTATTCCTTCATTGCTGTCTCATGATATGTGATTATGTTATTTCTTTATACTGTTTTGGAATAAATCCTTAAGTATCCATACTCTTGTGCAGTAGTGAAATCCAATTTTTTTTTACTACCGGTTCTGTGGGCGTGGCTTGGTGGGCGTGGTGTGGCTTGGTGGGCATGGCTTGGTGGACATGGCAGTGGAAGGATACTGCAAAATCTCCATTCCCACCCCACTCCCGGGGAAGGATACTGCAAAAGCCCCATTCCCTCCCCACTCCTGGGGGAAGGATATTGCAAAATCTTCATTCCCACCCCACTCTTGAGCCAGCCAGAGGTCGCATTTGCCAGTTCTCCGAACTACTCAAAATTTCCGCTACCGGTTCTCCAGAACCTGTCAGAACCTGCTGCATTTCACCCCTGCTCTTGTGGTCAAACCTGCTGTGCTGGGAACAGAGCAATACTGTCAGGCACACAGTTAACTAACTTTCCTTGGATTTGTTATAGGAATACCTATAAGCTGTCAATTGTCTCATTTATCATAGTCAACTAACCTAGAAAAAAGATGAAAAATAGGTGAATAAATTGAACTAGAATTCATTACCAAACTTGGCCAGCACCGAGCACATGCTCTAAACACTGATTAGCTGCAGTAACCAAGCCACACCTATTTCTGTTTGTCTGGCTAATGGAGAAGGGATCAGTGTAACTTTGTACTAATCTTGTGGTTCATATACTTATGCAATTCTAGGAAAAATGACCAGGACTCTATATTTTTAAAATGATGACTTTTGACTGTATGTTACCGGAACTAGTTAGGAGATTTGGTTGAGTTAGTGACTGAGGTTGTGGGAACAGAACATCAAAATCTTCGCACATAAAGGTAAAGGTACATAGTTGTTCCTGACTCTAGGGGGTGGTGCTCATCTCCATTTCAAAGCTGAAGAGCCAGCGCTGTCTGAAGACATCTCCGTGGTCATGTGGCCGGCATAACTAAACGCCAAAGGCACACAGAACACTGTTACCTTCCCACCAAAGCTGGTCCCTATTTTTCTACTTGCATTTTTTACGTGCTTTTGAACTGCTAGATTGGCAGAAGCTGGGACAAGTAACGGGAGCTCGTTATGCAGCACTAGGGATTTGAACCACTGAACTGCCGACCTTTCGATCGACAAGCTCAGCATCTTGGTCACTGAGCCACCGTGTCCCATTTCAAACATAGGGAATATCAAAACATAGGCAGCATGGTTAAAATTGCTTACCTTAATCTTTCTGGACTTGTTTTTATTCATTTTTTTGCTCCTCACTTCGTTGTTCATGAGGAGCATCCAAGCATTCCGGGAATCAGAGCTATGAATCTTTTGTGGAGTATTTTCCTTTGCATAAGAAGAAAAAAGTTAAAATAAGAAAAAATTAAAGCAGCTATACAGGTTGATCACAAAATGTAGACAACCTGGGAAAACAATAATATCTCAAAAAGCACTAAGAATTATCAATAGCTTTACAACCTGCTGTTCTAGATATGAGTCAGAAAATTATTTGCCATCTGGGCTAGTTTTCCTAAACTACTACTACTCATGTTTGTTGGAATATAACTCTTCAACATTTCTAACCAGTTGGACATGCTGGCTGAAAATTGTGGAAACTGTAATTTAGCAAACCTGGTAGTCACTAAATTGGGGAAGACTGATATGAACTATCTGTTTATATTGCTGCTTCCCATTATTCAAAAAAGAATTTGCAAGTTCTTGTCATAAGTATGATTGATCAGATTGGGTTTTGCACTGTTTTGTCTCTCAAAAGATACATACCACTGTCATCTTTGAGGATACTTTCCACCTACATTTTAACTGATTTTCCCCCCTATTTTCTTGTTAATAGGTTGTCTAAACTATTCCTAATGAATGCATCTGATAAATATAGATTCAGTGAGGTTCTTTAAACCATCTTATCTTTTATAATTCTCAGCATGACTTACTATTGATATAAAACTCTCCCTCTTTATTTTTTTTTTCCTCAAACATGCTCACATTTCCTCATCCATAAACTCTAAGTGTTGTAATCAGGAAAAATCATATTTTAGAATGACTCCAATTTTCTCACAGCCAGAAAAAATTACATCAAGTATCTTCTAGATTTGAGTTGAGTTTGAAGTCTGGTTACTGCCACGTAGCTTTCTTGGTAACAGCAAGAGCTGTTCCTCTGTAACTTCTAGTTACAACTAATAATGTCTAAACAAGACCAGCCAGGCACAAAACTGAAGTGCTTTTTTTCCAACAATTTTCAGTGCAACTCTGAAGAGTTAGTAAAAAGATCCCATCACACTCAATATAATTTAACTCCAAATAAATATGTATAAATTCCTATAAGAATCAATTATGACTATGACAAGCTAGATAAAAAGGCATACATTTATATGCAACTTGTTCACCTCCCAACATCTAGAAGCAAAATCCATTTTGATAATTGAGTACTGTTTTGTTTTCTCTAATGTACTATCCTAATATTATTTCTATGTCATAATCATTGTAGGGAATTCTTCATCAAGGAAGAATTTTCAATTTTACTAAGAGGTGAGGTAGAAGAAACCTTCAGTTAATAAGAAGGAAGTAGCATATGAAATGTTCTTACTGAGTCCTGGGATGATGGCAAGGGAAGACTGCTCGTTTCATTCCATCGGGATGCCTTTTCCTGGTTCCTTCTCTCTTCCTGTTTCTCATTTTCCACAGTGCTGGCACAAAAAAACATTGCTAGTAGACTCATAGCCAATAATTGAAGTGGGCAGCCAGAAAGGAAAGGCCTAGCCATATTCTGGCACATAATTGATTCCTTGATTTATACAGAGAACTAGAATTAGATATGGCTGGGAACTTCTCAAGAACACAAAGATAAAGTTAATCTGTGGTCTTTCAAAAAAGTATACAGTAGCCTGTATATCTGTGAAAATTCCACAAAGGAATACTAACTTCAAGCAGAAGTTATCCAATGTATCTTCAGTTTATTTTTTCACAGAAGACTTGTCCAAGAATATCAACGTTTTTCTTTTAAAAAAAAAAGCTTGTAAAAAAGTAAGGCTTAAAAAATGTAACTGTGTGAGTACACACACATCAATTGCACCTGATCATTAGATCAGAAAGAGCATTTCAGTTTCTTCTTCAGGGTCAAAGATGGGTAAGAGGTTTTCGTAGGACTACTTCAAAAGCGGCTAAGTAGCAGAAATCAGGGGTTTCAGGCTGCCCTTTAAAGAAATGAACTCATCCAGATGGCACAGAAGCTTTTTGCTCTCTTTCTCCTGGATTCTCAGTCAGAACATAGATAAAACTGTATCAAAACCACAGAAGTCCCATGATGGTTGCATTCACAGCTTTAGCTGCCTTGGAGTGCTTGGCCCAACCTCTTTTCAGTGCTCTCTTTTTCAAACCAGGGACTCGTATGCTTGTCTGATTACATCCCTACTGCCACTCTGCTCCTGTCTGAATATCTTTGCCCAGCTTCCCTTCTTTTAATAAGCTTGAATTCCCCGCCTCACCAGAAAGGTCACTTGGCCTAGAGAGCCACCTCTTGGCATCAGGAACAAATTACAAAAGCAGAATTCATGCGGAAGCTCATCAGCATCTGGTAGCAGCAGAACAAAGAGATAAGTATGCACTAAAAGTGGCACTATGAAATTTCAGTGGCTTGCAGGTTAACATGAAATGCAGATGGTTGTAGTGGCTTTGTTTCTACCTTGTAGAGAATTTACTTAGGTCGGAGCTGAGAGAAAGGGGCTTAATCTGGAAGACCTGGAGGTTGAAAGGATTCTAGGGCATCAAACATCCCATACTGCATTTCTTTGGACACATCGTAATGCTATTTTGTTTTGTTTTGTTTTGAATCTAAAACCTATGTTTCACTTGTAGTGTTATAATTATAATAATTGTCTAATTTCTTAAACTTTTTCAATCCTAACTCATTTATCATGTAATACATTCAAGAAAATAAAGAAAATGGAACCAACCAACAAGAAACACAGGTGCAGGTAAAAACTATAACAAAAGTAGTAATAACAAAATAATAGGAACCTTAAAAAGTTGTTCTATATTACAGCAGATTTTATTATGTTTTTTCTGTTACTTTTATTTCAGAAATATTACATTTTTTATTCTAATCACAAGTTTAGATCACTTAAAGAATTGAATGGAAGAGATCCATTTGATCATCTGACCTGGACAATCCTTTGAATAGATTTAGTAAAAAGACTGAAGATGAACTTGTATGAGATAGAATGGAGACTATCAAGGGAGAGAAACTGTCCTCAGTCTGTGGACATTTGCATAAGTGCAGGAAATGCTTTTCATTCTAAGACTCCATTTTATATGGTTCAAGTGCCTCCTCTGAGACTTTTCTAAGGAATACAGTGGGAAAGAGAAATGCAGTCATAGCCCATATGGTTCCTTTTGGGAGTCAAAATAAAAATGGCAAAAAGGATTTTGAATTTTTCAGAATTATAATCTCTAAACATTTGGGCCAGTGGTTGTATTATGCTTGAGCACTCTTGTTCTAAGGACAGAGAAAATTCAACTTTGGAGGCCTGATGCAATCACATAAACCCCTTTCTTCAACTACAGAAGCTTCTATGGCTCTTGCCTCCCAGTCAAGTCAGAATTCCAGTTTTACTAAAAGTATTAAAAATGATGGTTAGGATCTGTCCATTGGTCTGTCAAAGGAGGATTAGAATATACACAGCATTCCCATTCCTCAGAAAATTAAAAGGGACCTTCCATTTGTGGCTTTAGTGTTGATCTGATACACCATTCTTCATGGGAAGCCATTTGAACACAGCCAGACTGCCACTTTAAAAGACTCATCCTCATCTTCATTGATATAACCATGCCCTGATTTTATCAGGTTGTTGTCGTCATCTAATTCCCCACTCACAATTAGGACAACTTAGTAATCTTTAGCTGTTCCAGTTTTCCGTCTTCTCCCAACACAATTTATACTCTGGGCACAATCTAGCATACTTCATCAACAATGTGGTCAGAAAGAGCATGTCCCCTCTGCTCTGGTAGCACCTTTTCCAGTAACACATTTTGTTGATCAATCTGATGAAATGAAATATTGTGGTCCAAGTTTGATGAAGTGAGCTGCAGCTCACAAAAGCTTATGGTTTTTTTAATAAAAAATTAGTTGGAAAAGGAGCTTTTCCTCTGTACAATATTAACAAATGTGATCTTAATGCTTCTGGTCAGTTTCTGCTCAATTTTACAATTGCATTAAAAAAAAAGAACAAAACAACTTGATTTTCCCTAGTCATATTAACAGCTTGCCCCAGTTTCTTGTCTCTCAGTGTCTCATGATAGCCCAGCCTCTAAGCTTAATGCTGCCCCCCCTCACACACACACTCTCATTACTCTTATGCACAGAGATTCCACACTGCAACTCACAACCTTGATTGCAGCTGTTGGGAAAAACTGAAAAATTACAGTATTGTGTCATCATGACAGTTTTAAATGAAAATTCATATGCAGGAATAATGAAGTCTTGATTACAATGCAGCTTTATCTGCATACCAATAGTTTAGATTTTTTTTTTTTTCAGTTCATAGCATGAACTGAAAACCCTGGGGGAAGGAAAAATGCTTTTATTACTGCAGGAGTTATTATAATTTAGGGATGAAGCACCAATTGAATAGTTGGATTCCCTCCCCCCTCCCCCCCCCATTCTTTTCTTGGTTCAGTGTAGGAAGCACCAATTGGCTCATGGTATTCCATTTTCTCATCATCCTGAGATCAGGAGGGATGTATGAACTTATGACTCCCTTCAAAATATCCTGGATCAATTAAAGAATTGAGGTGATAACAGTGTAGTAGTACTCATTTGATTTCTATTTATACAGGAATGACTCAGATTTAAGGAGATGTGCATTAGTTCTAAGAGTACACTTTGGGATGCAATTTTTTTTCCTGCTACATAAACAACATGATCATTGTTGGTTTGATTCTCAGTTGTCGGTAATAAAATTGCTTACTCTGCCCACCAAGCTAGTCCCACCAGTCTTCAGGACCTCAATAAAGACCTTTCTTGCTTTCCAAAGCTCCTCCAATTAGTTTTCTTAGTAAAAAAGAAATGCAAAGTCTTCCGGATAAAACTGGAAAGAGTAATAGGGCTCTTATGTAGTAGGCAGGCCATGCTACACCACATAAATTGGCAGAAGGTATAAAACACTACTTATGGTGATAGGTTGCCTTTATAGTGGGTTGGGACAGATTGAGGATGATATAATACATTCCGGTCCTCAAGAAATGGTTAATGAGATGTTCTGCACAAGACTGTCAGAACATGTGGATGTGCCTATAATTATGGGTGTTATGGGCTGGCTGAACCACTCAGGAATACTGCTGAGCTTCCCAGTATCTCCCTTGATTATTCGGCCATCCTGTATTTTCTTTTATAATTCTGAATATTTCACATCATATCTACCAAAAGCACATTCAAAGAAAGGAACAAAAAGAAGAGATACAGAAATTCCTGTATTGGTTTTCCTCATTTTGGGTCACTCTTGATATGTTTGGATTAGAGTTCTGAGACTTTTACCTTATGTTGGCTGGTTTATTCTGAAGATTGTAATCCAAGTTATTTGAAATCAGGTTGAAAAAAACCCTGCACTTGTTCTTGTATTCTGAGAATTAAGTTTGGCTGTGTGAGAAATTATTTTTAAAAATCATAATCTTTCTTGCTCATATTTCCTTTAACACAGTCCTTATTAATATATACAATATACATCCCATATGGCCAAATAGAGACTCAGAAATCAAAGAAGGATAAAGAAATCCACAAAATTTCAGATAAAGCTTTGGATAAGAGAGGAGGGACATTTGAAGTATTTACTAGTCCCATCAGTCTGAATTCCACACTGTGTATCAGCTGTATCATATCAACCTATAGATGTGCTGCCAAGTGAAGTACACTTGCCTGATGCTTTCAGGGACAGAAACTGGTAACATCTTAGAAATCCTACAAAAAGCTATATGTGCAGAGCTATACCAAAGTCTGGCTCTCCCCCTCGTTTTTCCTTCATGCGTAAATGAAATCTTAAGTTCCATTCTTGAGCTCTCACGTCATTGCCTTGGCCTACTGTTCCCAACAGAATGAGGTAACCAAGCTGTTCACTCTCCCCTTCTCCTTCTATTTTCCTTGACCATCCAAATGATGTCATGGGAATGAAAATTTCATTTAGTCCTCAAAACAAAAGTCAATGCATATTAGAGCATGCAATGCTTTCAATTTAGTTCTCCAAAGGTGTTTCTGAGGATTTCATTAAAGCAGCTACTGTGTGTCCCACAAACAGATGCAGCTGACTTCATGAATTGCAGCCACATGCTATGTTATGTGTTTCCCTGTAGGCCAAAGGAATGTTTTGGAATCAAATACAAAGCATTGTACATCCCCTGTACCTTTCTTTATGACTACAATATTCAACATACAGCAATGAAGTTAAAATATATAAATCAGTGTTGCACAACTTGGTGTTACACTATAGGAAATCTAGGATGATAGATTAATATTTCAGGAACTTTAATTTAAATAATGGTCACAACATAGATTATTATAGATATAAATTTCATAAAAGTTATATAATAGCTAGACCAAGAGCACATAAAATTTTAAAATAAAAATTGCACAAAACCCCCAGTCACATTGAGTTTGGGTTCATTTTTTATTTATATTTAAAAGAATTCTGAGACTCTTTAGAAGTTCACAATGATATAAGAAATTACAGAGAACTATTTAGATACATTATTAATGGACTATTAATATTAATCAACCATTATTAATGGATTATATATATTAAAACTGTCTAGATTATTTTCCAAGCTGGAAGAACAGAAATACATTTTTAAAGTTACCATTCAAATTGCACAATAATCTTACAAAATTGAATAATCAGTCTGCCTATTGTTCTTTATCATGATCAATAGACTATCAGAATATTTTCCTCACAATTGTTAGTAAAGGTGGTATCTAATTGTAAAAATAATCCAGCTGTGGCAAAAATAAGCTCGTGATTTATATACTATGCTATCACTTCTCAGAAACATGTTTATGCCTAGTAAAAAAAAATCACAGAAACATTACAAAAATTAAGATGTTGAGTACTATCAATATTTTTTTTTCTTCCATTACATTGTTTTTTTATTCTCAAAGACTTCTGGACAAGTCCTTTAAGTTTTCTTGGCAAGGTTTTCCATTGCCTTCTTCTTATGGATAAGAAAATGTAGCTGGACCAAGGTCACCCAGCTGGCTTTGTGGCTAAGGCAGGACTAGAATTCACAGTCTCCCAGTTTCTAGCTGATACCTTAACCTCTACACCAACCTAGCTCTTAATAAATAAATATGAAATCTGAATTCATAAATTACAGTCTACCGTGTGAGATGCAGAACACCTAATCTCTCCAAAGCTTCAGTCAGAGCAACAGAGCTGTGAGACCCCATACCAAACTTTGTGATCATGACTGGATATTTGCACTACTCAGGATAAGTGGCCTCAACAACTCTCTAAAAGAATGCAAATGAGCAGCTGTCTGCAAGGAATACAAATCCTTCCATTCCCCATTATCCAATCAGAACTGAGGAAGCTTCTTGGATGAGAAGTAAAACTTATTTATTTATTGTTTATTGGTTCAATTTATATGCCGCCCTTCTCTGGAGACTCAGGGCGGCTTACAATGCATTAAGCAGTAGCCTTCATACCTTTGTATATACCTGCTTAGTAGGGATTTCGGGGGCCCCTCAGCATTGTTCTTTTTTATACAAAGTCAGCTTATTGCCCCCATAATCCGGGTCCTCATTTTACCTACCTCAAAAGGATGGAAGGCTGAGTCAACCTTGAGCCTGGTGAGATTTGAACTTGCAGTAATTGCAGGCAGCTGGTGTTACTTAACAGCACTTTAGTCTGCTGCGCCACCAAGGCTCTTCTTCAAAAGGAAAAAAACAACAAAGTCCAGTTGCCTCCTGAAAAAGCACCTTTGGGACAACCATGACCTGGATGACTGAGAATCTCCATAGACTCATGACTGGAAAGGTTCTCTCCACTTTGAAGTATCCATGAAGATAGAAGAAGATGCATGGTAGAGCCATAAACAGGGAAGTGACCCTTCCCTTGTCCAAACATCCTTGGCACATTCATACATTTCCATCTCTACTTGATAGTCACCATCCATACCTTTCCAGTAGCCACCTGTGACAAAGAGCTTACCACCAAGTGGTACCATTCCACCATTTTCATGCAAAGTATGAAGCTGTTGCACCTGAAAAATATAGATTAGTCATGTTGGGATATTTTAAGAAGATAATTTAATTTACACATAGAGCAGCAATAGATTAAGAAGCAGACAATCATATAGAATTTATATCTAGTTTTTTTTTATTTATTTATATGTCGCCCTTCTCCGGAGACTCAGGGCGGCTTACAAGGTGTTAAGCAATAGCCTTCATACTTTTGTGTATTTTATACAAAGTCAGCTTATTGCCCCCACAAACCGGGTTGCGGAGGGGACACACATTTGTGTGCTGGAATGAAAAAACAGACACTGTCACATGCATTAAAATACACTCCAAAGCCTCATTGACTCTTTATCATTTGCAGGATTACTAAACTATGAAGGTTAATTATGCAAGAGATGAAAAACTGGATTTAATATATACATAATCTTACTATATTTATATACTTATTTTAAGTGCTTTTAAAATGCCATACAAGGAGTTGGTGCACAAAACTGGAAACGAACTACAGGTAGTCCTCATCTTACAACAACAATGGAGCCTGCCTGTTTTTATTGAAGGTTCGAGTTGTATGGTAAATGAAACACATAATTAAGAACACCCCCATCCCTGCTTTCCCAAATGCATTTGTTAAATGAATCCACAAGTTGTTAGGTAGAACATAGGGTGACTCAGGGATGGGGAAGACCACAGCTGGCACTAGGGAGGAATGAATTGCAAGGGAAATAAAAGCAGCAACATTTATTCTCCTGGATTATGCGTAAAGCGTAAAGTGTGGTTGGCACTGGGGAGGAATGGATTGTGAAGGGAGCAAAAGCAGCAGAATTTCTTCCCCTCAACTGTGTCATGTGGCCCAACAATGGCCCAGTAAGGGAGTAGCTTTCCACACCAGGGCTTCCTGAGCTCTGCATATCTTTGAAAGAACAGTAACTGGAGGTGGGAAGAAGTGTGTGGAACCCAGTGGGGTGGCAAAGCAGGCCCAGTGTCTCTGAGGATCTGGCAGGGCAGGAAGGGAGGGAAATAGGTGGGTGGGTATGCTGCAGTATCTCTGTGGTCGGTCATAAGGCAAATGACCAGGGGGCGCTGCAGGCGGCGTAACTTTGAAAGGGCTCCCTATGTAACTTTGGGGGAGGAGGTGTTGTAACTTCGAACATTTGTTAAATGGTCTGTCGTACCTCGAGGACTATCTGTATTTAAAGATAATATATAACATAACACTGAAAATATAGTAACTGCTTATAACAAATGTTTGCAGTAAGTTTAGCAAATTAAAAAATTTCAAAACATGCTAAAATAAACCAGTCTCAACAATAGTTCCTCTAAATGCCTGACAATTAAATCAGTTTTAACCTGGTATTAGAAACACTGCATTTTAAGGTTAAGGACAATGTTCTTGAAATGACTACTCCAGAGTCAAGCCTCTCGTCAGTAAATGCATAATGAAACTCTGGAAATAACGGTATTCATAAGAGGACCTTATCAGACCTTCAATGGATTGGTATGAAAAGAGACACTCATCAGATATTTGGCCTGCCAACGTATTTTAATTATAATCATCAGATCATAAGACTTCAAAGTTAATAGTGATTGTAATTATTTCTGTATAAATGTAAGAAGAAAAGATCTGGCTGAATTTGTCAAAATCTCCATGCTCATTTTAAAAATGCAAATCACTCTACATTTATTATTTTATATACAGAACTTCTTTGATGCAGCCTTTTAAAATACTGTAAAAATCTTCTAATGTATTTTTTTTTAAAAAATAAGTACTATGCTCCCTTTAGTATGCCTCTTTCCTTAATGTGTTTTATTGTGTTTTTACAGATTTTTGGGGGGTGGGGTGGGGGGAGAGTGTTTAGTTAGTGTTTATAATATGAAAAGCAAAAGACCCAAATTCTCTCTCAGCAACATAATCCTTTAATATATTACTGCTTGACCCTAGCTTAAAATTAATACATATTATCTAATTCAAAACAGTAGTTAATAATAAATCAAGGTATATATGGTATATGATTAGGTGGAGAAATGTATAAATATATGGTAATATATCTAGATGAATGCTCTCATACTTTGGACCTGATATACATTTATTGATGTATAGCCCTCAAGAGCCACAAAAGTCACTCTATTTCTCTTCCTACCTATCCAGCAAGAATATACAGTATGCTGCTATATTGGGCTGTATTACATAGACTTGCTTTAACTCTTGCCTATCCATCTGAAAAGCAATGAGATGATAACAAGAAATGAGGCTATTCCTAAACAATCCTTTAACAGAATCAAGTAGAAAATTGGTTTGGAGAGGAATTGTTTAATGACAAGTTGTTACAACAACATTTTTAAGGAGCACTGGCAAAAGCGGAACCAATGGGCAGCCAAAATAGACAGTGTTAACTACCGGTACTTATTCATAAATTAAAAGAGATGGGGAATCTGGCAGGGTATCTTCTGCACCTGTCCTGTGCATTGGAGTCATCTGAGCAATGACGCCATGTGAACAGCTGCAGATGGATTTCAGCATGACACTGAAAACCAAACTTCCAACAACATTGCTTATATCTTCACTGAAGCCAAGCAGCCAGCAGAATAGGACCAGGTTATGTTTTTGCTTGAGATACCATCATTCAAAAAACAGATCTTGTTTTTCTGAAACACAAATATCAGTTTATATATTAAAGACCCACAAGATCTGTTTTGCTGACTAGAGATAATTCTACTAAGGCAACTGAATCTCTGCTGTAATTTGGACTGCAACTAGATGTAAAATTCTGGAAGCTGAGTCCTGATTCATTTTGAAAGCGCAAGGCTGAGAAAGGTTTTCATTGTTTTGTCTATAACAATAATTTCTTTTTAGCTGTTAGTATATTATTAGTAGTATTAGTACTAGTTTTATTGAGACCTCAGAAAAATCAGGTAAAATAAACACGTCTGTTCTTTGAAATTCTGTATATGATAGGTGAAGATGTAAGTAATATATACCCAATCCAATAATAATTATATATAAAATAATATAGTTACTCCTGATTTACCCACCTTTTGCCAGATGTTAGCATCCGGATCATACACATAGACTTTCTTTGTATTATCACCAATAAGGTAAATGACTCCATGCAAGGAGGCACAACAAGGAGAAGAGAGGTACTTGGGGAGAAAGGGAGATGCAATTATACTCCAGACATCTATTAAAAAATAATAATAATTTTCATGAAAATCTTCATTATCACTGAATAAAACTCACAATTTAATATACTTTAAAAACTGTTTATTAAAATCATACATTAATATCTGTGGTGGAGTAATTTAGATTGTTTAAGCAAAAAATATCAATAAAAGCTAAAACCTGATAAATTCAGACAATCCTACTTCTATTATTATCATCAAACCAGAAAACAACAAGTAAAATCTCCATACACGTACATAAAACATAGTTATTGAATGTTCTTGATAATGAAAGAAAAACCATACTAGAAGCGAACTATCTCTTTGGCCTAAATATTAAAACCTTTGTGGGGCTATCAAAATGGATGTGAAACAATCTAACCAAGTGGAAATCATCAGTCCTGAAAGGGGCCTCCCACCCAGTCTCTCATATTCAATGCTCTGGACAGTCACTTGTCTGATATGGTATAGGTTCTCCTGGACCAGAAGACCTTCAAGGTCCCTTCCATATTCTATTCTATTCTATTCTATTCTATTCTATTCTATTCTATTCTATTCTATTCTATTCTATTCTATTCTATTCTATTCTATTCCATTCCATTCCATTCCATTCCATTCCATTCCATTCCATTCCATTCCATTCCATTCCATTCATCTTTATTTTGGTAATAGTCTTCCTCCTGAATGAGTCCAGAGTAGTGAACATTAATATATGGAACATATACTGTGTAGCCATACACTCACACAAGCAGATTTTGACACCTAATTAACATATTACTAACACACATACCCTCATACATAGATCCTTTTTCTCATATTGCAATCAGGCTCAGAAAAAAAAATCTAAGCAGGGGATTAATTTTCAAGGAAAATAACATAGCAGGTGAGAAGGTTGCACTTCTCAATGGCAAATGTCTCTGTTAAATTTCATTTTGTTATTTTAAGCACATTTCTCTAACCTGTTCAGATGCTTTCCATTTTTTTCCTGTCTTCTAGTGTCTTAGCTATCTCACATTGTATCAGTTGACAACCATTCCCTCCACTTCATTAATAAACATGCTAAAAAGGCAAGGCCCAGAACTGAATTGAATGGGATCCCATTTAATATCTACCTCTAGTTTGAAGTTCTACTAATGAGCACTTTTTGAATACAGTTTCCAAGCTAGTTAATCCATTTGATAAACATTGTTGTCTCTATCTAGTATTAAATGAGCAGCAAGTGGAAGATGCTGACATTTATTGTAATGCAGGCGCATGTTTCATGATTATCATCTAATGTCTCCTGGACAAACTAACCTTGGGTCACATGGCATAATATTTATTTATTTATTTATTTATTTATTTATTTATTTATTTATTTATTTTATTTATTTATTTATTTATTTATTATTTATTTTTGATTTATATGCCGCCCTTCTCCGGAGACTCAGGGCAGCTTACAATGCATTAAGCAATAGCCTTCATACTTTTGTATATACCTGCTTAGAAGGGCTTTTTGGGGGCCCTCTAAGCGGTGTTCTATTTTTATACAAAGTCAGCTTATTGCCTCCACAAACCGGGTCCTAATTTTACCTACTTGAAAGGATGGAAGGCTGAGTCAACCTTGAGCCTGGTGAGAATTGAACTCATAGTAATTGCAGGCAGCTGGCAGCTAAATGCTACTTTTAACAGTAGTTTAGTCTGCTGCGCCACCAGGCTCCTATAATAATACTTATTATAAGTAGCAAGTTGATGCTAGCCAAGAAAATTCCAAAAAGCCATGACAAACAAATAACTTGAAAGTTTCCTCGTGCTTATGGTGTGGAATTTATGTGTAAGCTAGATAGCTGGATAAAAAAGACTATGAGCAACTGTTACTTTAAACAAACAAATAAACAAATGCTATCTTCAATTAAAAAAGACTATTTCTAGCAGTAAGGTGATATAGAATATGTGGCTGAAGTAATAATACATCATACATTTCTTCTGCCTCAAATCCATACATTTTTGTTTCTTAAATAAATACAAGTAATAGGAACAGACTAGCATTCAACTTGCCAAATTGTCCACAGGTAATTAATTGTAATCAAAGAGAGATTCCCATATATATTTCTGAGTTCTTATCCCACAATTATTTAGCATTTCCATTTAAAGAGATATGATTGGAATGTTTTATGTTGTGTATTACTAAGTGCTGGAATCAAATTTAGCCTTGACTGCAACATGGATCAAAGCACACATCTTTTTATTTACCATACTGTATATGGGAGAAAGTACAGATATTATTTATTCATAAAAGACAAAGCAAAACAATATTTAATGATGTTGTTGTAATGAGAGCACTTGTCCAACTGACTACAGAGATTCTCTCTCTGTGTGTGTGTAAGAGGCATGTCCTACACAGAGAAATCTTGCCCGTGATTATGACCAACACATTTGTATGATACTTGGGCAACATATTATTGGAAATGGTGGATTTCCATTCAGTATTAGTTGTGACAAGTTTTATAAGGTGTTAGAATTAGGTCAGAGAATATCTTTAAATGATTATAAAATACAAAAGAACTTGATGCAAAAGCACTGCCAGCTGCTTCCTTAGAAGTATTTTCTATTCCTTCTTACCAATAGCAGGGTTGTAACATTGAAGGGTCAATGTATTGTATTTGATAGCACAAGAACCAATGAGGTACAACTTCCCAAGACATCCAGCTACAGCAAAATTACTGACATACTTCAAGGCAGGACTGACAAAGCACCAGCTGTCATTGTAAGGATCATAGCATTCTACTTCCACAATGTCCATAGTGGTTCCTTTGAAATACATAAAAAGGGGGAGGAAAAGTTGTTACATAAGCTTGCACCAATACAGGGAAAGAGCAAGATACATGCAAGTCATATGAACTTGGCTTACTTAGTTCCACACAGGAATATTTACAGTATATATTTTTCAGTCTTATGATAAAGACTGGTTCTTCTCTTCAAATTACATGCAGCCTCATAAAAAGTTATCTATCCATGGTATGTAAGAGGTCTAAAATAATCTAAGTGCAAATCGTGATGTAAAATAGTTCATATTAACCAAGATTCATCAATGTTAGTGCCTGAATACCTGTGGGAGCCCCAAACTTTTCTCCACCATTTCTAAAAAAAGTGAGCCTGAATTATGGCCATCTTCTCTCACTTTTTCAGGTCTGACAGTTGCTGTATCAAAAAAATTTCTTCATCCTTAGCCTCATCCTCATTCCAGTAGAAAAACAAGTCTAAGTCTATGATGTATAACCACTATGTGACAGAAGTCACCTTATGAAGTGTTAGAATTTTCTAATTTAATATCTAACCAAATGCTGCTGTGACTTTCTCTAGCAACCCACACACACCTCCAAATTGTAGAAAAAAATATTTTTGGAAATTCAACTGTTACATTTTTGTGCAGGTTGGATAATAATTCTATTTCTTTCTCTCGGGCCTCTGCTGACCTATGCCTGTAGAGTAACTTTCTCCAACCATCTGTCTTCCAGAGAAGTATAACTACAAATTCCTTAATCCTAGCCATCAGTTAGGCTGGAAGGTTTCTGCATAATGAGGCTTTCTTTCATTACATATCTCATTTCCTACCACCAATGGCATAGATCTCTCCATTGAGAACAGCACTGGCATGATTTGTTCGGGGCTTCAACATTGGAGCAATGGACTTCCAGACACCCTTCTTAAGGCAGAAGCACCAGGACTGTGTTGTAGACCATGTGTCATTCTGAGATCCTCTGGAGCCACCTAAAACAGAAATAATTATCATAGTCATTGTGAAAGTAATCTGTTATTGTTTTCAGAGTTGACATTTGTTCACTCCTTTTGCTTCTGAATCTTCTGCAAGCCTTCTACAATTTGCAGAACTTAGATAAAATGCATCTGATAAAATCATGGAATATTATTACATTTGCCATTTACTCCCTGACTACGTGATCTATGTGCTGTATTGTAATTATGGTATTTTCTCTATTATTGGTCACGTAAGCAAGTAAATCCTATGGGGAAACAGAAAATGTTTTATAGATTTGGTAGTACCCATAAAGCCAGAAAGTATGCTATACTTACCTGTAATGTAAATGTTGTTGTTTAGAGCAATCATAGAAAAGCCCCATTTATTATAATCTGGAAAATCAGGCAAAGCAATCCATGTTTCTAAAATGGAAAAACCAAATGTATAAATAGCCTGTTAAATTCTTACATTCTCCTAAAGAGTATTGCCTTGCATGATAAAGATGGTTCTGCATAATTTCCATTTTTAGGATATTAGCAGTAATATGTTGAACAAAATTCCAAAATCTGGTTTTCCCTACATAGCTCTACTTTCTCTTTCCATCACTGAGCATGAGACATGTCCTATATGCAACTTTCTATCTTGTATTATATCTTCAATCAGTACCAAAGGTTTAGGGATTAAGTTTCTCCTCATCCCAATGTTTTTTCCTTCCCCAACCTACCTTTAATTCCTAGTTGAGTAGTTGGCTTTTTATAATGAGTGTGCTATAACAAATAGCTGTTTACACAATTCCAATGACATACTTTGTGTCTTCAAATATGCTGGCCTTTCGTGATGTACTAATGTTCTAGTTGTTCTCTCAGCCTGGTGAGTTTGGTGAGCTCAATTGATTAGTTTGTCTGTTGTGGTTTATTCATTACTTGATCATAAATGGAAAGGATATATTTGGACCTCTGATACATGATATTTTGACAGTCGTTGTGATTTATTTTTTAATTAATTTGAATTGTTCTGCTGCTGTTTAGTTTTCATTGTTAATTGCCCAGAGGGCTGCAGTAGTGAAATGGAAGGCATTATACACTGTTTAAACAAATAAGTAAAGCACCACAATGAAAGGTGTAATGGGCAGAAGACAGCACCAATTTCCCCATAAACTTTAAATATAGGTACAAATGGCAATATAATAACAATTTAAGAGTAAGCAAAGACAACACTCAGAAAAATGGGTTTTCATGATGAATTTCAGGACAGGAAGATGCCATTGAGCACATATTTAAACAGAAAAACCGTATAAAGTTAAAGGTAATGTGTTGTCATAACGAGTAACATATCTTTAACTGGTCAGTATTATGTTAACAGAGAGAAAGAGCAGAATTATAATAAGGATCAGAGGATAAAATACAAAGTAAGGTAAAATTATATAAGATTGAGAATTTCTGCTGAATATAGATGAATATGAACCTTAAAAATATCTGATTATGATTATTTTTGATAAAATTAAGAAAGCTGGTCTATGAAAAAAAGAAAGCTCAGAGAGGAACAATAGCTTGAACAACTCAAAGAAAGAGATTATTGGGGATAAATAATAAGTTTAGCCAAGGAGGAAGCAAAGAATGGGTTCCATTTTTGTAAAGTTGTACACGAAGAGGTAAATTGGCAATGTATGAAACATGGGGTACAGTGGAGAGAGAGCTAAAATACACCCTTGGTCTTTGGGTTTGCAGTGGTTTTGTCAATGATATTGAGAAGAATCGGGAAAGAAACCTTGGAAGTAAAACTATACGATTTAGTCTGAGATGAAGAATTGTTTAACTGAATCTATCATATTTCTGCAGTGTGTGTATGTGGGTGTACGTGGTGTGTGTGTGTGTGTGTGTGTGTGTGTGTATGAGTCCTTTTGAGAGGAACATTACTACCACTAATAATAATTGTTTATATAGAAAAATTTAATTTGTGTGTATATAATAAGCATCACCATCTGACAATCCCAATCACATTGCAGCATTACATTCAATCAGTATTTACTGACAATTGTGTAGATAGACTGAATGCTTGGTCCCTTTGCAGAAAGAATTGGCCAAAGATTTCTCTAAAAATAGAAATTTAGCACTGATTTATTAGAACTGTAACATATAATACCCAGATATGTTTTGGCAATAATTATGTATGGACATTATTTGTTTCTACGTTCACAATATTGTCAACATTGCCCTAAAATTACATCATCTTTTCCAGATTACACCAAGGATCCAGAATTTAGACTCCTAACCTCTAAATTAGTTCCTCTTCCAACTTCAGTGAATTTGTAGGCCAGTCTGACAGGTTTCACTGTCAATGTGAGCCTGGGAGGAATGCAGTTGCTTCACAATAATAAACAGCCCAAGAAAACCCAGAACATTACATCATCTGGAAATCTAAGTTGCCTGTAGCAACGTAAGTAATTCTACATTAAACCCCAAAACATGATTGTTTCTGCCCACACTAACATATCTTTTATTGAAAGTAGGCCTGGATAAGTGCTCTTTGATGATTGCTTTGTAGTTATAGACTTATTTTCCCACCTCTCCTTTCACTTACTGAATGAGGCAAAAGATAAAGAAAGGCCTTATAATTGGGCAATCAACATATATAAATAATAGTTAACAAACATGACCTAGCTTTATAGATATTGAGAGGTTTTGCTGCTAATTCCAATGAAATTCCACAAAGGAAAAGAAAACAAAGAACTGTGAACAGAAAAACATGTGGAATGTATTCAACAGAGCAATAGAGAGATCCTAATATTGTAAGCTTTCTGAATGTTCCCATCTCCACTTCCTCCCTGGAAAGATATTCTAGCCATAGTATAGCATAAACACGATGATGCCAAAAAGCCAAAATGTATATCCTGCCTTTTCAGCTTTGCGTCACGAACATCCCACCCAGGGTTGCTTGATAGTGAGTTGGATAGCATATAAATTTAATAAATAAATAAATATTTTTCAATTCTACATCACTACTGTTGTTGTTGCACTGCAGTGCTCAGTAGCATGAGCTAGGGTAATCTATAAAATGTTCTGGTTTGAAATAAAGCTGATCTGGTGCTGTATATTAAGGAATATTTCTGATACTTACTAGTGTTAGTATTATAAAAAGCAAAATTTCTGGAGAAGTGTGGTGGCTCTTCATCTTCATCATTTTCTTCCAAAGCTCTGCCTCCCACAACCACCAGCACCTCTTCTAACTTCTGTGGCAGGGCCTTCAGTCTCTGCTGGACAAAGGGCTTGTTCTCTGCCTTAGAGGAGGGGAAAAAAAGTATCTCACAAAATAAAAAGCTTCTCAGTTGCTTTTTTCCAATATTTTGTACGTTGTACATTTAAAATTGTAGGATGGCATTTGGTAAAGCAAAACTTCCCAATTATTCCTGCAATGACTATGACTATCATTAAGTGTTGTACCTTATGATTCTTAACTAATGTTTCTTTTCTTTTTATGTACACTGAGAGCATATGCACCAAAGATAAATTCCTTGTGTGTCCAATCACACTTGGCCAATAAAGAATTCTAATTCTAATTCTAATTCTAATTCTAATTCTAATTCTAATTCTAATGAATCTATATACCGTATATACTCGAGTATAAGCCGAGTTTTTCAGCACATTTTTTATGCTGAAAAAAGCCCCCCTCGGTTTATACTCGAGTGAGGAAAAAATGCCTTTTTTCCTGCAACCCGTTTTGGCTTCCAGGGGCTGCAGGGAGGCTTGCTAAGGCCAAAATGGGGCGTAGGGGGGTGCCTAGCAAGACTCCCTGCAGCCCCCTGGAAGCCAAAACGGGCTGGGGGGGGGCTTCAAGGGAGAAAGAAACAAAGAAATCCTCACCGTTTAGGAGATCCCCACCTGCACTGAGCTTGAGTTGAGTGCTTATTGTAATAGGCTGGCTGCTAACTACCCTTGCTCAGGCTAAGCTAATCAATAGTGAAGCTCTAAGAATGCTAGATGAGAAGGAGAAAGAAAGAAAGAAAGAAAGAAGAAAGAAAAAGAAAGAAAGAAAGAAAGAAAGAAAGAAAGAAAGAGGGTGGGGAGGGGGGAAGGGTAAACCCTTTTACTCACACTTCATCCTTACTGTTTGGGGATCCCTAAGTTCACTGAACTTGAGTTTTTGTTTTTGTTTTTTTTTAATTTGATTTATATGCCGCCCTTCCCCGGAGACTCAGGGCGGCTTACAATGCGTTAAGCAATAGCCTTCATACTTTTGTATATTTTATACAAAGTCAGCTTATTGCCCCCACAAACTGGGTCCTCAATTTACCTACCTTAGAAAGGATGGAAGGCTGAGTCAACCTTGAGCCTGGTGAGATTCGAATTTACAGTAATTGCAGACAGCTGGTGTTAATCACAATGCTATCAGTCTGCTGAGCCACCAGGCCCCAGGAGTTGAGAGCTTATTGTAAGTGCCTGCACTAGCTATCCTTGCTCAGGGTAAGCTACAAAACGTTTCAAAATGTCTGGCTTTTCTTCCTCCTACCAAAGACCTTCTGGGGTTCTTCACAGAAAGGGAGAAAGGAGAAAGGGAGGGAGAAAGAAAGAAAGAGAGAGAGTGAGAAGAAAGAAAGAGACAAAGAAAGAAAGAGAAAAAAAAAGAAAAAGGAAGGGAGAGAGAGAGAGAGAGAATGCGGGTATCTCTTAACAGAGGCTTGAACTTGCCTGAAATTAGATCAAGCCTTACATCACTTAACCCAATGTATCAGATTAAATTGTTATTGAATTATTTTGGGTATATATACTACATTCTCTTGTGTAATTTAGTTATAGTGTAGTTTACACTATGCACTTGCAGAGCTAGTTTACTGTTTTTCTTTGAAATAAATATTCAAAAGCATTTAACTTACTGATGCCTCAATTAATGTAATTTTATTGGTATCTATTTTTATTTTGAAATTTACCAGTAGCTGCTGCATTTCCCACCCTAGGCTTATACTCGAGTCAATAAGTTTTCCCAGTTTTGTGGTAAAATTAGGTGCCTCGGCTTATATTCGGGTCGGCTTATACTCGAGTATATATGGTACTTTCTAGCTCAAGCAAAGCAGGAAATTCAGCCTACCCTTAATGTGCATGAACAGTCCATTGATTTCTTCCCATATGCCTTCCCACTTATTTTACAATTTGAACACAGTTGGATCGCATATTATTTTTTTCTTAAGAAAAGAGAAAGAAAAAAATAGAATTGTGCATTTTTAAAATGCCTTTCTCCGATATCTCAATCAGGTAGCGTTATAGAGCACATATCCCTCTATTACAATTCAATTACACTTGGTAAACGGGGAATAATCATTCATCTACAGTTGATCATTTCAGTGGGACTTTTTAAAATCTACTTTCCTTGTCCCCCAGGTTGCTTTCTGTGCTGCAGAGAGATCCTAATTATGATGATAATAACAATTCTAACATTTCAAAATTTATTCTGAAGAATACTTTGATTAGTAAAAAAACAATGCAAGTGTAAACATGATGATGTTGATTCAATCCAGTGAGGACTTCACTGTCTACTATTCTGGACATGATACCAAGAAAACAAATGGAGTGGGATTTATTGTAAGGAAGTTTAAACCTGTTGATTAATATGTAAACTAAATAGTGCATTTTACCCGATACTGTACAATCAGCCACAGCTGGCCTCTATCTGCCAGCCCAGCCACAGTTGAACAAGCCCAGAGGTTTTTCTAGGTAGCAAGTCTTTCTTGGTTTCTGAATCCTTAATGTTCCTAACCAGCCCAGGATGAGCTATTAAAAAGAAATGCCACCTTTTTTCCTAGGACAAGAATATGAGTCTTCACCAGTTTAACCAAATTTTAGATAAAAGCTGGGTGATTTTGTAAGTTCAGATTTATATAGCAAGAAAACCAATCACTGGTCCAGAAATTCCGTTGTTTACCTTCTAGCCTTCAAACTGAACTAGAATTGGGTCAAAAAATACATAATACCTCCAAATACTGACCGTGCTCCGATGTCTAGCAATGATAGCCTTGCTAGCTTCTGATTCCAGAATCAGTGGTTCAGATGACAACATGTTTTGCAGATACTGATCCGGTAATGAAACCAAATGCACTAGGTCAAGAAGCTCTGGAAGGTGCACCACTCTGGCCAACTTTTCATACTTGATCCACCTGAACACAGCTTCAACTAGGCTCTGTTCTTTTTGTACTTGCAGTAGGTGGTTCGACAGATAAATAATTAGCCTCTCTTTCGATAGTTGAAGAAACTCTTCCTGTTGAGATACAAGTTCAAAATTTTCTTGCAAAAATGACCATGCCTCAGATGAAATCTCCGAACAGCCATGCATTTCTCCAAACTCACAAATGCCTAAACAGTTGGTTGCATCCATCTGCTGTCTCAAGTACCGACTGCAAACTTTCTGGATGATGGGGAAGTGGAGTTGGCTGGATGTCCTAATCAAGGCTTCCACGTTCCCCTGATTGATGGTCACTTTTCCTGTGTAAGCAAAATTAAGCAAAGACTCCATAGTGATAGGATCTACTTCTTTGATCTCTACACGCGCTGAAAAGCTTTCCATAAAGTCACCAGCAAACATAGCATTGAAGTACTGACTACAGAGGGCCAGGATACTGCGGTGGCAAGGGAATTCATGTTCCCCAACAATCAAAGTGACATCCGAGAGTTTGGGGTTGGAACGTAGGGTCTGTAGTCCTTCCAGAATAGATTGAGAATGGGATGGAAGGCAAAAATCGAAGTCGTCAATGTTCTTCACCATGGTAATATTCTGCAAAAGGTTCTAATTCTGTACTTGGAAATTATTTTGATGCTCCCAGTAGAAAATAATTTTCCCAGTCCTGTTCACAGGATAAAAGGAACAAAATCAACATGATTTCCGCATCAATGGGCCTTTTTAAATAATTCCATGTTTACAGCATGCAATTCAATTTTTTTTTTATTTACATCATTTGAACTCTGAAATATACAGATAAAATCTAACATGCTACACATATATCTATATATTCCTTTAAACTAACAAATAAACAAAGAAAATCAATTAGTGTTCATTGTGATTATCCTGATCTTACAAGTAGAATAAATCTGTATGAGTAGAATATTAAATACAGGTGATGTTTCCCCATTACTGTCAGGATCAGAGCTCTGCCAGGCTGTATATAAGAAGAAATATTGTAGTGGCTTGTTGATCTCAGAGACACACTGTTAGTAATCCATGGAACAGCTTCACCATTAATTTACCTCATACACACGTACACACATAAACAAGCTGCAATAACCAAGCCAAAAATAAGCAGACATTCAATAATAAGAACTGAAAAGGAACAAAGTATAAAAACAGTTGTTGATTATTCTGGGTCTACTGCTGAGATTCCTGTCAGAATTGCAATAACATCAAATAAGAAAAGAGAAATCAGAGGACCTGAAGCTAAAGACAGATTGATTATTCAGTAAAATTAGAACCAATAAGGATGTATCTTTTGACAGAAAAGATTGCTTGTGGAATCCCTCAGGAGGTCATTATTGCACTACCATTAAGAGATCCTCTAGAAGGTCCTCTGGAAGAATAACATACAGGATGAAGTTTCAATCCTACACCAGATGACATTTCTCTGCTTCCTAATTATTAACAGTCATTTCTTGGAATGTTGCTGGTTTGTTTGTTTTTTTTTAATTTGATTTATATGCCGCCCTTCTCCGGAGACTCAGGGCGGCTTACAGTGCGTTAAGCAATAGCCTTCATACTTTTGTATATTTTTATACAAAATCAGCTTATTGCCCCCACAAACTGGGTCCTCAATTTACCTACCTTAGAAAGGATGGAAGGCTGAGTCAACCTTGAGCCTGGCAAGATTCAAACTTACTTTTAATTGCAGACAGCTGATGTTAAATTACAGTGCTTAGTCTGCAGAGCTATCTGGTTGAAAGCAAAGCTTAATGATCTCACTTTTATTAAGTATATTATGAAATATGAAATTATCTTTTCACAGGAAACTTGGCTTGCCAGTTAGCCAATGCTTGATAGTTATAAATCTTTTCAGTAGGGGCAGTTCCTAGAACAGGATGAGGAAAACTTTGCAGTGATCTAACTTTATTAATTTCTAGTGTTTAAAATTTGAAATCAGCAGCCTGACAGAAATAGTTTCTCGGGAATTTTAATTTTGCACTGCCTGACAAACTGCCTTATGAACTAAACCCTGTAACTGAAGGAGAAAATTTCTGCTCTATGTAGATTAAGTTGTTTTTGCAATAGGAAAAACTCCTAAATCTGAATCAGTTCATCAAATGTATATAGATAACTAATAGTTTTAAGTAGTAATTCCAATAGAAAAGAATATAAGCAGTTCAGGATTAAATAGAGAAAGTGGAATGGGTTGGGCAGGGACTGCCTGGGACTGTTCGAGAGTGTGCAAAAAATGCTGTGCAGGTCAGGGATGCAGTAGTAGGTTCCTCTTACCTTTGCTACCGGTTCAGAACCAGGAGCACACGCATGTTCACGCTTGCTTCGCTCATGCACGGCACTTCTGCACATGCACAGAACCTTCTGTGCATGCACAGAGTATCTATGATGATGTCCGGGCAGGTGGACAGAGCCTCCTGCCACCGCCACTACTGGTTCACAGGAACCGATATGAACCAGTAGAAATCCACCACTACAGGGATAGCATGTGTGGGAAGGTGGAACAGGTCAGGAAGGATGTGGGGGAGTTGGGGAAGGCATGTGGGAGAGATGTGGGTTGGGAAAGGCAATTTGGGTTGGACAAGAGATGCCACATGGGTCATGGAAGGAGCGCAGGGACAGCATGGGTCAAGAAGGGTGCATGGGGATATGGAAGAAGGTTGCATGGGGGGCTTAGATCAGGTCAGAAAGGATGCATGGTAGATGAGCAAAAGGTGCTATGTGGGTCAAGAAAGGCATGGGGGGAAACATACATTGGGGAAGATGCCTGGGTGGGGCGGCACATGTTGGGGAGAATGAACGATGTGGCATGGGCTAGGAAGGGTGCATGAGGGTTCTTTCATCTTCCTCCCTCCCTCTCTCCCTTCCCTTTCCAGCAGGCAGGTGAATGGCTGGTGCTGAGTGGGGGACAAGAGAGGGGTTGGGACACTAGTTGGGAAACTGTTGTGGAAAATTGAAAAAGAAATCAGGTGATGCAACAGTAGCACAACAGTAGCACAACCAGTAGCATTGAAGCAGTCATAAGTTTCCAAATGTCATTCCCTCAGGAGTCATGATTCCCAGATTCTGGACACCTTCTGTAAGTAAGCTCATTTGAGGTACCTTGGTTCAAAAATGGTTGCCCTGTGATGCACTGTTACGCCCCATTAAAGGTCATGACCAGAATTTTAGTAATATACAGATGAGGCCACTACTTTACTTCAGTTATTTCCTATTCTCATATCTTCCCAGCCCCAAAGATTAGGAACCAGATATTTCAATCAAAACTCTAGTTTGATTTAAGAGGCATATTTTAGTTCTCTTGAGATTGTTTGCCATTTATTGCTAGGATGAAGATTTAGTAATCTATAGTGATTAAACTCAGTGACACAGTGACTCACAAAATTGAGCAGACCAAGATTCTCAAATATCTTGGAGTTGTTTTTCAGGTCTCTGGTAGGAGAAATGTTCACCATGACTATGTAACTCAGAATGTCTTGGCAACTGGAACTTTCTAATGTTGGAAGAAATGTCCATCTGCGTTCAGTTCCAAGTAGGGAGAAAGACACTGGAAACATGGAAGCTATTTGGAAAGATGGTTTAATTGTGGACAGAACCACATGGTTTGAGATCCTGGGCAATTGAGCACATGGGTGAGACAGAAGGAGAGAGATTTATACCCTGTCTTGGGCTTTGAACTTGCTTCCTGTTCCTGTGAAAGAAATGTATTCTGATTGGTTGTCAGACACCCATGGGGCAGGGACGGGTTTCAAAACCCGTCGCTACTGGTTCACTCATGGGCATGCACGCACACAGAAGCAGCCGCATGCGCAGAAGCGTTGGGGTGGGTGGGCGGAGCCTTCCCCCGCCTCCATTACCAGTTTGCCCGATCTGGGGCGAACCGGTAGCAACCCACTACTGCCATGGGGCCATGCAGGGGTAACTTTGTAGGTTGTCTTGAGTCCCAGGCTTTGTTGAATCTTGCTGGGTGATGTAATGAAGGGGCTTTGGGCAATTCCTATTATGGCTTAATGGCTTTGTCCTGGTTTGGAGCTTGAGTGAGGGCTAATCCTATCACCCTGGAGCTGAAGATCTTTTGTCTTGTAGATAAGATGGCCCAGTTTTTTGTCTTGTAGATTAGCTGGCACCAAAATATCTGCTGGGGCTGAGTTTCTGTGTCCCTTAAGATTTCTATTTCTCTTTTAGGGGAAATATTCTGCCTTTTTAATATTTCCTAGAATATTTCATTTTTCTAGGAGAAGGCTGGGTGCTAACTTTCTACACTAGTAAAGGGTGCCTTACTCATTCTTGCTAATTTACAGTTACTGTTTGCCAAAGCGTGTTCTCAGCTCTCATACGGTGTTCAGCTAGAGCCCTCTACTAACTACTCAAAAGTAGTAATTATACATTTCTATGAAGTATCTTTTGAGTTCTTTACATACTGGTTAAGGTTAAAAGTTAAAATTAAAGTTAAAATTTCTGCCCATAGATTGATTACTTAGGCAGATAATTTCAGTGCTAAGATAGAGGGCTTATGTATTTGAATTCTATGGGTTCTCCAAGGAAGCTTTTCTGTTCTCAGGCTATGTCCAAGTCAAAAGGTGCTAACATAGCAAATGCTGGACACAGATAAGTTAGTGACAACTTTCCACTCCTCATGAGATTATTAGATTTCATACAGTCACCCCACTCAGAAAGACTCTGGGTGGCTTACAACATTTGCTAAAAACAGTCACACACATACACCAGGAGCTCTACCAACATCTTAACTCCAGGTCTGGGATTTCATATTTCTATCTCAGCCTTCTATACCAGTGATTCTTAACTTGTTTGAGCCAATTGCCTCTCTTTTCCCAGTCTCAAATAATATTATCTCCACAAAATAAGTCCCAAATTGGATTCTTCACTCACAATTACAAATTGCTCCATTATCCTCAGGATATATATCCAAATTACCCCCTTGGGTAATTACCCTCAAGTTTGAAAACTAATGTTTTATACAGCCTGCTGCATAGGAAAGTCACATATTTTATCCCATTTTATTTTGTTTTGCTAAACTAATCTATCATAAAATTTAAGATCATACAACATTAAAGAATCAAAACAATCCAAAAATTAATATATATCAATAAAAGGATGTGCCAAGAAAGATTTAGAAATTATATTGTAATTGTAAATAAATAGTGTAAATAAAACAGCTTTTTTGTTAGGAATGAGAGAGTGAATAGTCCAAGGTCAGTCCGCTGGCTTTTTGCCTAAGGCATAACTAGAGTTCCTGCTCTCCTGGGTTTTAGCCTGGTATCTTAACTCTTACAACTACTTTGGCTCTCTTGTTAATAGTTAATATTACCTATCCATTTTTTTGAAAAGAATCCTCACCCACCAACTTCCAGAGCTTACCTTATTAACTTCTTTTACACACAGGCAATGTCTGATCTGGGAGAATCCTGGGAAGAGAGCTTGCCTTGACCCTTGGCAGTGGCAGTTATTAGGCTGGGTTTTTTTTCAGCAGTTGCAGATTATGTATTTTTAGATTGGTTCTTACAACCGACATAGAGGAGGGAGGCCAAATGCTTTGACAGTTATTCTCTCCAGATCACCTGCTCTTAAAGCAACACCCAAATAAGAAAGTAGGATGAGAATTTAGAGGGAAGGTATGCAGTTCCTGGAAGCAGATTTGAGGTTATTTCAATCAAGTCTGAAATTTGATTTCAATTTGATTAGGGTTCATTTATTAGATTTTAGCATCTCCTCAAAACCTGATGATATTTATGGGCAAGTCTGTTCAATAAACATGAACTCTGTGTGTACACATACACACACACATGTGGGCATATACATGTGCACAGAGAGAGAGAGAGAGAGAGAGAGAGTGGCCCTGTTCTTTCCCATAAGAACTTTAGTTAGGGTTTAACCTATCCCAATTTTCTGCATTTTCAATAATCACCCCAGCTGGGTTTACACCACATGCTAGGCTAAAATGTGCTGGTTGGTTTGTACTTCATGTGTTTTATGAATACAACCGCTGAGTTTTACACAGTATCCTCTGATCAAAATCTTATGACTAGATTTGATTTTTGCATTGGCTGGTTCACTAAATCCAGGGTAGTTCTAGCTTTGAGGAAGGTCTGGTCCAAATACTGTTTTCAGGGATTTTTCTTCTCTTAGAAGACTTTACAGGGGACAGGTTTTCTGAAAGAAAACAACAATGAAAAAGGCTGGGCCTAATGTATAATTTGGTTTCCTATAATTCTCCTGATGTAGCATTGTCATAAGACAATGTTGTCCCCTCAAAAGGCAGTTGTGGAGCTAAATGGAAAAGTTTACAAAAAAAGAAAAAGAAAGAAACAAAAGGCAGAGGAAGATGTCAATGTCCAATAAGTATTTGCAGATTGTGTTTCAGCCTTATAAACAGCAATGCTGCCTCAGAGAAGACTAATTAAGCAATACTTAATAAAATATATACTATCATTGACTGTCATATTGATGAAATTAGCCAAACTTGTGTACTATATATATATGATAAAATTAACTTCAGTGATCATGAACTTTATGATCATCACTCTGATGAAGGTTTTTTTTTGCTGAAATAAGAATAATATGAATTACAAGCCTCTGAAAACATGCTTTGATTAAGAAAATATTAGTTTATTTAAATCAGGGGGACACAAATTAAGTTCCCACCCCTTCCTGTGCCTCTCCCTGTCCTTGACTCAAAAATTCAATAACAAAATTTAATTTTAATTGTAATAGTAACATACAATTATTAAAGACATGGGGAGTAACCATGATATCTATTTTATTTTTAGTTTCTTGGAATAGGAAATGGGAATCTATTTTATTTTTAGTTTCTTGGAATAGGAAATGGGAATAGAAATGGGAATAGGAATACCCATTTCCTGAAATAGGTATAGCCCCTGCATGCCATCCAAGGGCCAAAGGATCTCAAAGCAGATGGCATTCTCCAGATTTAAATCATATAGCTTGTAAAACATCTGGTTTAAAACAATATTTAAAAGAGGACATTCATATTGCAAGCTATAACTTAACAAAAGTTGGCAAAGGAAAACAAAAGACAATTCAGATTTTTGTTTAATACAAAGTTTTATTTATATTGCTAGAAAGTTCACTGAGATCCAGCAGATGTAGATAAAACTGGTCAAGAAAGGCAATACTGTTGGTTAATAAGGAAGACCTGAGATAGTATTTTGAGTGTTGAAAGCAATTCCAGTCTAGAAACCCAGTGCAAACTATGATACTTTTTTGAAATATCCTGGTAAGAAATAAACACTTTTTTTTACATTTCAGAGTAAAAATCCTCACGTAAAATACTGGATTTTGTCATATACTGTAAAAAGTAAAAGCTTTATAAAGAATAATTACATGGGGATGCTGTATGTTTGAACTGAGATAAATGTTCTTATTCAGATTCTGGAACCCACATTATAATCTTTTATGGAGAAATACATATGACATCCAAATAATAGTAATAATACAGTACTCTAAATTAAAGTACACTAGACATCCATTCAAGTATTCAAAATCTCAAACTAGCATAATATGAGACTTTAAAATTTCTATTTCAGTAATATAAAGCTCATACCTAAAATGAATAGGTATAAAATAACAAGAAGCCACAGATAGTCACCCTTTTGAAAAAGTGGGAAAAACACCTATTTTATTGACCAATTTGGTGACCCAATTTTATAGCTATAGTATTTTTGTCTATGTGGTTATCTATTCAAAAATCTCCAGACAGGTATGGGTGGAGGAAATCTTCCTTTCAAAAAAGCAAGAAAGGAGTAGCATTTCTTGAATTTTTGCTAATTTTCCTCTTGTCGTAGAAGTGTCAGAGGGCAAAATCCCCATATGTGTTCCCAGAAGAATATACAACAATATTATGCGGCAGCTTTTATGTTTTGGGAATAATTTTTCAGTTGACTATCTGAAAACACCAGGCGAATAAACTGTAAAGCAAACAAATCAAGTAGAATTTTCAGGTTTGGCTGCATGCATCTTGGAAATGGAAATAGTTGAAAAATACCTTTTTGTTCTGAATAAATGGTCATAAATTTGATTAGTAATTCACTTGCTAGATAAAATGGCCTTTCTATTGCAATGTCTGTGATTTTCCATAGGGATAATTTCAAATATCTGTCTAAGAAAAATTAGGGTGTCCTGAGGGAATGAATTTCTATGGACTGCCCTAGATTTTGAACAGAATGTTGTGGCACTAAATCATATTCTTGGAGAAAGAGTCATGAATGTGAAGGGTTGAAGTAGCTGTCTTGAACATCTGCAAGCTTAAGCCATCAATGTTGTTCCCTTAAAATCCCCTGAAATGCAAGGCAAATTCTGAAGATTTGCTTCTATCTATTGTGGAGACCTGGTGATGAGCTGAACTTTTTATAGCTTTGTACAATAAAATCAACTTTGCATGAGAACTGTTGTACAGCAGAAATTCATGCATAAAAGAAACAAAGGCATGTGCCTGGAAAATGATGTACCTTTAAAACTATAAGGTTCAGAGCTATTTTAACATCTAGTTTTATATGAAAATGAATTTCTTCAAAATACATGCTCAAAAATCCAGGTGACAGTGTACATGCTGCAAAATGCATACATCCTATGCCATGTAAAAATATGAGCATTGAGAACATGTGTCAACAAAAATAATATGGAACAGTGTTTAAATCCTTAAGCACCTTGTTAATTCACACATAAAGAAAGACAAAGGACATCATACCATAATGTAATAGGATTGTGCAGATCTTTGACAAGGGACTCTGCTTAGTCAGATATCCACATGAAGCACCTTTTTAAAACTCTTTTGTGAAAAAATACCTGTGTTTATTTGGCAGATTAGTTGTTTCCTTCTACAGCAGTAGCTTCTGTAATGCAGACAGAGTTGCAATTGAGTAAGCAAGTAAAAGGAGGGTCGCAAAGGCTAGGGGACATGAAAAACTGGTGGATACAAGAAGTTTTTGAAGAAAAGAGGATGGAATTGGCAAGAAGGGTAAAGCATTCTTTATTTTCCCTCCAACCCTTTTTATTTGATAGTTCTTTACAACAAAAGTCTAGCTGGGGTTTAGTTTTTGCTGTGTCATTTTGTTGTTGTTGTTGTTGTTGTTGTTGTTGTTTAGATAACATGAATTTTGCAGACTTTTCTTAGTAATTCCCAAAAAGTTTGCTTGCTAATTCCAGCAATATCCCTGAAGTAACCATATAGTAGCTTCTTTGTGTAATCTGCACATCATTCTTATTTACAACAGAGATTACTAATGTAAAGGTCCTGATCCTTTAAAGCTAAAGATCTCTGCTTCTTTTTCTTTCCAGAAAGCAAAACTCCTGTTGATGTAACAGTAGATATCATCATTACTGCAGTTATCTAGTTCAAAGTATTTTCCTGAGACCTGCTCTTCAGGCTCAAAAATACTACCTGATATCCTCGTTTTGGTTATTGTTGTTGGATTTGTTTCCATTGACAGCCTTTGGAGTTCTATGGTTTTAGTCATGTTGTTATTACCAAAAAAATGTTCCTTAATATCTTCAAAACTATCTTTCCAGTTTCTTTTACCTGCTGCAATCTCATCAATCACTGCTTTGTGAAAGGCACGCACTGTTTCCCACTGATGTCTACTCAGGTGATTGAAAACTTCAAAGCAAAGGAGATGTCTTCCTTTACGTTCTTCAGGTGATAGATCCAACTCCAGGATATGGAAGTAGCCAAGCATAAATAGCTCAAGACTCAAACTGTTATAATCAGTAGGTTTACCCTTGACATAGGGTAAAAATTGTTCTGGAGAATAGATTGTGTGCTCATGACTTCGACATCTGATCTCCTGAGATGACAGCAGAGAAATGACATCCTTCCAATGACTGATTAACTTCTTAATAGCATATCTCTGATGAACTAAATGGACAAATCTCTTCATTTCTTTCAAGGGGTTCTGCAAAGGATCCTGCTGTTTTCTGAACTCTGCTATAACCTCTACAAGACCTGTAGGTTTTATCGGTTGCTGAGTACTTAGAGTCTTCCTAGTCAGCAGTTTCAAAGAAGGAGCATATGCAGATTTCTTCCAATGGCTTAGAAAAAGAAGCACAATTCGTTCTTTTCGGAGGATGGCAGATTGTGTGATTGGCACACAGTTCCCACCTGCTTTAGAGGACAGTTGCTTATAGATGATGTTGGAATCACTGGCACTTTCCACATCTCCAAACTTATGTTCCCTACCACTTAATTGCCTCTTGGTCTTACAGATGCTAAATAATGTTTGAAGTGTCGACTCCTTGCTTGTGTCATGTTGCAAGGACATGTTTTTCAAAACGTTGGGTTCAAAAGGTTTGTGGTAACTCAAAAGATTATGTTTTTCAAAATTGTCTCTCAGATTTTGTACAGAGACACCACTTTCTACGATTTCTTTATTGGCTGAATCTCTTAGGAAAAAAACTGTTTTGCCTGACTTCTCATTAGCCCCCTCTTTCTCGGTTTTATTTATATTGTTAAGAAGTAGAGACATATTTTTTACTATTCCAGACACATGATTGCACCAGTCTGGTAGCTCCTGGTGGTCAACCTGGGAGAAAGATTGAAGAAACTGAGGGTTGACTGTGACACTGATAATGGGAGATGGAAAAACACTTTGTAGCTCTTCTGTTAGGCGTCCCAGCTCATTTTTAAACTCCTGGCATTTCTTCTTAATCTGCAGCTTCTCAACTTGGTTCTCTAAGTACAGCAAATCATCATTTGTTAGTAGTTCCCCATAAGGGCCAAGGATAGCCTTGTGATTCTGTGAGTATTGCCAGACATCAGTATCTAGTGCCCAGCTTCCTTTGTTCTGGACAGGGCAAAAAAGAAAATAAGAAGAAATTGTATCAAGTCATGTTCATTCAAAGGCATAACTTCTCAGCCTGCCATGAACAAATCTTTGAGGACATTACTAGTGGAGTTACAGCATCTTAGATACATTTGGAGTCATCAAGCCTTATTGATGATACCACAAGTATACAACTGGAAGATATTTTAAGATAATCTGGTGTCTCAATAAGAAATGAATCTAAGTGAGAAAGAACAAACTGAATATTATATGACATGGGACTTAGTTTATCAATGATTAGATAATAAAAATGGAAGTTAGAAATGGAAACAAAAGAAAAAGTTTGGTGAAATAAAGAAGATATGTTAAGAGAGAGAAGCAAGTATTATGATTATTATGTTTAATATTATCATTTTAATATTATAGAATTTAATGTTAATGTAATGAATATTGTTGTAAATCTTGATTATCATTTTACAAAGATATTTGTACCCGGACGACACACTGTTTAATTGAAGATGGAATTATTATATATATAAAAAAATATATAAAAATAAAATAAAATAAAAGAATCTAAGTAAATGTTTGTCTACCTACATGATAATGCTATTCATAAATATAAATTATATAGATTTTTAAGGCATCCTTAAATAGAGGGACAATATGTTCCACCAAAAAAAGCAGAAGATGTAACCCCAGCCACGATCTACCCACTACAAATTTAATGATTTCTGTAGTACCTTGTACCTTGCTAGAATTTGGGGGTAAGAAGTAGTTTTCAATATGGTGAGTTCAAAACAAAATATTCAACTGAAATTATAAATAAATAAATAAATAAATAAATAAATAAATAAATAAATAAATAAATAAATGTGAGTTAGAAAAGAAATGAAGAGGCACTTTTTATTCTGTTAGCTGAGTGAAATACCTTCTTGTCCACCTCTTCTTCAGATGATAGTTGAGCCTGTAATTTTCTGACCATCACTTGCCGTTTCCATTCTGGGATACAGAAACCTTGCTCATCATGGGTAGGCACCAATGCATCAATATCCAGTGCTCCCAGACTGTCTAGCTTTGATACAGTATTTTGTGTCTTTGTTTTTCCACCCTATATAGGGACAACTATTTCAAAGTTTAAGAACACCTCACAATGTCTCCTCAAATAGTTTAAATAGTTATATAAGTAAAAAGTTATAACAACATTTTCTCAAGAAATTAAGATTAACGAATGGAACAGAACAGAAAACTGAAATGTGTAGGTTAGCTTGATCTTTTCTGAAAATCTATGTTTGATTAGCTAAATAGCCAAACCTTGCAACATTTATATATACACATACACATACACACATACATATACATACATGCATACATACATACACAATTTGGAAATTTAGCTGGAAGAAATCACCAAGAAAGATTATAGGAAAGCCAAAGGAACATGAAAGATATGAGACAGATTGAAAGATAAGCACTCAATGGACAGGCTTTGAGAATTCTACTGTGAATCTTTGTTGACTTTAGAGATTTATTTATCTTCAATGGACTCAGTTTATCTTTAATGGACTTTAATAAAATTATCAGGCAGAAAACCTATTAATAAAAATAAAACCTTAATAATATTCAAGTATTATTTATTGGACCTTTGAGAAATAGATAAAATAAAAAATTGAAAGGAAGGAAGGAATCAAGCATTCTGCTCAGGAACATGTTAAGCTTCTTTAAAAGATGCTGGGTAAAAACCTTACCAGCCTATGTTAAATTTCTGAGTAAAATACTCAGAATTCGGGATTAAATTTACCAATCCAGTAACTGGCACATGGCTAATAATAACTCTTTTTTGTGTTTTTAGGTCATGAAATTTACAGTTAAAAAAAAGTTGGCTTTTCAGACATGATAAATCAAAAGGTTTTATGTTAACAATATAAAGCAAGGAAGAATGTGGTATTCCAAATGAGTTGTGGATACCATTATATTGGGGACAATCTTCACAGGAGTTTTATCCTGGCATTGGATATTTCACTAGGACTTCCACTTCCCAATCTCCCAAAAGCAGTTTTGAGACAACATCATCCCTGACTGTACAATAAAGAGAACAATTTTTTTAAAAATTTAAAAATCAGAAGGACAGCTCCTGAAGAAATGGAAATTCCCTAATCCTTACACCTGGGCAGGCGTGTCAGACTGGTGGCCTGCAGGCCGGATGCATCATGCGCAGGCCATGCCCTCCCCAGCTCCGCTAAAGGGGGGGAAAAATCACAATATGTCACATGACGGCAACGTGATGCTGTGAGTTTGACACCTGTACTCCAAAGGAAAATAAACCGAATTGCTTGCATGTGCAGTTCACTGATCCATGTCATTGTACTGTAGCAGTTAAGCTAGTTCACCTGGGCGAGGAAGGTTTGGTTTCAAATCTTCAGTCAGCTACAAAACCCACCAAGCTTCTTTAGGACAGTCAGTCTCTCCAAGTACAATTTACTTCACAGGGTTGTTGAAAGAAATAAAATTAGGGAAATATACCCTGAACACTCAGAACAAAGGCAGGAAATAAATTAAATAAATAAGATACAACAATATATATTTGTTGTGTATAGTTGTCTGATCAAGCACAAAAAATATGAGCACCAAAACTGTTAAAATACCTTTTTCCTTGAAAATCATACTAAGGCAGCTAAGGCCTAAAAGCTGAGAGGCCTCCTAACATAAAAATTTCTATAAATGAAGAAATTGATTTCTCATAAGTTCCTCAAAGTAACAGAATTCCAAAGAAATACTTCTTTTAGTATAGTTTCAAATGCACCAACAATGAATCAGAAAAGAATCAATTCAGTTTTCAAAAATATCATTACCTTGGGAATCATAAAGGTCCAGAATTGACCTTAAACTGGTAGAGTTGTGATGTGGGAATGTCCTGGGACAACTGGCATATTCATAGTCATATGATAAAATTTATAGCTAGTGCTCTTAGTGCTATTTTTATTCAAAATGAACAATTAATATGGAATGAAAATAGATCAGTTTGCAGTTGCTTAATTTGGACTTTATTTTCTTCACAATCTCCTCATATTAGTTCTTTTTTAGGTGTTTGGTGAACATATGCTGAAAAAAAGAACTACATTTGCATTTTCTGTTTCATTCCCAACGTGTAAATGACCCTATTATAACTTCGATGAAATGTTTAGACATGAAAGGGAGAACATTGAGAAATCTGGTTATTATGGAGTTGGTTGGAAATCTGTTAGACATGAAAGGGAGAACATTGAGAAATCTGTTTATTATGGAGTTGGTTGGAATTGGGGTCATATCCATTGCTCTCCCTGTCATTTACTTCTTTATTATTTCAAAAGAATTTTCTGAGCTCCACTACACTTCCAATTGGCTGCCCATTCCCAAGGAAGAGTCAATTTGGCATGCCAATTATATATATACAACGGTTATGAGGTAAAGAGTTGGTTTTGCATTGTGAACTCACTCATAGTACAATGAAGAAGACACAAATATGTGCATGTGTATTCCTTCTGCAGCAGAGACATAGCATAAGAACAACGTCCTTCTTGAAAGTTTAGAAGAAGATAATTTGTTGGCTTGTAATATGTTGTTCCCAGGTATACATGATTTTCTGAAGGTGCTTGATATGCTGTACATCCAGGAATAGAGGCAGGATTTTTCCTTTATGTGGTAGAGTTCAATGCTTTCTGCCATGTTTATCAATTATATTTAATTTAGTTTAATAGAAAAGGTACCCGTGCAGTAGTGGGATTCAGCCAGTTCACACTACTTCAGGAGAACCGGTTGTTAACTTTATGAGCAGTTTGGTAAACTGGTTATTGGAAGAAATAATTAGGGCAGAGAACCAGTTGTTAAATTACTTGAATCCCACCACTGTACCCATGTAACTTTAGTCACTGGGTTATCTTTGAAGAGTGTGGTAAGCTTCTTTCTAAATGATTGATGCATAACTTATGGTTGACTGACAATATTTCATTGCCTATCCTCTCTCAAAAGAGAACAAGCATTTGTCTTTGGAAATATAAAAGCAGTTTGTTGATTTTCTATGAAGAAACCATAAAGCTGAAATGAAAGTTGGGACTTCTATTTCAATCAGCTTAGCATAGCAAATAATGATAAAGGAATGAGAGAGTTATAATCTAATACATCTGGACAGACCAAGATTCTTCTCAGAGACGTCCACGGAGACATGCACTCATGCACAAATAGCAACTCTCCAGAATTTCTAAAGCAATTCAAAGATGGATCAAAATAAAAACTTCCAGACCTTACTTGCCTCTGTACCACAAATAACTAATTTAATTAAGAACTACTGTATGTCTAATCGTGCCTGAGAGATCAAGGCAGTATTAGCATCTACATACAACTATACACACACATAAATTCCATAAATAATAAAAAAATTGAAATAAAGTGTCCCAAAATAAGCTTATAAGATCCAAAACCCACCAGTATAGCTATTACCTGGCTATTCTCCATAATTGTCTTTCCATTCAATATCTGCAGATAATTTCTAATTCTTAGTATTTGATCAATATTGGTGTTCTTTTGCTTCAGTGCTTTGACTTTGAAAACATGAGCTTCTTCACTGTCAGAACAATACTGTTCATTGTCCTAATGTGACAAAGAGACAAACACATAGTTTATTTTCTCTTCTTATTTCTGAGCACAGAAAAATGTAGTTATACATTCTATGAGAAACCAAAAGTCAGTCTGAAAGACACCTTCAGATGCACTGCTGTTTACACTGAGCATATGGCTTGTTGGTTTACATATTGTTCACAAGTACCTTCTCTGTTCTTTCTGTTCAAGTCCCTGACATTTCTACATCTAAGCAGAAAGAATAGATGAGTAGGGCTTTGTTTTCACAAACTTTTTGTAGTTGCTAGTCAGATATGCCCAGTATAAGTATATCCTCAGTGAATGAAGGTTTTAACTTTTAAGGCAGGGAATGGATGTGCTATTTATATTATAAGACTTGGTATTGTATTCAAATGTATTTTATATTCAGTTTATTAACAAGTTTTAAATGCTTAGTTGATCAATCATCTGTCTTTTAAAAACCTAATTAATCAATTGGTTTGAAATGTATTTGCTTATTACCAGTACTTCAATATAATGTTGCCTTTGGTCTTGGAAGCTAAGCTTTTTTATTTATTAAGAACTTTTATATGGCCACTCAACTCACTCTCAGTAACTCTGGGTGGCTTACAAAGATACCCCCCCAAAAAACCTAATAACTCCACTCCTACCCTCCTCACCTTGTTGGCCCTAGTTAGTAATTGGATGGGAGACTATTGAGCAAAACGAAGGATATAGACTAGATTGGGAAATTGAAAAATACCCCAGCAGACAATGATGAAACGTAGATAGTTGTGTAACCAAAAAAATCACCTTGACTTGAGGTGAACTTTTATCTTACATTTATCATATAATGAGGTAACTTATCATTTATTTATTTATTTGATTTATTTGATTTATTTGATTTATTGACCACCTATCTTATCCCAAGGTAACTTTGGGTGGTTAGTATTACCCCTAGTAATATAATGTTACTTTTCAACCTTAAAAAGAAAGTCTCAATAGTCTCCCATCCAATTAATGGAAATGCATTATCTGATATTGGGGAACCCCAACAGAGGAACAAAACAAAATGAGGTAGCAGAACTCACCCCATCAGGTTTATATATTCTGAGACAGTCATGCATTTCTTGGTCTCTGGTACATCTCTGAGCAGAGATATACCTCCCCCTACAAACGCTCATAGTGTTTGTGCTCCAGCAGGCAGAAAAGATGACACTAATTATGGGATTTTCTCAAACTTTGTGGTCTTGTCTCACTACTGAGTTAGTGCTATCTATCTGCCCTTGAGTGGGCAGAAAGCAACACCAATTGAAAATTGACTGTCCTCATTACTGGTCCCTATCCTTCTTTTGATTCTTTCCAAGTCTCTGCCAAGCATCTAATTTCCCCTAATGCATGATTTAAGATTGTCTTTCGCTTTGGGTGGGGACAAAATCAAAACAACATATTGCCTGAAAAGCAAAGAAACATTGTCAGGGCATTTCATAGCTAGGTAGAACTGGGGGCATGGCTAAAGATTTACATACCTGTCTTGCGTTGCCATTTGTTTATGGAGTTCATTTGGGAGAGAAGAAAGAAGATGAGGCAAATATTGTTTTCTCTGCCTAGATCCAGTTTTAGGAAGATCAGAAATTCTAAACAAACCAGTGAATATGAAAGAAGGAAGCAAAGCTAGAGAATTCATCATTCTTCCTGGAGATAGACATAACATGTACTGTGTACCAATCGCAGCAGAAAGGGTGGGGGTCAGGAAGTCATAATTAGCATTGCATTAATATTTGAAGTCTGGGCATCAGATGGCAGAGTTACGCGAAGGATTAGAGCATTAGCACTGTGAAGAAGGGTGTTGTCTGACTGCCTTGGCTGTCCATTTTCTTTTTCACTTATTTCTTAAAATATACAGATTTTATAAACAAAGAAAACAGTCAGCTAAGGTAGCCAACAGACAAAAAATGCCTATTTGGCTGACAATGCTCAGGTTTCCAACTTTAGGAATTGAACTAGGTTGAGCAAATGCCCAAACATTGGCTGGTTGCTTCTAATTTCACCTTGCACTTATGTGCAAAATCACTCTTTGAATTGATTTTTATTTTATATTAATTTATTTATTCTTGGTATTTCTGTAGAGGTAGTCCTCGACTTACAACCATAATTGAGCCCAAAATGTATGTTTTAAATGAGAAATTTGTTAAGTGAGTTTTGCCCCATTTTACAACTTTTCTAACTAACAATGTTTGTTAGTGAATCACTGCAATTGTTAAATTAGGTACACAGCTGTTAAGTGAATCTGGCTTCCTCATTGTCTTTGCTTGTCAGAAGGTCACATGAACTGCAACCACCATAAATATGAACCACTTATCAAGACTGTAAATCATGTGACCATGGGGATGCTGTAATTGTAAGTGTGAAAAATGGTCATAATTTACTTTTTCCAGTGCCATTGTAACTTTGAATGGTCATAAACAAATTGCTGTAAGTCAAGGATTACCTGTACAACTGTGCTTCAAATAACTCCCAGCAGTTCACAATAAAACCATAAACAAAGTAAACAATCAACATTATTCAGCAGTAAATCAAATAAATATTCACCAGGACTTCCCACTGGCACTTAGTGGGCATCAAAAGCTCTTCAAAACAGCATTGTTTAAATGGACTTCTGAAGGTCATTCAGAAGGTGCCAATCTACCTTCTCATAGGAAGCTATTCTAGACTGAAGGGACTGCAATGGAGAAATGCTATCTCTACCTGTTTCAAATTTTTAAATAAAGGGAACCTAGAATATCCTTTCACAGGACAAGTGAACAGTTTCTTTTGAAAAGAATGTAATATGTATTTTGGTTTTAGTATATTAAATGGTTTTTTAATATATTAGTATATATTTTATTTATTTTAAAAAGTAGGTATTTGTTGTCTTAAAAATTAAACAGATACAGGTACGCTAAAAAGCAGGGGTGGGTTCTACTTACCTTTACTACCGGTTTGCAATGGGGCTGCGTGCGCACGCTTGCTTCGCTTACGCATGTGCATGCTCTTCTGCACAAGCTTCTGCGCAAGCATGTGCAGAAGCGTTCTGATGACATCAGGGTCAGTGGGCGGAGCCTCCCACCAGTTTTACTACCGGTACTATAGAACCGGTGCGAACCGGGGGCAACCCACCACTGCTGAAAAGCAACATTAGGAAGTGTGGGGGGGAGGAAGTCTTTGATCTTTTTTCCTGCTTCCATTCTATTGCCATTTTCCAGCACTAACTCATATTTCAATCTGCAGCTATTGTAAATGTGAGTTGAAAAAGAATTTGGGTTCCCTTTTTCAGGTCTGTATTTAATTTGAGATTATATTAAAACCCAAAATAGCAATTTCAAAGAAAAAATAGCACATCCCTTACTCAATGTCACTGTTCTAATTAAAACTGGAATATTGTAGCTAGGGAATATTCACATTATATCTATTTATCACCTTAAATAGATAACTTCTCCCATTAGGGCACTACTATAATGATGTTACCTAGTTTGGGTAATGAAATGCCTGCAACAAAAACAACCAAACTCAGAGAGCACCAAGGACCCCTCACTGTTGCAAATCTCTGCAAGACATTATTAAAAATCCCTCACTGAAATTCTTATTTCTAAGATGAGAATATATTATTGCATTACCCAGTTTTTGAAGCTATCTTTCAGTTGCAGAATAAATTTTGTGAGGAAACAGTGTCTGTGCTTGAAGAAGAAGCAGGGTTAAATCATCTGATATAAGAAGAGCTGAAAAAAATGAAATTTGGTGTTAATGAATAAAGCCTGTGTATTCTATCAAATGTAAGGTGAAGCAAATAACAGCATGAGAACATGAAAATATCAATGAAAAATCAGTGCCATCTCAGGCAGGAAAAGCCTTATATAAATGCAGTCCATGATCCTCTAGACACATATTGTCTGTGCCACATATTTTTTCTATGTCTGTGCCACATATTTTTTCTGTTCACAAAAAGGAAAGAACAACTGGAAATAAGTGATTAATAAAGAAAATATGAAACCTATTCCAGACTGTAATAGAAACATTTGTCTGATCTCTGCATCACACTAAACCTAGTGGTTTCTATTAATCCATATTAGCCCATATTGCAGGTTAATACTATAACATTAGTATTATGGTTTTCCTAGGTTTTGTGATCTATAGAAAGAGGAATGCTATCTTCTTTCTCATCCATTTTAAGAAACCTTGCCACAGTAAACACGTAATGTGTGTTCATATCTGAATCATGGTGGGTTTTTATTCATACACAAATCTCTTCAAGTTATGATGAGAATGAAATTGACAATTAATGGCTCAGCAAGGTATTTTGATCTTATTTGCCTGTAGAAATAAAAGACTATAATGTTCTTTTAACATGCAATGCTGAAATATCTACTAAATCAGCTGGAGAATCACCTGGCATACCACCTCTGTCTGTAAATGTCATGTAAACATTTTATTATATTTCCTCTTAGATCAAAAATCGAATAAAAAATACTTGAAGATTCAACAGCAGATATTATAGGAAAAAGACAGGTGCATTTGTCTTGGGGGAAAAACAGGCACTTGCAAATCTGACTCCAGAAACTTAATTATATAATCATTTACCAACAATTTTCAGTTGTAATTTGGGGGGCAACTTACTAGGTCATTGCTATAGTATTGGAAGTCTATGTAGTCCTCTGAGATGAAATAATCTAGATCAGCCATCCCCAAACTGGCATTTCTAGATATACAGAAATTAGCATTTTAATCAATAAAAGAATGGAAGATTAACCAAGATTATTTGAAATGTTAGATCACCTAGGAGTGCTTTGAGAAACATCATATTCAAAATGTATTTCAGTGAGATCCTTAAGCATTATCCTAAGTGGTTTTTAGCTATACAAACTTTGGCTGAAATAATCACGTTGTACCAGTGTTTTAGGCTGAGTGGGTCCTACCTTATTATGTGTAAGGGCAAGCTATGCTATGTCAGATAAAATAAGATCACTGGTGCTTCATAAAATATTGATGAATTCTGTAGTCTCAGATAGGATACATGGCCCTCTTGCAGGTATCAGCATGTCTCAGTTAACCAGACCAATGTAGATGTCAGGGTTCCAAGTAATAGACCCATAGCAAGTAAAACTCAGAGGCAGATAAATTCCTCAAAGAATAGCTTTATTGGAGATATCATATTGGCAGAAATCTGGGGAAAACCAATTCTGAAGATTCCCGTGGTTTTCACCTAATTAAAAGATAAAGTTTTCTCTGAACCCCAAACAATCAGTCACATGGTCCAATCAAGATGCTGTCTGGTTGCCTGGTGACCTCACTCCTCCTTCCAAGGACAAGGTGTGAGTGTGAGAATCTCCTTGGTTCCCAAGAGAAAGTATTTTATTTTAGCTACAAAACCCCAGCTGTCTCTAATCCCCCCCCATCCCTCAACTCCAGTGTGGCAACACTGAAGCTCCAAGATGGCTCCGGTCAGATCAGCTTCAGGGTTGACAGTAGAAGCAATAGCTGGATAATATAGAAGGATATTATTTATTTATTTATTATCACAGTATGATGAGAAATTAGGGGTGAGTGCTGGTAAAAATAGATTGGATATTGTCCATTGTATATATTAGTATACAAACGTAGCTTTGGCAAAACATTATTACTTGGACTGGTTCCTAACTATGCTGACATCCTTGATTCTGACACTGAAATCAAGACTCTTTCCTTGTAGACTCAGGCTCAACCCCAAGTGGACCCAACAAGTGGTTGCTGCTTTGCTGCTTCTCCTTGTTGCTGTAACTGCTTGCCTACTCTGAGAATGTATATTACAAAAACAAAAGTAGAGCAAGCAGCAGAAAACTTCCAGCAGAAAAATTCAAGGATAAGCTACAGGCCCTCTGGAAATCTTTGTTCACAATGCCACAAGGACACTGCCCTGGCAGAGGTATTAGGTCCTTATGCACTGAGGCAACCATACTGAGATACCTGCTGCCGCCACATTACCTACAAGCAAGGAACCTTCCATTGCTCAGCCATGGTGGTAGTGCCAGTGTCAAATAACTTATTGCTGACCAACTCCAATGATATACTGCTGAGAGACAGACCAAATTAAGCTGCCAGTAGAAGACTGCCTTCTATCATCAGGACAGCCTATCCCACGCTACCCCCTACTTTCTACCTGACAGGTCTT